CTCGGGTAGAACCCTGAGCCTTTGCTTTTGTACATGAAATTGAAGTGAAGAAAATGTGACGCATGTGCACGAGAAAAGATTAAAATAAATGTCATTTGACTGATGTGCACAGAATAGATGATCTTTTGATACACTGCTCATTTGTTCCTCCTCTTCTTTCCCCTCTACAGGACAGAACAAAGGAACATATTTTAACTAGGTATCATTCAGTTGTCAAGAAATCCTCCCCCTCCACCCTGCCATGTCAGATACTTCTCCAGGTACACAGACAATGTTCTTTACAAAGCAAATGTTGGACTGAAGTTAAAAATGAAGTTTCCATTTCAAATACAAGATGTATTTACAACTACAGATATACCTCAACAATTTCATATTACATAGTCCACTAAGAGCAATAAAAGCCTGAGAACACTGAGCTAAAGCCCTATTTCTTATATAATTTACCCCAAATATCTTTATTTGATCTCCCAGCAATTCTCACTGGAAAACCAAACTCACACTCACTCATGCAGCCAGTTTCAATGTGTAAGTTACCAAGAAACCAAGACTGAACCCTAACACGTTCATTAAATACAGTGCACAGACTCTTCAATAGTGTTAGTCTATAAATAATTTTATACCTTCCTGATCAAACAACACATTTTCAATAAGGGCTCTAATCAGCTGTACCCACATCGCAATCATTTCGGATGGCAATTATCCCATTGTGAGCAAGTGCAGTAGCATCCCCAAATGTTGAACATCACTGGGGTATTGAAATACAAAAATTCAAGTTCAGTAGAACTCTATTATTTATTGCTGCCATGAAGTTTTTTTATTTTTATTAGATTATAACTATTATGTTTTTAAGATTTTTTTTTAGGAGACAAAAGTTAGGCAGCATTGAAACAATTAGAGGACAGGTGCTTTAGGGCTACATTACAGGTGTCTTTCAGTGCATCTGTAATTAGAAAGCATGGAAAGCTTCAAGAAAACTAAAAACACAGCTATATATGGTCTATTCTTGCAGCTAACTTGTGGCAACTGCTTTTTGGTACCAGACCTCTGAAGTTAATACTTTCTCAGAATGCTGACAGAAATGGAAAATATATTGAAATATTGCTGTAGATAAAAATGGGCACAGGATGTGTGTGTCCTGTTTATTGGTCCCCTGCTTAACATGGAACATGCATGCTCACATCCTTTTTTGCACTTTTATTAGTTATGTACTTAAAATGAAAGTAGCAGTACTTCAGCTGGGCTAAATGCTCTGTAACAGCTGGACAGGATTGCATTATGCTTTGAAGATATCTGGAATTTATGACAGTTTTATGACACTGCACATATTTTAGAGAAGCCAGGAAAATGCAGTACTTGGCACAGAACTCTGAATCAGCGTGTCAGCCCCTGAACCAAGCTGACACATGGTCAGATGTGACACACGGTTTGTTTGTTGTTAGCTTTCAGCACAAAACATCGTGCTGAAAACTGATGGAGACTCATTCATCCTTTATCCAAATCCTCCAAAAAAAAAAAAAAAAAAAAAAAAGAAGTCCACAACTCATCTTAAGAGACCAGTTCTCCTCTTTCATGGCTTAAGGATCTGTTGAGTCCTGAAATCAACTCACACTAACTGAAGTGAATGCAATGCTGCCTGGACTGAACAGCCTCTAGATGAAAGTTAATAAAGAACCTGCCTGCTGCTAGCTCTGCAGTGACCTTCTGCAGATTGCCATTCCCAAAGCAAAGCTTCAAGGAGAAGTTCTGCCTGCAAATAGCATTCAGACAGTATGTCTGTTACAAGGAACAATATAAGAGAAAATGCCATACAGTTTCTTGTTTCAATAACAATTTCTTATTTTCATTGGCTGTTTTGGCCTTTGTTTTTTATTCAGGTACTCCTGAAAAGAATACCAGGTTTGGTGACACAGTTAAGCATTGTTTCGTGATGAAAATATTTCTATTCATTGCTTTCCTTCCAAATTTGCTTAAATAAAACAAGAAAGTTGCACAATGAAGTAATTTATTAACCATTTTAGAGTAGTTATTATTTTTTTTGTAATGCATTCATAGAAGAGAGAGATGTAAGATGGCTTTAAAAAATATACTGCGTGGTATTCCATGTTTGTCAGAAGGGAAAAGAACAGTTTGACAAATTCCTGTGAATGTGTATGAAGAGTTCTAAATAAAATCCTCCCATCATAACGGGCTGAAATTAGAGCTTCACAATGCCATAGTCTTTGAGTTGTGTAGCATTCACAACATTTCAAGCTTCTAAAAGAGACAGATAAGACTCTTAATCAAAAGCTTGAAAGTAATTTCCTGGGGGGATAGGAGAGCAGAAGTAATTCTTCTTCCACTTTATTTCAGCAGACAAAAAAAAAAAAAAAACCACCAGTTGCTGCAAGCAATTAAACAGTACTATATTCTCCACGAGCATCTTATGGATACAGGAAACCTTCTGTCTTTGAAGCAGCACAGACCTTGATTGTGTTTTTTTTTTTTTTTCCCCCATTTAGTATTTTTAAATGGAATAAAAATGGAATAAAGTGCAGCTCAAGAGCTACAGCTGGCCTTCACAGAGAATCATGTTGAATCATATGCTGCTGCTTGTTAATAACAATAAACCAACCACATGGTTGTTTCTAATATTTTAAGCAACTGGCAGCTCATCCATAACTCTGTACATTAAAAACTTTTTTACTCATATCTGGTTATCTGTTCAATTTCTATTCATTGTTTCTTCAACTGTTTTCCCAGTCTGAAGTGCCTAACACTGTCTGGAATGAGAGCTAAAACACCACCAGGAGCAAGCATAGCACTACATCAGAAACGAGGCTTAAACTCATGTGCATGGTTCCACCTCCATTGGTGAAATATGAACAGTTGGAATAATTCCTCAAATATTTTAAGCACACGTTTGTACAGAAGGCTACATCTGTCAGAGTCTCCAGATGAGGTGAAGAAAAGAAAACCAAAGTGTCTGTATTTGAAAACTAAAGAAGATGTGAACACAGCTTTCCCTGTGGCAAAGACATACTTAATAAATATTGGCTTTCAGAGCAGAGTTTACTTGCACATCAGTAATTTTACGAGATCGGCATTAGAAGTAAATTGCTATGATATTAGGAGGACAAGATGCACGTATGGACAGGGATATTCAGTCGCCTGAGCTCTGCTCGGCTAACGTGGCAGCTCAGACAGAAGCTGGCTGGCAGTCAGCTTGCAGGTAGCTCTAAAAGCATGGGCTGGCTCCTGCCCAGGTGGCGAGCCGAACAAAAGCAAGCAGTGGTACAGGAGAAAGGTAGAATTTACACAGATGGGAAATGCGGAGGATAGAAGGGATTGTCACAGAGTAAAGGACACTAGGAGGAGCTGGAGGTGTGAAAAGGTACCCTGGCAATATCTGGGGGAGAGGGAAGCAGAAGGAGAGCTAGAGTGCCCGAAAGAGAACTGAATGAGGAAGAAAGATGTTCCTTGTTCTGATGCTTGTTTACTGCATGTTACTTTTGAAACCACGTAGTTTTAACACAAAAATAAAAACCACTGAAGGCTCTTCTTTCTAGACCAAGGTCCTTATTCTGGTACTGATAATGGTTTTGAGACATCAAAAACTAGATAAGCACTATTCACTACGAATGCAATGTTAGACACGTTCTTATCATTACACCACTTACACTGCATACAACCAAAACTGAAATTCAGGAGATGCTGAAAATAACTGAATTCTATACAACAGAGATGTAGATAAAAATGAGTGTGCTTAAAGCAGAAGACATCCTTGTCCAAAAAAGTAACTCCTTACAGCCTCATGATTTTATTCTACTACTCCAAGAGAAGGCATCCATTGCTTATGCAGATGCTATATGCCACAGTTTCCAGCAGTAACATAATCAGAGAACCTTACTACAATTGCTGAAGTATAGTAAGCGTCAGAAGTTATTCTTCTACTAGTGTTTATAAAACTCAAGAAGAGTAATTCGAAGCAGCAATCTACTTAAGCAGAAGAAAGTTGCTTTACATTTTGCTTGTATGTGCACACAACTGTAGAGTGAAAAAATTGGCAGGCTTTCTATTACTTTTCCTAACCAGGTGTTAAATTTATGTATACCTCACTTCAAGGCACTATGAGAAAATACTTCTGTATTTTGTTTTACAGGATTTGTAAAGAAATATAACATCCTGCCTTTTTTAAAATGTAGGGAAGGAGAAAAGCTCTGTCCACAAAGCAGCTTATCCTCAGAAATAGCACAGTTTAGCACTAGACGTGCCACAGGAAGGGGGGGAGGGGGATTATAGCACAAGCCTCTCCATTGTACTGAAAGAAGACTTTTCCTATGGATGGGCCATCATCCTGTTATGTGGCTCTGAACTTCCTCCTGCATTGTGAGCCTCAAGTCATGGAAACAGTAAAGTTCTTAAACTGAGGATTGTGTTGGGAATTCCAAAAACTTTCAATACAAGTTAACCAAACAAATACATCACGGTCAGATTGTTAACATCCTGGTTTAGTTTGCTGAAGCCACCATTCTTTTGAAAAAATAATGTAATCAGGAGAACTCTGGATAGATATCTTGCTACTTCTTCCAGGTTCTGATATCATTCAGACTAACTTCAAAAACCACACTAGAAAGCTAAATACAAAACGCAAGACAACGCATTTGTCTAAAATCCAAGGCATCTTACTATATCTGCATTTAGGAAACATTAGCTTAAAAATTAAAACGCTGAAGTTTCAGTTTCAAAAGTGCAATCTGTAAAAGGCTGTTGTAAAGCACCTCAATAGGAGGTCACCTGCCCCCTTAAGAAAAAAAACACATTAACAACATGGAGCAAAGTGACTAAGGAGCTATTAATGTTAGGTTAGAACTTGTAGCACGTGTTCCAAGAAGAGAGTACAGTACATACCAGTGCCATTGCAATCTATGCAGTCAACTGTGGAGCAGCCTGGCTTATGCCACTGGCAGAGTCTAATTTGTTGCAGCTACAAGTATGCTATGTTAAAACAGCTCTACAATTACCTGATATCCTTCTGTTTTTTTCTGGCACCATTTCAGCAAGGCATTTCTCTTCGATCCTCCATATTCTCTTGCAAGGGCAGACAAAGGATCTTTCCTTTCTTCCCTAGGAATGAGGGAGAAGTGCAATTTATAGCTAATTATTTTTCATTCACAACAGATACACATATTACAAATGCTAAAAAAAAAAAAAAAAAAAAGCTATCATGAATTATTGTGACTGAAAGTAGTAAGGTACAGCACTAGTAAGAAAAAGAATACAGAGAGATACCTGCCAGACTTAAGAGTTACTTTGGTGAAATACTTTCATTAGGAAACCACGTGTGTTTTTCCCCCTTAAACTAAACTTCTTCTAGGTATTTCAATCTCAATGATATTATTTCCTAACAGTTTGGAAAGTAAACTCACAATATTGTAAGTTCCAGCTTGAACCATTAAGCTAACTCAAGTGACTTTATTTTGTATTTAGAAAGAGAATAAACTGATGTTATCTCTTCTGCAGCTCATGGCTGATTACAAGTGTCACCTTGAAGCAACAAGTTTGCATATTAGCCACATGTCATTACTAACAGAATACTTGCCTGGGATCTGGAGTTCTCAAAAAGGACAGGGGAGATCTACTTTGTTGATCTGCTACCTGGTATACTGGAACAGTAACGATTCACCCTTTTTAAAACATCAAAGTTCAATTCCCAATAAATGCCCTCTGTAATGAAGATATTGATGAAAAGACTGCTGTTATGCAACTTAGTTGCCGGATGCAAAGTGTGCGAGCAGTTGCTCTTGTTTTTTACAGAATGTGTGAGGTCTGAAGGGACCTCTGGGTCCACATGGCACTACCTGTGCTGAGGCAGGACCATCCACAGCAAGGTGCCCAGGCTTATGTCCAGGTGGCTTCTGAAGATGTCCACGGATGTGGCCACTCTGGGCAGCCTGGGCCTTTGCTATGTTACCTGCACAGCATGAAGTGCTTCCTGATGGCCAGACAGAACCTCCCTGGCAGACAGTTCCCCCTGAACCTCCTCTTTTCCAGTCTGAACAGTTTTTACTGTCTTGGCACTGGCAGTTTTGTGCCATCTTCAAACTTACTGAAGGGTGTACTCTGCTCCATCACCCAAATGGTTAATGAACACAGCTAACAGAACCAGTACAGAACCCTGAGGTAGGCTGCGAGCAAATGGCTTCCAGCCAGACTTCACCACTGAACTTCTCACCAAGCCCACACAGAACAGCCTGATTATGAGAATCCTATGGGAAGAGCATCAATGGCCTTACTCAAGTCCACCTCAGAGGAGATCAAAGAAGGTCACCAAAACAAGTAACAATGGGGCTGCATATTCCACCTACAATCAAGATCATGCAACTGCAGAGAGAGAGCTTCAGCACAGAGGTTTGGGAGTTTGGGACATTCTATTAGAACTCAAATTTAAAGTTCCCTCTCTTTACATTAAACCATACTGTTTAGCTGTGAGTGAGCCGTACAACCTGTCTTCAGATTCCAGTAAATGCACATGGTTTATATTGAGTCCTCCCAGTTAAGAAAACATTGCTGAAGGAAATAAAGTAGTGTAAATTGTATGGAGACAACGAGAAATATTATGACAGACAAATCTTATAAGTTAGTATATCAGGTCAACTGAACTCCTACCCAAAATAAGCCAATAAAGTTACAGCTAGAACAGAGAACAGTAAGCTGCAAATGTTTGTTTTAGTGCTTATTTTACCACAGCGTTCAGAAAAAGGTAGGGGAGAAAAACCTCCATTCCAAAACCACACAAGTCCAGCAGCAGTGTCATGAGGAGTGTTCCCAGAAATCCATCTCTCACTGCACACACACTGCTGCAGACTGCAGTGTTGCTCCTGTTGGAGAGCTGGGCCTTTCAGTCAGTGCTCAGGCAGCACAGTATCACAGCTGTACAATCACACCATGAAATGATACATCATCTGCCACGGTCTGCAGGCTATCATCAGTGCAAGTTTATGTTATCAGTTCACACTTCGTACACAAGTCTTTGAATCTTTTTTATTGCAGGGCTTACCTGGTCTAAATTCTGGTACTAACACACACATTATTCACTGCTGCTGGTAAAGTAACCACAGATCCAAACTCAACTTACTTTCTGAAAGGAGAGCAGCAGCAAGGCATGTTTCAACTGATTTCAGGGAAACATTTTTATTATCCCCCACAGTTGTAAATAGCTTCACAATTTCATATTGTAATTATTACAGATTGCAATGACTCTGAAGGCTAAGGATATAATATTATTGCTGCATAAACACTGTCAGTTCTGTGCTAAACAGACCTGAGAAAATAACTGAGTCTCTGTCTGCCAGTTTCCCAGTGTAAGAGGCAGGGATAAGAACATACTTTACTTGCGTAACATGAGGCTTAAATACTTTGAACTCCTTTAACTGATAACATTGATAAATTTAAACATTTTCCTATCTGTCAAGACTTTTCTTTTTAACATGTAACAAAAAAGGGGTGCCTGGCCAGTGTTACCTAGGTTTGCATTATGACTTCATGTGTGGTGCAAACGACCCAGGCCCATTGACTCCTGGCTACTCAGAAGGCTTAGCACTGTCTGGAATTAAGACCTAGTTGTGCTGCTTTTCTTCAGCTGTGATTACTAAGGCAGAAGTTTATCATGTGTTCTCCCCTGGACCAAATCACTCTGAAAGGTTTGTTCAGCATGCTGGAGCTCACTTCTTGGACTCAGCTTTACAGTATTTTGAGCAGATGTGATGTTATTATTTAGTGGCATTGTTTAGTTTGGTTTTCTAGTGTAGCATATAGTTCTGTCATTGAGCCTATAAGCTCTAAAAACTATACTGAGCTGCAGTGAACTTCAGAAAGCTTCACTTTCTGAAGTTCTCAAAGGTTACTGAAGATTGTTTTCAAGGAGAGGCAGTAAAATCTGCAGTCTTCCTGCCAACATTATATTCTAGATACTTGCAGACAGATAGCTGCAAAATTAAAATCTTACTTTATCACATAAAAGGGCTTTTACCTTATTCGACTTCTGGTTGTAGGGGTGACTGATGCTGTAGGGGAGGATGAGAGGGACAGCTGTGGTGAGGTGGTACCCATTGCCATGAGAGATGCTGGAGACCCTCCATCGGGTGCACTGATATCCCGTTTGATTTCTTCACTACTTCTTCGAGACACTGCGTGGTAAGAAATGTCCACGTATTTAACATTTCCAACATTAAATCCACTGCTTCAGAAACCACCAGTGGAAATCCATACATGACACATTTACTTCACATTTCCTATCTAAGAAGTACCAAGGATTTAGAGATCAACAGTACTGATAAAATTTGTGTCCGAAAGCAAACAAAATTTGATGAATGCATCTAACAGTGTATCATTACTTGCACTGGGAGAGGGACAACGTGTTTCCCTGCCTCCTTATCTCTGTTTAAAGAAAAAAACCCCTACATTTAAGCAGTAAAGTGTAACAGCCAGCTACAGTTTCTTGGAACATATTCTTCTACGCCAAAATTACTTCTAATGCAAGGAAAGGGTGACATTGAAGCTGTCTGTTACATGCAACAATAAGGACCTAGAAATGCAATTAAAAATCTGTTCAGTTTCAATTGATGTGATAGTTATTATTTTTTAACCACCAGACTTATTTTTCATTGTTTAATTTTTCTGTTGTGAGGACAGCTACTCCAAAAATCCAACCTATTGACAAAATCTTAATGGTGTGAACATAAAAGGTCTCTCTTGAAAAAGTAAGACAGATCTGGAAGTACACGATTGAAATCGGAGTTCCTAATTTTGTCATCTAAAAAACGTGATATTACCTGAAATAGATTTGGCACTTTCCATTGCAGGAACTCTTGGCAAAGATGCTGGTCTGCTGGTAGAAGACGTTCTCAACAGATGTTCTGCAGAAAGAAAATGAAGACAGAACACTGTTTTCAAAGATGCCAGTTAAGCACAAGAGATCAGGTACGCATTATGAATACTGCCTACCAGTGCCTGAGTTTGGCTGTTTTACTGAGAGCAATATATCCTTTTCTATACGAAAGAGGCCTAAAATTTGCACATTACCAATGTAGTTCACTCATGTATGATGATACATTCTTAATCCTTTTACAGTATGGCCTCTCTTACACGTTCAGCTGCCCTAGGCTACTGTAAAGGAATTGTTAAACCTGAAGTCCAAGCAAGGAATCCCCACTTAGAATGCAGCAAAAAATGCTTGATGTGTCACTCACAACGTGGATTGGCAAAGCACATTGTTTTGTCTGTTATGTGAACTTATTTTTGTTGGTTTTGTTAGTTTGGTTGATTTTTTGTTTGTTTTTTAAACAAAATCTTGCTTTCTTGTCTCCCCCTGCAGTGGGATCCAAGAGGTACCTTAACAAACCATAGGGAAGATCTGTTCTGCCCACTGCCACTGAGTGAAATCAAACTGCAACAAAACTAATTTATGAAGCATTTAATCAGAAGTAACACCCTTTTAGTTAACTACCCTCCTAAATAAGTATTCCTTCAGCTAACACCTTAAGCTGTATGCAAATGTTTACATATTCCTGTTGCTGCAGAAACACACACAAGGCAGTAGTTTGAGTACAAAAATCAAGAAAAGGACAAATTGTGATTCAAAATAAAATGCTAAACCCATTTCAATACTTGACCAATTATTAGCATACATTGCTAATAAAGATACTTTAAAACTATATACAGTTATGAACAGGAATTCTGTCTGGCATATTCTCTGTTGGAATGTAGTCCTGCTCCTGTGTTGACTGCAATGAAAACGCAAAAACTACATAAAGCATACCACTCAATTTGGGTCCAAGTTTATGTCTACTCATGAACTCTGTAACAATTAAAGAATCCTAAACTATCTTCTTGGAAAGGCATTTCAATATTTCTAAAAATGTCAAAGTTTCTAAAATTAAAACTCCAGCTGCATTGAGCAAAACCTCAATATGCATTGAACAAAAGCAAGAAGGAAATCTGGCACATCCAGACCATTACAAAATGTTACACGCACAAAAAGTACCCTTTATAAAGCATCAGACCTCAGGAATACCAAATTGAGAGGAAATATTCAGTCTGGAGTCATATGGGTATTATCTTGAGAAACATCTACAAAAAAAAGCCTAAAACAGGCATAAATCAGAGAGCTACGCCCAACACATGATAGCCATTCATTCTCACAGGAAGAGCACATTGTGAGCAGTGCTTTTAGAGACAAAACAAAGTTCACAGAACGGGGAATTATTGGAAAACAGATAAATCAACACTCAATTTAATTCCATTCAATTTTTCTTCTGACTCCTAAAGATTCAATATTTATGAAGTTTATATTTGGTTATTCACATGCAATACAATGCCAAGTATCATCCCAGTTTCTGTTTGGAAAAGAAAACCCAAGCACAATACATCATATGGCCACAGAGGTGAAAACAGCAGCACAAAGTCATCCTGAATGTCTCACATCTTGATTTTGCAAGTATCAGTTTATGCACACATGAAAAACAGATTCATGCCCAGTTATCTGGACAAAAATGTGGTTGAAGATTCACCGTGTTTGATGAAACAAGTAAAACCTTTTTGTTTCTTGTTTTACATTTAAAATATAATGAAGACAAAATAGTTCGCTTTAGCCCTGTACAATACAGTAATGCTTTAGATAGTAAACACTGTAAGATATAGAAAAGTAGCACTGCTAAATAAGTGTAAATGAACTCGAGTGATTACCTTGAACAGGGATTTCAGCATAGCTTGGTCTTTTGTCTGTCAGTGTAGCAAGGGGTTTAGAAGCAGAGATTGGTCCGCTTATAGAATGCCTCTGAAACAGAAAACACAGTGTGCCAAACATTGTGGTGTACACAAACCCAGTAGAACAGAATAAAACATACAAAACACAACTTCTAAACATGCTTTCAAGAGGGGAAAAAAATGAAGTGCCTTTTTTCAGGTGTTTATCCTGAACTCAGTTTCAACCTTTCAGAGAAGCTTAAATGAGCCTTATCTTCGTGAGATAATAAAGCTCTGATGTTTCTCACCAAATCATGTAGTCCAGATAGATAAATCCAAAACTGTGATAGAAAAGTTCACAGTATCTATACACTGCAGCATCCTATAGCATAGGCAGGATTACAGGGCTACTTATCTAACATTTGGAGTCTAACTAACACTATGCTTTTGTGCTCAAAATCAAATGCAGAGCAAAGAGCTGCCAATCACAAAGAATCCAAGTACAAAATACAGTATGGAGAATTTTATCACTTTGTATATCAAAAGTCTTGTATGCATGCAGCAAAGACTATTCCCTTAAACATGTAAATGAAAGTGACTGTAACCATGAGCCACACACAGTTCTCCCTATAACAGCATCCCACGAGAATTGGTATTTCAGGTCAGGTTTTTGTTACCTTTAGAGATTATTTCATTTCCTTCAGGTTCTGGTTTTTTTTTTTGGTTTTTTTTTTTTGTTTTGTTTTGTTTTTGTTTTTTTTTTAAATAATAAAACATTGCATCACAGCGACAGCCTCTTTGTTTCTAATAAAGAAGTAAATAAAGGAAACGATAACAACAGTAAGGTGATGAGGCTGGATAACATCATGCCACCTGGCCAGCTTTGGCACTGTCACTACGAAGGCAGAGCAGTACAGAGCTTGGCCAGGAAAGGCAGGTACACACAGAGCAGGCACACTGCAATGCTTTATCACGTTCTCAGCTTCCGGGTATCACTGAAAAACAAACATCCTTTACGGATATTGGCAGAAAATGACCACATTACTCAACTGATAGCCTGCTGTATCTTGGTCCTGTCTCCTCGTTATAAAACAAAATGTTTGTTTTGTTGCTTTTTACTCCTATTGACACTGCAGACTGAGCTTAACTTCGCTGTTGCTAGTTCCTCGTTAAATATCTTACTGCTACAACTATCAGTAGTAACATACTGACTCAGGAAATGAGAGGAAAATGAGCCAGCTAATATGTTCATACATCAAGTTCTGCCCGGCAATACTCTGGCAGTAATAGTGCACAAGTGTCTCATGAAGAATTACTTTTCCTGAAGCGTTTTACAAGTATTAGAAACATTTCTGCTCAAGTGAGCTTCTGTTGAAGCTGCAGATGAATCATTCACCATTTCTCTTACATCTGATGCACAGTGAAACATGTATGGATCCTACCAATTCCTTGATAAACAGACTTTGTTTTCCTTCAACTAGAAATGCATTCAAGCTTGTTTAACTACTAAACAACAATTTTCCTTAACACCAGTGATAAAACAAGATCCAAAGTTTTCCCATGCTTTTTGAGGCTACTCATGGAGACTCCCAATGGGACAGAAATTACTGAAGATGCTTTACAATCTGTTCTCCTGGTTTTCATTCACCCCATGCTGAGGTCTAGCAAAGTAATACTTCAGATGAGGTGCAATGAAGAAAATTGTTCACTTAGATGTTTTTATGTAGTAGTCTCTGTATAATGTAATCACAATAAGAGATAAAATTAGGGTTATTAAGATCATCACCAGTTACTTTCCCACAGCCATTTCTGGCCTCTGCTAGCTGCCTGTTACTCTCTTCTTCTCCTTTTGTAACAAGAGTTAACAGCCCCAGAAGAGGAAAAGGCACACAAGACAGAAAAAAGGAGAACAAACATCTGACACTTCAAATTTGAGGCAGAACTACTGCAAGAAGAAAAAATCCCTTCAACTATCCTGCTTCAGACTCTTAATTGGTGCAATCTGCTGTAGCTGTGACAGAAATGTGACCCTCAGCTACTATCCAGATATCTATTTCTGACCACTCTGCACTTCAGTAGGTACTTAAATGAGTACCTCAATAAGATGTTCTGCCAAATTCAAAGAAAGCACAGCTCTTTGCACACCAAGTAGTTACACTGTGGAAGTTTGACACTGAATAGGCTGGAGCCTGAAAGCTTCTTGCATGCTCAAAACAGAACTGGACATTCACTGGTGAGCAGGGAATCTGAAACCACATCTGCTTCTTTCAACTACAAAACTGAAAAAGAAATTACTTGGGGAAACCAGCAGTGATAATTCTCCATTCTTATAAACCTTTCTAGGAAACTGCTTTGTCACTTGTGGGTTAAGTTTTGCTGTGTTCTACATTCTGAAAAGCAATGTGTTTATGTATGTTTTTCCCAGCTGTTTTGCAATATTGTTAAGGTCTGGTATAAAACCACTAAGCTTTACTATGGGCTCAGACCCAAAGCTAGAAAGGGGTTTTTGGCTGGTTGTTTTCCATTTCTCAGTAAGTGCCAACTCTAGTATTTCCTGTGACAGCTTTTAAAATCTGATGATAAGCACTGCAACAGTCATACAGAGAACAACCCTTCCACCTTTACTCAAGATCTTAAAGCATAGATTAGTACTGTAAGGTGAGAGATTCTATAGATCAACTCATACAGCAACCACTTATAAAAAGACTGCTTTACAATTGCAAGAGAGCAAAAAAAAACCCAAAAAACACAAAACTAACTTCTTACAAGAGAACAGAAATAAACAGAATAGAAAGGAAGACCAACAAAAACAAAGCACCTACCAGAGATTGTCACATTTAAATACTTCAGAAAACTGTCATCAAGAGTGACAGACCTCAAAAAGAAATTATTCAGGTAATACACTGAAGACAACAGGAGGATTACTGACATTAACAGCATAAGGTGCAACAATTCGTAGGGGTTTTTTTTGAGAATCTGGAGCCATCTTTGTCCTTAAGCTTGTTTGCTTTTGCTGAAATCTCTTCAAGCAGCTAGTGTGACCATAAAAACAGCAGCCATCTATCAAGCTGAGCATTAATGTATTGATGATACATTCTTTAGTGTAGTGTTGTCTCCTTTACCTAGACTCGTATAGCAGCTGAACACGTGGACAAAGCTTCAAAGGAGACACAACAGAACACACAGTACAGTCAGCAGCTGGACAAAACTCTCAGCCAGTACGAAATGAACACAGATAATCAGTTTACAATGACCCCATTCCTCTCTGGTCAGGTCTGGTAAGAAAAGCCCATGCAACGTGGGATACATTTATACTGATGACTGCTGACAGACTGCATAGATCTCAGTCCACTTCCCAAAGGAGGTAACTGCTGCTTCCATGCAAGGCACAAGACTAAGAGCTGATAAACAGTGAGTCTAAAACTAGGCAATGTAGATAGTTTTCCTCTCATACTCCTCAGCAGTACAGGAATCGTAAGAATTTTTAACAGGTACCAATAACCTTCAAATTATGTTGTCATATCTTGTATTTACAATAGGGTTTGCCATGCAGGACTCCCTAGGGAAGCACAGGGCAGGCTAGAGCCTTCTGCAACTTCTCTTTAATTGCAGTGCTTAAACAGACATCATGCAAAACGGGACACATAACAAAACACACCTATATTATGATTACGCCCCTAACAAGAAAATTAGCTTTTAAGGAGATATGTTCACATGGACCTGAGCAGTGGGGATCAAGAAGGAAGAGACATAGGCTGTATGTGAGCAAAACCACAGCATTTTTTCATTTCTCAAATACAGCTGCCTAAGTGCCATTTTCTCAGAGGACTCCTTGGGGGAAATATGCTTTCATAAGAATGAACATTTTAGTAGCTGCTTACTTGCAGCATCATTTTATCATTATGTCCCCATAAAGGCAACCAACATTTGTACATCACTGCCTGCAGGTTCACGTGCTCTTCTTCACAGAGAATTAAATGCAGCCATAAAATACGTACCTGCATGGGGGATACAGCAGCAGCTGGGGGCGTCTTCATGGGACTCGGGCTCAGAGGAGTGCGAGGAATTGTGGCAGCAGCAGGACTTGGAACTGGAAGAAACACAGCCATCAGGAAGCACTGCCCCATTTTCAATGAACAAGCAGACTGGCTGCATGTAGCAAACTCTCCATTTGTGTTTTACTCCCCTAATTTTACGAGATCGCATCTTTAAAAACTGCAGGTAGAGACTGCCTGCAAAACCATTTAGAAGTATGCCATCACAGTCACTCCTCCACAGTTACTTTCATTTTCTGTACTGAATATCTCAGTCACAGTAAAAACATTTCTAAGTTTACTAAGAGGTGTACAAAGCTAAGCTATAGGATGCTGTTAAGCTGGCAGATGAGAGCATAACTAGTTCTCTGATCTCCAGATAACTGAAGACATGGCAGCAGGCTTCTGGGTCTGCCAATAAGACAACCCCTGTATCTGCTTTCCAGCTTTCAGTTCAAGTCCCATAGCTAACGCAGACCTACTGTTGTGTAACACGCTTTCTGAAATTTTGAATTAAACAAATTCCAGGTTTAGGAACGTATGAGAACAGAAATACTGAGCTGGCGGGTTACTCATCTAATTCCATAACACCATGATTAGGCATAAATGCTGAAGAAGATAGATACCAGCTTAAAATAAAAGGTGAAAAAAGGTAGAAAGGCTTTGCTGTTTTACCAGACTAACTTTGGCAAAAGAGCACTTTCATGAAGAACAGATTAAAAACCTTTTAAGTTAACTCAATGAAAGTTCAAAAATGTAAATATATATGAAAAATGAGAACACAAACTGAAATTGAACCATTTACAGAATCGTCAAGTAATACAGAGGAACTTTTATAATAAATATTCAGGCAATAGGTATGGAGAAATAGATCTGTTGTGCACAGAACACTTATTGCAAATATTGATAATATAATCTACTTTTAGCCAAGCCTTTCTGCATCAAAAACTTAGTGACACTATCAAAAATGACACTCAAGGCCAAAAGGCTCGAGGCATGTAAAATATTTCCATCACCACTTCAAATGTCGTCACACCTAAAATCCATCTCCTATTTTAGGGTAATTACTCAGATTCCTTATTCTGCTTATCCTTAACAGAGGACAACAATGGCTGTTTTCACAACCAGAAAATTACAGTCCATTGTCTCAACAGTGAAACCCCTCTCATTTCAAAAGATATCCTTTATTTATTTCATGGTGAAATAACTGGCTGGAGCTTGTTTTTAACTTTTATTAGCACCGACTACAAGAACATGAGTTACAAAACGAAACAAACTCAGTTCTGGCTATTGCATGCATTTAAGTATGCTTAATTCAGCACGTAAGTTCGCAGCTTAACAGAAAGGCTGAAGTCAGCTGTGCTTCCAGCTACAATTACGTCGTGCGAGTTTCCGTACTTCCAATATGAGGCAGCACTGAATCAAAGTGTGTAACATACGAATCACTGGCAATTTGACAGAGAAGGAAAACTAAGGATAAAAAACGATGCTTGCCCTTAGCCACTGGGAATAACCTGCCGTGCAACCTAATGTAGGTTGATTTGTTTCAGCTATCGCTTATGAATCACGACGGCACAATAAAACAACTCATCTGTGAATTAGCTAAGCCATTAGAAGTATTCATGTCCACACATCCAAAATCAAAACTTGGCACTGGCTGCACATAGTTACCTTGGGAGGCACTGTCAAAGGACTTGATGAGTGTTTTGACAGTCGGAGTTGGCTCTGAGGAGGTGGACGACCTGCGGCTCAGGCCCATTCCCTGTCTCAGAGCTGCCAAATCTCTCTCTACAGCATTCATGTAATTGTACACTCGCCCGCGTTCTTCTTCCTGCCTGAAATCAATATGCAGCCTGTTTAAGGCATTTAAAGCCACCTTAACATACAAAGTGTTAAAACAGGAACATAAATTTGAAGTCAAACTAAAATCTGTAGAGAAAAGAATTAGCCATTAACCCAGTTTCCTTTCCACTGTGATTTAGGAACAGATTATCATCCTACATTATCAATTTAAATCAACAAGAGAGCTTAAGCACCAGACAAAAAGTCTATCAAATCAATACTCCATTTAAGGCTTAATTTCTGTTGATTTCTGTTCCTTTCACATACACAAATACACACACATGCATGTACGTATTGAAAATTTAAGGCTCAAAAATCCCACCATTTCACATGAAAATAATCAGCTCAGAAATAATTATGAGTGGAAAGAAAACAGGACAAGATACATGCAAAACAAGGGCTCTTCTCATATAAAACAACATCTGTATTTATCATAGCAAAAGCCCTAGCTACTAAGGAGAAGAACTCATGATGCACAGAAAAGTTGACACTGCTTATTTTCCATACTGAGGGTAGATAAACCAAGTCCAGACATTAACTGGGAAAAAACCTCTATGAGAAACAGGTTTATACCAAAGTGCCAAACTAAATACTCTTGGAGGAGGAGGAGCATATAAAGGAGAAATAACTTTTTCATTTCCATTTACCTACATTACTCCTCAAAGCCTGCATAAGGCAAGTAGTTTACAGTGAAAGGAAGAATTTACAGTTTCCAGAGTCTCAATAACACATGCTGGATTTTCAAAATCAGATCTCCCCCCGCACAAAACAGACAAAATTCCCATTATCTCTTGCATACTTGCGTGACTTGATTTCCTCCAACTCTTTAGTGAGCTTCTCATTTTTCTCCTGAGCTTCATGTAATCTTCGCTTTAGGTCTCCTATCTCTTCCTGGGCCTCAGACTTTATATCATTTGCTATAACCACCGCAGTCTGGAGATCAGCTTGGAACTGACGCCATTCTGCTGACTCCTCCTATAAGCAAATAAAACGTTAAACTGAAAGCAGCAGCAAGAATTTTGATGTTAAAAAAAAAAAAAAAGTTACGCATATTATTCATATTTTCCCCATGTTACTACAACAAACAATTTTCAGGAGTGATTAAGGCACTCACCACTGGTGCTGTGCATAACCTAACTTACATTCCACAAGTTTTGCTAGAAACAACCTCAAAGGTCAAAAATTTCTGCCCTAGAAATTGAGAGAATGTTCATAGTATTGCAAATGTACGTATTGAACATACATCAGCAGACACAGGAAGATATTCACCCAAGTCCAACACCACATTTCTGGAACGCTAAGAGTTTTTCAGAATTAATCTTCAGTCTCTGTAAATTAGTAAATATATTTCCCTGTGATGCCCTGCTCTCACCAGTTCCTTTAATGACATTACATTTAATCATATTACTTTTTCCATGATTTATCGTGCTTTTCGTTTTTCAACTTACCCGGAGTCTCCTGTGAAGATTCTTGATCTCTCTTTCCATGTCATGCTTTTGGTCCTGAAGTTTTTTAACAGTATCTGGAAAGAAAATGAAATTCCCTGTAACATCGTAGTCAGGGCTCTATTTACTTAAGAAACAGTAACTGAAACAACCTATAAATGTTTTTTAAAACTTAGTCAGAGAACACTTTTGTATAATCAAAGCCATCCGGAGAAAAATAGTATTATTAGAAGTAATTTGACAGAAAAACTCTGCTCTGTGACTGGTGGGGGAACAGCAAAAATGAACAATTCCTGTCACAACATCAAGATGACAAAGCAGTAACAAAGAACAAATAAAAACAGTATGTACTATTTTTATTTGGTAGGTGGGCAAATTAACATGGAAAGATCCTAACACGGGTACGTTCAACTGTAAGCTGCAGCTACACTAAGCCTCCTGATCAATTTCCTCCTTTGCCACAGCGCAGCTGACAGAACGCCGCTGTGCCTTCAGTGGGGACAAACTTCCACTTGGGTCCACAAGAATTGTACATTCTTGTCTATCAAGCTCTATTTGGAGTAGAAACAAGCTACGTTTACAGCGAAGGGACAAACAGTGCAATTGTGTTATGAAGGAGATGGTTCCTCGATTCTGTCAGCAGCTGTACAAAAGGGGACGCAGGGTGATCAGCACCAGCTCCTAACGCGGCGTCTGACAGGCTGGCTACAGCAATTACTATTCATTTGGTTCTTTATTCAATACACAGGGACAGTGTGATTGATTACTCCATTCTTATAACTAAGCAACTAATGAAGAAGAACGCAGCACAAGCCTCTCATTAGCGTGTCCCTTCACTGATCCTGGACTGGAAGATGTTTCATTTCTATAGCATCGTGTATTTCCAAAAGGTAAAACTGATAGGCCAACTAATTAACTGTGTTTTAGTTGAGGTTCATTGCTCCAAGTTTTGCTGGAAAGAAACACTGTCACTATGTATGGCAACAACCTTTTCACAAAGACTGAAGGTGCATAATACACACATTCATGCAGATAAATTGATACCAAAAGGTTTTGGAGGTCTCATTTCCCAGGATGAAACACTCTCCAGGATTCTGACCTGGTTATTAGGGCTCAGGAAAAACACTGAATCCATGCTTTGCTTCAAGTCAATGTTCTACTACCACCTTCTCCGCAAGCAAGCCTATCACTTCAGCACTCCTTGTCTTCTGCCAAATTGCTCTCCCTAACAATAAAGATGAAGCTGTGGCAGACTAAGTGGAACACAGTTAGCATTTCAAAATGTTTAAATCAAATGCAACAATGACTAAGCACACATTTAAGCCCATTTATGCTGATATGTACGTTCAAAAGCCTCAGCTAAGCTCACAGGAACATTACAATTTTTCAGCCATGGAATTCTTTCTAGTTTCTTCATCAGAAGAAATTCTTCAGTGTTGTCTCAACAGCCCCAATTCAAAGGCTTTAAAAGCCATAGCTGATTTCTGTACAAGGATGACATAATCCTCAGTTGGTCTGAAACCATGATAACTTCTCAGGCTTGCAAGAGTTGGAACAGTAAAATTAGACAGATACTTCTGTTTGAATCTCATTCTTACAAGACTGCACAATTTAAGATGCATCCAACTGATCTTCAAGCTTTGAAGACAACATGCTGTTGTGACACTCAAGAAAAGTCCTCCTATTTTTAGCTTGTCTGCATATAAAACTTGGTTGAGATAAAGTCAACACTGAAATGGCAGCTTCAAGTGAAAATTACACAAGTTGCTCCCACTCCACGCTGTTTTTTTTCCTATAAAAATATGCTAAAAACCACCAGCAGCTAAAAAACAACAGCAGAACACCAACACAACACTGCAAATTAGGCACCTTTCAGCTGCGATGGCAAGCATAAGGAGCTTTCAGTAGCACTTGAAATGAAATTGAGTGGATGGTGGTCCTTTTAACAAGAGGTTCAAAGAATGTTTTTAAAAATAAAATTTGTTCTACTACTGAGAGCAAGCTGCAGTTCATCTAAAAATAACCACAAACCAGAAACTGTAAATGCATCCAGAGCTAAGGTTGTACAATGGCATTGTTTTGGGCTTCTGTGAGATATGAAACGCACCATTAAGTTTTAGTATATTTATGCTTTGAAGTAAAACACAATGGTCTGCAGTTACCATAAACAACAGAGAGCATTTCACAGCAGTTGTTGGAAACAGTTACCTCTGCACAAACCTCAAATCTGTCAAAGAGATTCAGAAAAACAGAACGGAAAGGAACTTGAAACTTAGCGAGACTGAGACAAGGGATTTCCCCTCTTACAGCTCAACTCCACTCTTCACATTGTGTTACCAACTGCAGGCCACAAAGCCAAGCAGTAACAACAGGCAGGGAGCAGCAGCTTCTGTGCAGCTGCTCTGTGGTACCTTTCCTCACTGCATCCTCGCTGCCTCCCCAGTCTTCTCTAAAATGCACAACTAATTAAAAACTAATGCTCAATTTACTTTTCCAACATTATGTAGAAAAGGATGAAACATCATTTGAAAAGCGAGCTTGATAACTGCTGTCAAGGTCCTTTTGAAAAGGAGATAATATGAAAAAGTAATTCTGACAGCCCTATAGTAGAAGCACTCATTCACTCCTTGTTCACCTACTCTCGTCCAAAATATGTACTGACAGAAATACTGATGGATGAAGAGAATTGAAATGTTGAACACTCACACCTTGCAGTAAATGAACGTACAACAAACATTTTCAGGCATCAGAGCATCTGACAAACAAGCTAACCTACAAACATTAGTTTTCTGCAAATCACAATACAAAATCCTCCATACCAATTCATCTGTTCACTGCTGGGAAGAACAGAAGATTTATTTTTTCCCTCCCTTAGCAAAGATGATGACTGTGCCAGCTTGGCGACCTGACTACCGAAGTCTGTCTGAAGTGGCACACGAAAAGCAGAGCACAAACGCCACCTAGTGCAAGGCTGTGCTGCAGCCCTCCTGCTCAGCAACACCTCTGTGTCAATGCTCAGCCCCTCACAGGCTGCTTCAGCTTGCTGTGCCTAGTGATAACATGGAAGTTATGGGGTATTTCAGTATTTCTTTTCCAGATTCAGTCTGGAATCACTACGGCTAAGATTCCTTATCCCACTAGTGGCATGTTCAGGTAGCACTGATTGCAGGCCCTGCCACACCTGGGCTGACTGCAAGGGCGTACTGCATGCTTTCAATGTCATTGACATGACACTGGAATTCCACTGTCCTTATCTAAGAGATCACTGTTTCTTTTCAGGCACTCATTTTCATATAATAACAGCTAAAATGTGGTAACTTAATATTCCAATAGCTGTGAAACATGTTTCATTGTATGATCCTTGAACTATTTCCTAGAATTAGGGAAGCCTGCAGCAATGAAGCAAGTCCCCAAGCAGTCAGGCCAGAGCATCGCATGATCCTACGTGACTCTTTAGTGCAGTGGCTCATCAACACTGACTGCAAACTCATCAGCTCATAAATGAAGCATCTTCCTCCTAATTGTAAAGTTTCTCCTCTGTAATTTCATTAAGAGATAATTTTCTGCCATTTAACACCTGCCACTTCTCTGTCATCTCACCACCACTCTCAATTAGCTAGCAAGTTTGTCATTACACAAGCTCTCACATTCTCTTAAATTCTCCCATATTTGACACTGGATAAACGAGAGATTGCCATAGTTTAAAAGCTTAGAAAAAAAAAATCTTATATTGCTCTTATTGCATTTAGTTACTTAGGCTAAAAAACCACCATTCCCCTGACTAGTGCTCACATAAACCTGCAACACATCTCCACGTTTAAAAGCACAGTATTTGTCTGGTAGAAAACCAGACCTGACCACAAGTCTGATCAACATAAGAGAACTTAGTAAGTAAGATGTACGTTTCTGTGAGTTCAATACAAGTTATTAAAATGTTGTGTTACACGCTGTATGCACTCCCACAATTCCTCCTGTGCAATCCCTCCTTACGGTCGCTAGATGCCACTCTCCAGATGCTTGTTTCCTCCAGAAGTAACCACAGCAAACAGCCCAGCTGACTTTTCAGAACTGTTTCTGCAGAGATGAGTAACAGACTACAGCAATTTTTGTTGGAAATCTCAGCACCAATAGATTTTTTTTTCCACCAGCATGTTTACCAGTTCAACTGTTACAGCAGGAACATTCTTACATAATGTCTGTCGAAACGACACGCCCTATTCCCAAGGCAAAAGCATCTAAAACTTAGAGCTGCCTTGTAATTAGGTATTACTAAATAAACACCTAAACAGTTATTTGACTGTATGAACGGATTTCAGTTAAGACAAAGAAAAAAATGCAAGTAGAGAAGCGTTCATCTTTCGCAGTGTTTGGTATAAAATGACTTCAGGAACAACATCAGAGCTGCTGCCCACACACCTGACCTCCCATTCCTGAATATGTTCCTTTGGTTTGAGCACAGAAAGAGGAGGAAAAAGAATAAAAAGCTAAGCCAATTTTGCAAAGTGAAACAGGAATTGTCTTGCAAGATAAGGGAACACTGCTTGGGGAAACTAAGCTGACACCCACATCTGAAAATACTGCTCTTCAACTGAATGAACAGTTTTGATTACTTAAACCACCATCTTTCCTTGATAGCAGACCGATTTAAAATACTTGCTACAAACATTTTACTTACAGTGAAAAGGAATAATACTTTGACTTTTCATTATCTGATTTAGAATAGCAGACATTTGAATTCCCTAAGTAGCACAGTGCAAATAACAGCTTTCAGAAGGTACAGCTGCCCAAGCTCTTGTTCAGATGGAGACTAATTGCAGAATTCCAGCCTGTGGTAGGAATGTCTGAGCAGGTCTCAGAGATCAGAGAGGGAACGTAGGCACAGACAGATAGGTGAGTGTACAGTAAATATGAATTTCATTACAGGCTCCAACCATTTCTCGTACAGTGAGTCAACAGAGGGAAGAGATCATCAGTTATTCACATTCTCAAGCTATCAGGTAAATCCTGGGATTTAGGCACTTGAAAAAGAGAGCTTATTTAAAAAATAAAAATAAAAAAATCAATTATCCAGTTTCCAAAATGCACACTATTATTTAGTCTGTAACTACATGTTTTCCTACTTAAAAAACAAAAAACAAAACTTGAAAACAGCATTATCAGATTTCAGATTTATTCTCAATTCACAGGTTTTGGTTCACCAACTGACACTGAGACTGGAAAACAAAATCTGGCTTTTTTTTCCCCTTAGCATTTTAAGGGTGACTTGAACTCAGACAAATGAGAGACAAATGAGAATATTTTCACTGTTTCAGCGTTCTGCTTCATAAGTTCTTAAATTATCATTACCCTTCCACTAGTAACACATAACACTTACTCTCCAAATCAGATATGATGAGATTGTCATGAAGCTTCACAGCCCGATGCTGCTCTACTTCATCCTCCAACTCGAAGATGGTTTCTTTCATGTCACTTCTCTCAGTTTCTTTCTCATCGAGCTCTGCCCGAAGTTTTTCTAGAGTCACATTAAGATCCTCTATTTGTTTCTTGGCTTCTTCTTGGAATACTCTGTATTCATCTTCAACCTGAAAAAGAAACACCACGTGTCATAACCAAACTGAATCCCTTTAAAGATACACTTCTAGTTTTCTAGCTAGCATACCTACAATGTATTTTTGGAACCATAGGAAAGGGCATTGGCCAAGAAGTTAAACACAAACTTTAAAACTGTACGTGCAACTATTTTTCTGTGCCAGAGTCAAGCTCTTTTCTCCCAGGTTGAACAAATGAGCTTCCCTCAGCTACGCCAGCAGCAGAATCCTGTACTCAGGGAAAGCAGTAAGAACCACAGTACTGAGGTTTCAAGAGCAGCTGATGCAACTTAGCATCTAGCTGCTATGGAAGTGGGGGAAAACTCTTCATCCTTTCTTTATCCTGCCAAGAGAAGTCAGTTCTCTTTTGTGCATCGATATCACAGAATCACCCGGGTTGGAAGGGACCTCAAGGATCATGTAGTTCCAACCCCCCTGCCCAGCAGGGCCACCAAACACACACATTTAGATCAGGTTGCCCAGGACCCTGTCCACGTCCAAGGACGGGGCATCCACTACCTCCCTGGGCAGCCCGTTCCAGGGCCTAACCACTCTCCTTGTAAAGAACTTCCCCCTAACATCCAACCTAAATCTTCCCTCCTTCAACTTGGATCCATTTTCCCTAGTCCTGCTATTGTCAGCCCTTTCGAAGAGTTTACTCCCCTCCTGGGTGTCCTGGATGATATCAGTGCTTGCTGATTCCTTAACCTATATCAAGATTCATATTTGTGCATGTGATGTGTCAGTGATTTGAAGCAGTTGCCAGAAAAGTCTTAGAAGCTACTGATCTGCTTAATTGAAAAAAACACCCGACAGGGAAAGGAAAAGGCAGCAGACCTCTTTTCAGGAACAGCAAGACCATTTTATTCTGCCTTATGAAGCTGCAGCTTAAATAACAAGCTGAGATCAGAGGCTCTTTAACATTCACTCCCATGCCCAACAGCAAAAAACAAGGTCATGGCTTAGGGCGGGTCAGCACAGGCACCAATTTTAATCCACAAAATGCCCTGCTTTAAATTACCTGCTTCAGTATTTATTTATCTTAATAGCACTACCCAACCTTAATTATTAAAATTTTATTTTAATTTTTTTTAAATCTCTAATTAAGATTAATTCTAACTGGCTATTGATCTGCAGTTAGCATATAGCTCAGACAACATATCTGAGAAACTTTCTTGTCAGGAAGACTTATCTTCAAATGGATAATGGCTAGGACATTTTTACTAGATAAATCAATTTCATTTAAGTCACAGTAGGTGTTCTAGAACTACAACGTTTGGATCCAAAACACAACACATAAGGTGCTCCTGGATGGATCATTAGAAAAAACCTTCATGTATTTGCCATATTTAATGATTTTTTTTTAAAGCTTAAATGTTCTTTTTTCACTCAAAACTAAAACATTTAGATAGCAAATTAAATTACATGGAATAACCTCCCCTACGAGGACAGGCTGAGAGAGCAGGGGCTGCTCAGCTTTGAGAAGGAAAGGCTCCTGGGGGACCTGACAGCAGGTTTGCAGATGTTTTCAGTATCTGTCAGAGGCAGTAAGAAGGAAGGGGACAACCTCTTCAGCAGGGACTACTGTGACAGGACAAGGGGAGATGGTTTCAGACTAAACAAGGGGAGATTTAGACTGGATATAAGGAAGAAGTTTTTTATAATATGGGTGGTGAGACACTGGCACAGGATACCCAGAGGAAGCAGAAGCTCCATTCTTGAAGATATTCAAGGTCAGGCTGGATTGGGCTCTGAGCACCTGACTAAGCTGCAGAAGTCCCTGTTCACTGCAGGGAATTTGGACTAGATGACCTTATGGGTTCCTTCCAACTCAAATGCCTTACCTATAATTCTGTGATTCTATGACATACTTCTTTAAAAAAGCCTGCAGCACTTTCATAACAGAACTGAAGAAAGCCATTAATCCTAACTTTACCACAATCCAATTAGCCTCATAATTAATCCTTTATTTCTGAAAGAACTGCAATGACCAACAATAAATGTCTTGATATAGAAGTGATGTTAAAAACACAGCAAATGCAAACACTACCTTAGCAATGGCATCTTGCAATCGATTGGCATCATTGCGAGTGTGCGCCAGCTCCTCTTGCAGACCGCTGGCCAGTGTCTCTGCTTTTTCTTTATCCAGCCTGACACTCTCTAGCAAATCCTGTATATCTGATTTGTCTCCAGAGTTGTGTATTGAATACAACTCAGCCACCTTCTGCTTCTCGTGCTCTAACTGAGCCTTCAGCCTGTTCATCTCTATCTGGTCGCTGGCTACCGTGGCTTTGTACTCCTCTAAGGTCGATGCTATTGCTGTTTTGCTTTTCTGTTCTGACTCAATGATCCGTTCCATGTGGTGATTGCGTTCCTTCAATGCCCCTATCATTTCTTGGGCCTCCTTATTGTCTTGTTCTGCCATCTTCAAAGTGTTGCTCAAGTGCTGCTGAACACCTAACAGCTGCTCCCGCTCAAACCGGGCGTTCTCTGCAAGGTCCATGTAGCGCTGCTCCAACTCCATGTAGCGACCACTTTTCATATCTTCATCAATTACGTAGGAAATATGGTGTTCATCTAAAAGAGACCGAAAATACTCTATCTGACGGCTAAAATGTTCCAACTTATCACTTTGCTGGCACAGAGATTCCATCAGGATGACTTTTTCCTCTCCCAGTCTTTCGTTCTCGCTGTTTAGCTCTTGCGTTATTTGCTGCAGATCTGCAAGCTCTTGAAGCGTGGCTTGGAGCTCTTCTGCTGTGCTGTGCTGGTTCTCTTCCATCTGATGTATCCGCTCTGTCAGACAAGCTACGGACACTTCGCTCGCGTTGCCACTGCTTCCTTTTCTAGATCTTTCTATACTTGGTACGCCTTCAGACTCTGAAGATGACGGAGCATCTAAAGCATCATCACTCGATGTCAGTGGCTGATACACTTCACTGCACTCGCTATCTAAATTATCCATGGAGTTACTATGCTGGTTGTCCATCAGAGTGTGTTCATCCTGACTTAGCAAGTCTTCCATTGACCCAGGAGCAGAACCTTCCACAGAAGATGTCAGAGTACCACCACCATCACTGTGGTTGCCAGCTGTAATCTCTGGACTCAAAGACTGGTAACCAAAGAGTTTCTCAGAGTTGTCCAGCCTTTGTTCCAAAGAGAAGCCTAATGCATTTAGTCTGTCTTTTAACATTCGGTTCTCATTCTTCAGCTGGTTGAGCTCTTCTCGGATGGCAGTGTTTTGTTCCTGTAACTGTAGCAACGTAGACTCTACATCAGTCGGCTGATGGACAACAATGGCCTCTTTTTCTTCAGATTTTTCATCACCTTCAACTTGGTCTTCATTAAGTCCCAGCTGAGCACGCATGTCCCTTAGTTCATTTCTCAGATGCAAGATTTCCACATCTTTAGTTTTTGCTAGCGTCAGAAGATCATTCACCTTTGCTTCCAATGCAGCTTTGTCACTGATCTGATTGTCTGATTTGGACTTGCTCATCCGAATATCCGATTCCGGATTGGTGCGACTGCGGGAACGTTTTGCCAGGACCGCATCATTGCTGCCCTGTCCAGCCAGAGGCAGTTTCTTACTCTGGCTTAAGCGGGACCGATCGCGTATTCTCTCCCTAGAAGAGCTGGATTCTTTAGTTCCAGATGAAGTGCTACGCTTAGCTGTGGAACCTGCATGGTTTTTGAAAGTTAGGAATACTCATTTAGAATACTGCATTTGGAACGTAAGACTGTGTATTTTTTAGCCATACAATGGTTGATTTTCTGAACTATGCTGGCAAACACATCCTAGAAAATAAATCTACAGTTAATGTTTAAATAAACCTACTTATGAGGTAAAGCAGCTGTACTTTATTTGATGTGTGCTTTTCAACTGCTATACTGCTCCAGTATTTTAAACCTCAAAGCTTAGTTTAACTGTAACATTTGCACATTTCTTTTTTTCTGTCTTTAAAAGCTTCTGACAAACTGCACAAATATGATAGCAGTACTTTCCTGCAAGTTCAAATTTCACTCTTTTCAGTAGATTTGAATGCAAGCATTTAAGTGATGAATTGTGTATTACGATTAATAAAATATTAGGGTACTTTCTACTCTATCTTCATCACACTTCATAAGGCATAGATGAATTATTGCTATTTTATTCCCAGATGATTTACAGCTTTGCAAGCATTACTGAATCCAAAACACAGTGAGGAAGGTATTTCCATCTGTATTGAGAGCACATTAAATAGTTCCACTTCTCTAAACAGTTTATGAAAGCTCTCTTACTTCTTTACTAAAAAAAAAACAAAACACATTGACTGTAACACGCAATCACATCTTATGTTTGCAGCTTGAATCTTCTAAAGACAAATTAAACCACAACCCTCCAGATTAACTACATGATGTAGTATTATTATATAGTACTTACATAAGCAGTACTATTAAAAGGAGCAGCCTCCAAAAAGGCAATTACAATATTACAAAATACGTAAAGAAGATCAAGGCCAAAGCACAGAAGAGATTTTATTTGACCATGGTCTTACCAACCACTTCCTAAAGCAGTCTGCATCCACACTGCATGGCAGGAAAATAAAATTCTACCTTCAAGAACCAGTATATCCATCTACCTGCAACAGTTTTAGGTTTATTTTCCAGAGTGTTCATGGTTGTCCCTGTAGCTGAAGACACTGTTGGTGCACACGTGCTCTTCTTTGCCTTGACACCGTTGGTCATTGTCACTCCACCGCCACTGGCCATCCCTGCTAAGAGGTCATCGTTGCTCTTAGTCTGAAAGAAAGGTAAGATGCAGCTTACAGACAGCTGGCTGACAAGTTTGCATAGCCAATATTTCTTCTGTGAAGGATTCCATCAGTTTAACAAACACACATTTGACCAGTCTTATGTCTGCGCAGGTATGCTGAAGAGTAACTGCACTACAGCGTGCAGAGCAGGTGAGCTGAAACTGAACTTCAACTACTTACTCACAGCTGACCATAGAAACCAAGTCCCTTCTCTCCCAAGAGAGAGGAAATAATCAACATTTCAATACCTGAAGTGGAGAAAGAAAAACAAAAAGAAGAAATCACAGGGAAGTGTAAAAAAAAGAAATTACAATAAAGTGTAATTTTTCTCAATTCTGAGAGAAAGGTTCCCCAGGTATAAAAATAAACCAACAAATACTAGGAAGTCTGCCTAATGTTCTTCAAGAGAACACGATCAAGCATTTTCTGTTGGACAAATTCTCAACAAAAATGAAAGCTAACAGCAATAAAAATCAATCCAAGACAAATAAAATACCATTTCTAGCTCAAAATGCTAAGCCACAAACCACTAGAGACAGTAGCAAGAAGGGGGAAAAAAACCACCCTCACCGTATATCCCTGTCTTGTTTTCATGCCCCTTCCTAGGCACTCTCAGAGACAGGACATTTGTTTCATGTACTTTTTGTCTGACCTCTTAACATCATTCCTGAAGCGACTGTTAGACACAGCAGCTGCCTGGAATGTGACAAGAGTAAGCACAAGGACCTCAAGAGCCAGATTCCCAAATAGAGAATCCATCTTCCAGAGTAAAGCAACATCTAAAAATACCAAGTACCCAAGTACGAATTGGCAGACAGCACCACTCTTTAAAATGCAATTTGTCAAATGGAGAAACAATCATAATAGGCTAAACATTCTTCCTATTATAAGGCCCAAAAATTAAATTTAAAAGGTTAACAGCGTTCCCTGAGTAATTGTATTATTCAATTAGATAACACATTTGAAGTCCCAACTAGCATTCCTGCTAAAAGGTCCCAGCCAGGAGCTCTGCATCAGGACTTAAAATTCTGCAGATTTGTAACCTCTCTATCACATACATATCCATGGTACAGTGTTAGCCAGACACAAGCATTTTATACATTGAGAATGAACTTACACATGCTTAGTTAAAACCAGTGTTCCATCTCGCTCTATTACAAAGTTTCCTTTTGCAGCTGAGAATTTGACAACAGCTAGCAACATTGATAACAGTGATTCTACGGAGTCTGACATCAGTCAGACAATTAGCTCTTGGCATTTGTACCTCGCTAAGAGAGCGAAGAAATTAGATTAAGCTTTCAAACACTTGTAGCACATGTTATCAAGCCAAATAGGTCAAGACGTGACTCAGCTTGAAGAAAGAAAGAGAACTACGTTAAATGCAGGCTTTCTGACATTAGTCATCTCCAGCCCTTTGCTGAACAAAGGAATTTCAGCCAGCCCTTCTCCCTCTCACTTACCCATGCACTATTTCCAGGGTAGGTTGGAAGGCGCTGCCTCCTCTGCAGCCAATTAGTAAACAGTTTAGAGAAACTGTAACACTACACTATTGGCAGGAAAAACTATTTAGCAAAGCTTTGGAAAAATTACAAACCAGCAGCTCTCTTCTAAATGCTCCCTAATAGCAACACTCTTGACTTGAAAAATCAAACTATTTTTACAGTATGTATTTTTATTGGAACTGAAATTAACAGTTTTCTCAAGGAAAAAGTTTCTCCCATTTACTGGAAATGTTGCATCCCTGCTTAGCAAAAAAAGCCCTTCTTTAAAAACTAAAAGATTAGAAAACCAAGTAATTGAAGTGCCAAAGCAATACAATTGACATTCCATTTTCCCCCACAACTTTATTTCTTTCAGTGCAATGAAACCTGAACGATTGCCTCTATAACTCATTTCACATTAGTTTCCCAACATGCATATCCTATTTACTGCACCTCATTCAAATCCTTTTTTTATCTATCTACATAATTATTCCTACGTGGGATTTTCTTTGATGCTCACTGTTGCTGCACTGAAGTACTTCAAATACTAAACTTCACAACAATCTGTAATTAAGTTACTGCATTTTGCAAACAGATTGCTGAAGCCCAGACACAGGAATCCTGAAGATACTTTCTAAGTTTTGATTTTCAAATGTTAGGGCCCACTCTGACTTTTCAGGGACACTGGATTTCTGCAATTCATTTGCATCAAGTGCAGCTGCTGCCTAATTACAGCTGTGACTGTTAACAGGGCTGAAAGCTCATTGGCTAAAGAAGTCAAAAAATGCTTATCTTTAAAAAAGGAACACAATGCTGTTTGCACAAAATATTTTTTGACAGATTAGAAAGTTGAGGTGGGTGGCTGTTAGCTGTCTGTTGTAATAACGTGTGTGTGCAGGTGGGAAAGTGGAGGATGTTTACAAAAGTCCTGAGTGCAGTGGGAACCAAAATGTTCTGAGAAAGGTCACCTGAAAGAGTTGGTCAGTGTCACACAGGCATCCTGCAGCAGACAGAAACAGCATCCAGCTGCACTGAAGGAGGGGTCTCCCATTTTCTTCCTGCACTCACTGTCTAAACACTTTGAACAAGACAAAACCACAGAACGATGCGTGGTTAAAGACCCCCCACCTCTCACCCAAAGCACAGCACCACCCTACAGCTGTGTCATGAAGGAGATAGAAAAAAATGTACTAGAATTAGAAAGCCATTTTCACCCGCACTACTGATTAAGCAATGTGCCTGTGCATTTCTATTCCTTAATACCTGCCTTTCGTTCAACAACCAACCCAAAGGTTTTTGTATCTGAATGCACACTTATTTTGAGGACTGCATAACTCAGTAGGCTGCTGCAATCAAATCTCATGCCAGCCATGTTTTGTTTTCAAGGAATATTAGATGAAACTTACCAAATGCACACAAATGTACGTCTAAGAGCAGATTCTAGAAACTACTTTAAGGAAAGCAATATGCCAAAAGCTTAATTGATAAGATCAAATATAGAACCACACAAAATAAATTGCTGGCATTTCTTTCAAGTCAGAAATTATACAGGTGATTTGGCAGCGACCTTAAGTCCAAAAATAAAAGCTATAACTTTTTGTTTGAGTATGGAACACTTAGAGAAAACTAAATAAGCAAAAGTCATTAAGTCACACAGCTGGCAAAGCAGCAGCTTGACAAGGAGGAGACACCCAACTGCATGAATAAGCCTGGCTGTAACATAAAGCTGAGATAAATCACAGTAATTATAGGGAAATTTTTCATTGTACCTCAAACAGACGATTGTCAAATTCTAATCCAACACCCAAACATAGCCAGAAGTGTTACTAAAGTAAGAAGTAAAATTGTGAAAGCAGACTGGGTCAGATTTCTTCAGTGTTAGATCATCCTCCTCCTTTACCTCACTGAGAGGTATCGCCTCAGAAACTTGATCAGTAAACTACAAAGGGGTTTTGTTTCTCTGTTCTTTGAGAGGTTTCTAAAAATGCAAAATGAGAAGTGTCAACAATCATCAAAAGATTATTTCAAGTTAAGAAAATGGAGCGGTGGGAGTAGAAGGGGCACAGGGGGAGAAAAATCTACGTGAAAGCCAGCTTGGCAGTTCAGTGCAAAAGTAGTAACTGTTATTCCATAACAGAGAAAAAAGAGTGAAAGACAGACTTTGGCAAATCTGCAAAGTTATTACAGAACAGCTTCAACTACTACAATTTCTTAATTCTACATCTTGCCAGCTACGTATACAGCCTATCTAGGCAGCACAGATACAGGACCCAGCTGCACACACCAGCCCTTATTCTCAGCATGCTCCTCTGCTCCAGGGCAGCTGCAGAAATGCTACAGCTCTGCACACTGGGCTGCAGACAGGCAGCAGGAGGGGAGCCCAGCCACATCTCCACCAGCACAGAGAGGCAGAACAGGCAGACTCAGAACATCACTCCAGCCCCGACGTGATCTCAGGCCACAAATTCTGCACCAGCACAACTTGCTAAGTCCTATTTCTTGGTTGTTGAAAAACCTATGATCCTAAATCCAGTAACATATGAGAGAACCTCTACCTTTGAACTTGTTTTAGGAGCAAGAATCAACTTGTGCATGTTCAGCTCAAGCAATAGTTCACACAAAGGAAAGGTCAGAACAGCCAGTAGAATGCAGCTGCGCTGACCTGACACGGATCACCAATGTCAAAAAGTTTCTCATGTCAGCTACCTCATTAGTTCTTATTTCAGAATGGTGCATAGCTCTCTTCAAATCCCATCAGTCACTGACACACCATTCAAGCATAACACGACACTACTAATAACACTCATTCCAGTGCAACTTTCACCTCACTCCTTTGCAGAACAACCAAGTTCTGCAAAGTATACTGCCTTCCATCCCACCACAAACTGCAGTGTGAAAATGCAGCACGAACACCACACAAGACCCTTCACTCTGCCCAGTGCTGTATAACCACCTCAACTCCCTTCAGTTCCCCATGTAACAAACATCTAGTTGCACTGAAAACGTGTTGTAAAATACTTCACTTCTAAAGCCTTCTTGTCAAAAATTGAAATAGTCAGAAAGTTGTAGTAGCTGTTACCTTCAAAAGGGATGCTGATGTCCCGGGTTTGGAGAGTTTTGTTACTGCAGACAGTGAGGAGCCGCTCTCCGGTTTGGTTTTTTCAGTTGTTTGAGTCTTATTTACTCCAGGCACTTTGGGCACTGAGCCAACACTCCTGCTTGCTTTCTTCATTCTGGGCTGTCTGTTTATGATGCATTTACAAACAAATCTGCAAACAGAAAGAAGTCTTCAGCACGAAATACAAATGAAACGCAGCGTATTTTTGTAACACTCTATTTAAGAGCGGAAGTCCAGAACAGCACTAAGAACCACAAACCAGAGCCAAACAGCATATATATGGAACTGACCTACAGGTTTTATGCTTTTATAAAAAGGATTTTATTTTTTTTTACCACGAGTTCCTACAGCTCCACTCCAAGATTTATTTTTTCCAGCTCCCTTTCCACAAATGGCTCTGAACCAAAGATACTCTAGAAGTGACCCATGTTACTGAGTTTGCTTGTTAGCTAGCAAAAGAAAGGCTTATTAGGGCTGCAGCGTTCTTTAGTTCTGACTGTGGGAAAGAAAATACCGTGGGAGCATGAAGGCAACAAGCTGACTCCCAACAACAGCGGATCTGAGAAAAGATTAGCTTGGTAACTGAAGTACTGAAGAGTATCAGCAGTTGCAGAGAAAATGGGCTTATATAACAAGTCAGAGAAGATGAAAAATTCTTATCCCTTGAAACCAGTTATTATTAAAAGTCATGTTAATAAAGATGTGGGATTTCAAGTGCCTTGAATGTAAGGTTTCATACTGTCACATGATTATGATGACTGTCTCCAAGAAGTAACCCAGCAGCCCTGCAATGGGATGCCTGAGCACCTCCTCGCCTTCAAGCTCCCTCCAACAGCAGACAGCTGTCAGACCTGTGGCCCAGCCACGAAAAACCAAGCTGACTTTGCACAAACATGGAGCAGCTGCAGCAGACAGCCGCACTGCCAATTCCAGCAGAAAGCCATAGGAATGGCAGAAGAGCTGACAACTTGGTGCAGGGACACAAGAAGGACCAGACACGTCGTGCTCATCCTCTCTCTTGCTGAAGCAGGACAGCTGGCAGCTGCCTTCCTCATCCTGCCTGAGCCAGCAGACAGAGAATGGAGCAGGAGACAACACCCTCGCTCCCCTTTCAACCTCCCAAGCTGGATGGAGCAAGTGCTCTGCTCTACCTGAGCTCAATATCCCACAGCTAGTTAGAAACACAAAGCCCATTGAGTTCTCCCCATCTCTTCCAAAGCAAAAAGCTTCAGAGGCACAAAAAGCAGATGGGCAACCGAGTGCATGAGAAGTGCCACACACAAGCACGGGAATCAGAAGCAATGTGTTACACTACCAAAGTGACACTGAACACCAAGCATGCACTCCTCCGGCCCAACACCACTTCTGCACACAAGCAGATTCCAACTCTGACCTCCCTCAAAGTCAGTAAAACTCCCAAAGCTTTACATCTTCAGATCCCTCAGCGCCATTAATACAAAGTCTCATTTTAAGACACTGAAAATATTTGTTTATAGCTTCCAGACTCTTGAACTCTGGCACGAACAGACACAGAAAACTTTGTCCACTGCTGCAGTTTCCCCCATCAGAATGTCAGCAATGCAGCAGTGCTGTCATGCTGCTACCAGGAACCAGAACGCCCATGCAGAGCAACACATCACGGAGGGATCATCTGAAATGGGACACTCCTAAGAAAAACACAACAAAGCCCAAACCAGAAAAGCCCCCACCAGAGAAGCCCCGTGAAGGCGAAGCGCTTGCTGTACACCAACACCTCCCCAGAATGTGATGTTTAGAGGCAGGACCAGGCTGCCATGCTCACGCTTCTTGCCTTTTCCATGTTTGTGAGTCAAACGCTTCCACGTGCTTTTGATCTTACTCCACTGAAAAGAAGAACTGAAAAGAACAAAGAGGACAGCGAGTGTGAAGAGAAAATGGTGCAAAGCTGGCTCCATGACAAATGATTGTAATGTCCTACTGATTACATAAAAAGTGACCCATAGCACACTGGAGAAACAATAAAACTTCTATTCTTGCAACATTCGCTTCAACAGCAGTGATTTCAATAAGTGAAAATAAAGTAAGCTGCGCGAGGTTAACGTGCAACACGATGTAATTCAGGTAAGAGCTAAAATAACATTTCATCATGGTTTTAAAGAGCAAACATTCCATATAGGACTGCAGTTCATAACTCATCCCAGGGAGAAAGAAGTTATCAAAGCCTTCCCTCTCCTGACACTCCCTCCTACCTCAGAAAACCCAAAGCAAAGAGCAGAGAGGAGCTCAGCACAAACAGCAGAACACAGCCTGCAACCCCCCGAGCTGCTCCTGGGAGTGCCCCCAGCACACACCAACAGAACACCGACCCACCAGCAGGGCACAAAGCATTACTGCAGCCATTTGATTAACGCCAGCATTACAGTATCAATTATAGCATTAATCAGGATGGAAAAATGCCCAAATGAGCCCCAGCTATCAGATAGAAAGACCACATTCCTGACATGCAATGCAAGTGCTGCCTCCAACCTGTATCCCCTTCCAGAGCTCTCTCTCTCAGCAGCACACATGACACAGGACACAAAGGCAGATCCAGCAGGGATGCAGCTCTGGCAGTGTGTGGCACCAACCCGGTGCTTCATGCAGCTGCAAACACGGCACCATAAATAATAATTTGAGAGCTCCCTGCCCAATAGCACGACGCTGCTCCTGAGGCTCCTGGGCTGATGCACCCAGCCTGGTGGTAGGCAGCGCTCACAGGGCTGCCCCTGTATGTACCTACAGCTTTTAGAGACCTGACTGCTGGGGTGATTTCTTACCTTTCTTGATATGCTTCTTTATGCAAATCTTGCTGTCACAGGGGTAAGAGGAACAGAAAGCACTTTCCTGAGCCTGTAAGGCAAGAGGGCATCCAGCAGCAAACAAGGCACCAGCTGTCTGCTGCTTGCTGAAGATACCTCATCGAGGAGTACGTTGTTTCACCTATTAACGTTTTCCAATAAAATGTGGTAAATAGTATCAGAACGCCTCTCAAAAGTTACTTTAAAAAGATGTGATCCCTCACATCTGAGGACACAGCCTTTTTGGAAGCGCTGATGAAAAAAGCAGATGTCCAGAATGCAGAAGGAAATGGCTATCTTCAAACCGAGCCCTGCACTCGGTTCGCTCACTCTCTGTGTACAAATTCCTTGGATTTGATGTATGCAGGCTGATGACTTCTGCCCAAACAAGCAGGGAACGACATTTTTAGGCCACAAAGACAGTCTCAAAAGGCGGAAAAGCAGAGGAAAGATTATGCAACACAACCCCTCCAGCCTCCTGTAAAAGGCGCATCAGAATGTCTTCAAGTCTCTGCAGGCAAGAGAGCATAACTACCACCAACTCCACGGCTGGAACATGAAACAAGCTACGAGGGCAGAGACACATAGCATGCACTGCTCACACCCCCAGCCCACAAAGCTGCACAGCACAGCAGTCAGATGGAGGCATGTTCTGAACAGATCAACACTGCTCAGCGTGACTTCAGTGTTTTGATTCGCAGCATTTGGGAGAAGTCAAAAAAGTAAAAGCAATTCCAGGAATTACTGAGAAAGCAACACAAAACCATAAAGCAAACGCGGAGCTCAGCAAATCCATCTCTCCTGCCCACCCACACATCAGCTGGTACGTGCTGTTCCCCAGCCCCAACCTAAGGGCTGCATTTGGACTCAAAGGAGCCCCAGCGAGGGGCAAACATGAGATCAAAAGCACTTCACAGCTTCTACAGGACATCTCCTGGGGAAGGTGATCAACAGCCCAAATGGCACAGAGTGGGCAGAGCGGGGCTGCCTGCGAACCACCACCACTGCACTGAAAGGCCGACAGCCAAAGCCAAGTTCCAGTGAGACAAATGAGCAGTGCTGTTAAGGCAGTACTGATATTGCCATTTTTCTTTTGAAACCCAAAGGAAGAAAGAAGAGAGCTGTGGGTGAGAAGAGGCCGTTGTGCACCTCCATTCCTCTGCTCCTTGTTTGGAGAAAACTGCAGAGCTGTAAGTGCTGTGAGCAACGTGCACCCGTTGCAATGCTTCGCATTCCAGACAAGTGACAAGAGCAGCTCAGAGCTTCTAACTAACAGGCCGTGCTCTAAAAAAGCCTTTTCATAACAAAATTAAATAACGCCTTGTTTCCAAGCTCCTACCTTAAACAGACGTTATTTCAAACCACTGCTGAGGACAGAAGAAAACAAGCATCCATCAGACGGGCTCCGCTGCCCCTCCCAGCGCAGACTGTGAGCAGCACCTGGGGAAGCTCTTCTGGCAGCTCTGCCGAGCAGATCAACGGCCCCAGGGACAGTGACCCCAGCAGCCCCTGGGCAGCTGCGCCAGTGCATCACTGCTCTCTCAGAGAAGAAATTGTTGCCAAAATCCGACCTGAACCCGTCCTGTGCACCATGACACCGTCACTTCTCATCCTATTGCTGTTCCCCAGGAGCAGAGGCTGATCCCCACCTCACCACCACCTCCTTTCAGGGTATTATAGAGAGCGATGTAGTCACCCCTCAGCCTTCTCTCCTCCATTCCACACCTCGTAGTAAAATTCACACTTGCATCCAAACTTTAAACTACACACATACAGATACAGTACAGACCTATTTCCTGGATTGTCATTACAACTCTCTGACAGACTTAAAAGGTTTAAGCAGACTTGGCAGAAGTATCCACCTTCTCTACAAAGCTCTCAGGTTAGCACTGCATTAGAACAGAAGCACTGTTTTGGCACTGCAGGCTTTCTGGGTTAAAAACATAAGCAAAATTATTACACATTTCCTGGCCAGAGGACTGGCTGCCTTAAACTGCAATCAGCAAGTGATAGGTGGTAGGTAACCCTGTGATCCCATCGTCACCTACCAGCTATTTCACGGAGCTCCGAAATAACTGTTATTGCACAAGCCAATCACCCTCCAGCTACAAAGGTGTATTTAGAATCACGTAACCTTAAGCACATACTCTATTATTTAACCCACACTTAGGTTGCCCTGTGGAGATTCTCCTTCTGCAGCCAAGGAAGCACTTGCACAAAGAGCAACATGCTATCTGAAGAGCAGGGAACTTGGCACGACAGCTTCCTTCCCTTTCAGCTCAGCAGTAACACCTCATGGCACTCCTATACCCAGGACAGAGTGCAACAGTGGCCTTTCCCCTGTCTCCACTCACCTCTGCCAGCTGAACTCTGCTACCAGCAGCTGCACTAAGCCTGTAGCAGCATGAGACCAACAGGGAGAGGAATGAGGTCGGTATGCTGGCTCCCATTAGAAGAAGGGGGACAGAGAACACTAATAGACAAGCATTGTGCTGCCTGAGGAGCCAGAGCAGTGCTTTCCAGCACAAGTATGTACAGGCCAAGCCTGAAAGTGAATAAATTCGCCCCAATCAAACATTCATCCAAAATACTCTATCAGATCATCGATTTGTGCAAAATCCCCAACGCCTGCTTCCTGTTTGCAGCTCGGTCCCAGTTATCAATCTGTTCTTATCAGCTGCTGATTCATGCATCCTCAACTTGAGGACTAATGCTGCCTGCACTGCTGCTGCTGAGAGACAGCAGGGTGCTCACCATGCCCATTCCATCGCTGACCTGGCCCGGCAGCATTCCTGAAGGGCCGCACCACCACCTGAAGCCATCCCAGCCCCAGGGCTCACACCTGGATTTCCAGCAGGGGATGTCCGGGTTCTGGTCACAGCTGGGCCGAGCAAACGGCATGGGTGTGAATAGCCCATCTGTAAACCAGTCCTGCTGGGGCTGGGGGAGGGAAATGCCTCCTGGGGATTGCTTAAGCCGGTTGTGAAAATCATTTAATTGTACCCTGCCACCAAAAGAGACAGTCCCACCCCTTCCTCTGTCCTCTCCCTCGCTTCAGTTCTAGAGATCGTAGCTCGTTTTCTGATGAGTTAGTTTTTTTCATCAGATCAGGGCTGATCTGACTCACCTTATAATTACCAGGCATTACGCAGAGCAGCAGGCCACGGAACTGGGAATGAGAGGAAGGCTCCCCCCGTGGGGCACTGCTCCACACCAGCCTGAGCTCAGAGCGAGACCACATGGCAGAGCTGCCACCCTGCTGGGAGCAGCCCCATGCTGCTGCCCCACCACCACTCTGTGGGGCCACATCAACTGGATGAGGAAACCCATGAGCAATCTGAAGACAGAGCACAGAGGCTGCTAGCAGGGCTGAAGGTCAGCTCTGTCTGGCTATGAGCCCTGCACTCTGAGCCACCTTCTCCTAGTCTCTGAAACCTGACAACTGCACACTCATGACTTGGTTTTAAAACCATCAGGCTTAGCAGACAGAGATGAGACAGAACTGCATGCAAATCCTTCCTAAACACCACGCTAGCACCAGGGACATTTACCTGCCTAAATGTGAGCCTGCAGATATGCATTTGAGTCACACAGAGTTGCTAGGGATACTATGGAGCCTCTCATGGCTAACTGGAGAGAGCCAACCTGTAACAGATCGCTCCTCCGGCTGTGTCCCTGCAGCCCTGGGGCTGACAGCACCTCACAGGGAATGCACTGCTGCAGGAGAACCCAGCGCAGTCTCACACTGCAAATCATTCCAGAGCTGAATGTTCAGGAAGGCTCTGTCTGCCAGAACTACTGCGAGTGCTTTTAATTAAGAACACACACACAGCAACGGGTTAAGAAGAACACGAAGTTTGAGGGAGAACTGGAAGGAAGGCACATTCCTGGTCAAGCTGTCCACATCCCAAATACACATCCCATCGGGCCATGCACTGCATGTGTGCAAAGAAGCACCCCATGTGGGCTAAATGGCCAAAATGAAGACAAATCATAGCATTACTTTCAGGCTGATGTCATCAAATACATCACCCGAGTACTTCAGTACTACCTTTATTCACCTTTTTTTTTTTTCCTCCTTTAAGAGGTCTCTTTTCACCTACCTTCACCATTTACTTGTGATTTCCTCTTTTTGTTACTCCCAGTTCTGCCATGTATTTGTCTGTTCTTTGCAAAATTATCAGGAGCCGTTTACTTACAATAATGAAGATCAAAAGTCCCAGCGCCCTTACAGAAGCTTTTGTTCCCGAAGAAAACCATGCAAGTCCATGAGCATGTGAACAATGAATTATTTATCTGAAGAGGGACAGGATCCTATGATCACTCTCCGGCTGCACTAAGCTGCTAAGTGTTCCAGAGGCTGGGTTGCTCTGATCGTTTCAGCTGGAGTAAGCTCAAAAGAAACAAGAAGTGCACTCCCTGTGAGTCGTCAGTTCAGGCCACATCCAAGCTTATAACTGAGCCTCTAAGGCCTGCTTATTTTCCCTTTTTCAGTAAGAGGACTAAAAATAAGATCAAATGGGGTGATTTCTGAAGTCAGGAAGTACAAGCATAACATTTGTGATGCTGCTTTTCCCACTGCGCCATGGAGATTTGGTCACGCTAACAGCATTACAAGTTCCTAGAACTGGATCCTGGTCGGCAAGACAGGCTCTAACATTACAAGATCAAGGAGAAAGAACAAAAAAAGGAACTTCTGAAGTATGTCTGTGAAAGATCCCTTTAGAAATTCCCAACGCTCGCTCCGTCTCTTCTTTTGTACTGGAACAAAAACAGCATAAACTCACTTCCCTACACCGTGCTACCTGGAAGCATGCATTTATTCACACCTCGTTTATGCTACCTCATCTATTACTCAGTGCAATGAAAGTTATAACAGCCCAGAGATCATTGTCCACTGAGGACAGAAGTGCTGGTGCCAGCACTGCACTGAGGATGTACAGCAGGCAGCTAGGCCCAGCCTAACGCCCCAGGTTTCTTGGAGGGACTCCTAGGGACAGGCCCAGTGTGCCTAAATGCCACAGGACTCTACTGCCTTCAGGTAGAAGGGAAGGTGAAACTTCACCCAGCTTCAATACACCAGAAGCACAGTCCTGGAGATCTGGAGGTGCCGCTGTGACGTTCTGCCACTGTCACACTGTAATAAAGCAGTGCTTCATAGAGCTAAAGTCAATAAAACCACAGATTACTATCAACGTCCATGACAAAAGTCCCATCAACGAGCTGCTCCAAGCAGACAAAAAGACTGGGAAATATGGGCTTTGGGGTTTAATTACACAGCATTGTATTTGACAGAAATAGGAGAATGAATTAAAAACATCTCAGATGCTTTGTTCTCCACAGCCACGTCCTGTATTGAGTAAAGAAATCAGACATGGGGTTTCAGCAACAAGAAAACAACTGAAAAAAAAAATGCAGATTCTTTCTTTCCTTACTCCACACAGCCCAGGGGCCTAGGAGCTGACTTTTCCATCAGCTGAAAACGTAGTGATACCATCACACAGTGTACTCCCATCTCACTTTTTCAGATCATTATGCAAGACTATCTGTTCCCAGCCCTGGAACCACTCAGGCCACATCACTCGGTGTGATACCTGCCCTGTTCCCCAGCACCTGTGGGGTCAGCGACCCCAGCACCCCATGGGCAGGCTGTGTCAGAGCCTGACTTTTCTTGTGGAGAAGAAAACCATTCTTTGCATTTTTGTTAGCTACCACCTAACAGCAACCTGGAGGAGGCTTTATGTACTGCTGAGCTCCTGCAGGGCTCACAGAGCGTTCCTGCCTCAGTTCCACCTCAGGCAGCCGAAGTCCACGCCGAGCAGGGCTGTGCAGGAAGCACAGGGCTGTGTTTGCCTTTAGGGCGAGCAGAGCTCTCCCTGGCCGCGTCCTCAGCCGGAGCGCACGGCACTTTTTCACGCAGAGGAACAACAACTCGAAACACATCTGCCGCTCCACAAGCACCGTTTGTGGCTCCTGGCACGGAGCGGATCGAGCGTCGCTGCTGCGCTGCCGCCCTCAGAGCCGCTCTGCGCTGTCACTGCGGCGCAGCTCCAGGATCCCTTTCCCCAGCCCGGATAACGCCGGGCAGCAGCAGCAACGCCCGCTGCGCACCGGCAACAGCGCTCCGCACACGGGAACAGAACGTCGGAACGCAGCTCTCACCCCCGCCCCACAATCCGGCTCCGGTCCCTCAGCGCGGCCGCGCCGCCCCGCCGTTCCTTCAGGCCGCCCCCGGGCACGGAACGGCCGCCGGACGGCGAGGCCCCTGAGGGCGAGGCGGGGGGAGGAGCCCGGGGCACGGCCTGCGGGGCCTTCGCGGCCCTGAGAGGGGACCCTCGGGGGTCGGGGCCGGCGCTCGGCGCTTACCGGGCAGCCGCCTCCTCCTCCTCCTCCTCCTCCTCCTCCTCCTCCTTCCCGCGTCTTCGCGGCGCGGCCCGACGTGAGGGGACGGGGCCGGGCCGGGCCGGGCCGCGCGCGCCGCCGGCGGGAGGCGGAGGGGGCGCGGAGGGGCGCGCGCGGACGGCAGGGAGCCCCCCCCCCCACCTCGCCCCGTCCCGCCCCTCGCGGGCGGTGCCGCCGCAGTGCGCGTGCGCCAGCCGTCCCACTCCGGAGCCAACCCGGGGCCGAGGAGGCGCGTGCGCCGTGGCGCCGTGCGCGCTCCTATTGGCGGGCTGCGCTCCGCTCGTGCCGCGCGGCACCTGAGGGAGCGGCCGTTCGCTGCCCGGTGCTGCAGCACAGCTTGGTTACCTTTACAGGGAAAGCGTTTCTTACGTGTTTATGGGATCAGGTTGCGATGAAGGTGTCGTTCCCCATCTTTCCGTGCTAGCAGGGGTTTCTCTGGAAAATGGAGGCACTGCTCAGCCCGGGTCTTTGTGAAGGGGGAGAGCTGAGGCAGGGCAGCAGGGCAGGCTGAGCAGAGGCCCGGTCAGGAGGCAGCCCTGCGTATCCTGATCTGCTGCAGTGCAAGTCTGCTAGGTCAGCAAGAGCCATTTTACAGAAGGATTCCGCATTGAAGCTCTAAGAAAGCAAATCCAAAGCTATATTATACAGATCCACAGTGGGGAAGAAGTGTTAGTAATGCCCATCGAGTTCCCTTGGGAGAGCCTGATCTAAATAAGTGATTCCATTCGCACCTCGATTGCTACAAAACGCTCATTTAATGCAATATTTAGCGAGGCCAAAGCTGACTTCATAGTAAATATCAGTGATGGAAAGCTGTGAGGTGTGAGGCTGGCTGCATCAGTAAATAATCCTGGTAAGGGATTAAAGGGATGAAATACCTGATAATGTTAATTACATACCTGCTAATGCAGCATTTTGCCCAGCTACTTCCCTGCCTTTCGTGCTGTTACTGTATATTGCAGTTGCTTTAATTCAGCAATGGCCTTCTGCTAGCCTGTAGATTTCACTGAAGTCGTACAGCTTTTACCTTGTAAAACATGCAGTAGCTCTAATTTGGAAGCAGTAGGAGTGGTCACTTCCAGACCTTTGGCAATCTCAGTCAAGCACAATTCACATTAAATAAGACCCAAAGAACCCTGACGAACAGATACAGGAGATTTTATTTAACACTGTGTACAAAGAAAGGCTACAAATGCCTTAGACTTTTTCCCCCCAATACAGTTTTTGTATCCCTTTCATACCACTTATCTCAGAAAATAAAAAAAAAGAATCCTGAATGATTATTTTCCCCCTTTTTTCCATTTTTCATCACATGTGCCTAAACTGAGAGATATTCAGTCGTTTCAACACCTTTCAGTAGTAAGCTCTTAGGGTTGGTTTTCTTTGCAAAAACAGAGCACTGAGATACCGAAGCACTGACAACAGCAGTATGAAACGTCAAAACCAGACTGTAACACGGTGAAGTTACAACAACTCCAGCAGTATTAATTCTGAAGAAACCCCAAATTATCCAAACAGTAACAAGTTGTTTTTTCTTCTACGCCTGATAAATTATCACTAATTATATAATTTAATTGTATTTATATTTAGTCTTATGACCTCCTTTCACTGGCATTCTTCATGGATTATAAACACATGTCATAGAGATAAGAACAAACTATATAACCAATATAGGCAAGAGAAGGCTTTGTTTTGCTCCCATTGCTTTTTGCTGGACAGACACAGGAAGGACAACACGTCACATGTGTCCTTCCACGAGATCATACTTAACTTCACCCAACCACTGTGCTGCTCTTTGTCATGCAGCATTAATTCTTCACCCTCTTTTTGCTGCCTTGGATAGTACCTAGTCACTTTTAGCACTGATATCCCATCTCTGTAAAAAATCTGTCCTTGTGTATCCGGGATTCCAAATTACTGTGACTAGCAGAAGTTTTTGTATGTTGCTGTGGAGCTCAAAACAAGATTTCTCCTAGGCTGTGAGAAGCAGTGAGGAAGAGATCAGAGTGGATGCATTAGAAGAGGCTGTTATGAAGAACCTTTCTGCTATGTCAGCAGTCAGCATTTTCATTATGTTACTGCTGTATTTGAAGGAGTTTTAATATTCAGATCAGTTTTCAGCTATTTCCATAATCCCATAATGGTTATGGAAGTCCTCTCCCAAAACATGACTAAAATGGAAGAAATTTGAGCTTGCCTATTTATATTGGCGGTTGATAATTCAATTAGGCACTATAAAAAGATGGGTCTGACCCCATAATTGCTTTCTGGGCTTCGCCTCACCAGGGAAAACGTGAGCCTCTAAGGAGCAAAGCCATCTGCTCACTGGTGGGCTCTTCCCATTGTGGTTCTTTGGCCATCTGTGGGAAGCAGCTATGTTCTCTTTCCAGGCAGGAAGCTGTTTTGTATACAAGCATGCTCTTCCACACATCCACAGGGATATAAACTGGTCCTGCAATAGAAATCACTCTGCAGATAAATGGTTGATCTGTAGAATGCCTTGAAATCTCAGAACATCTTGTCACTGCAATAATTACACAAACACAAGCCCTAGCAAAAAATCCAAGAAGAATTCTCCATTCTGATGAATCATTTCAATGAGATGATTTGAACATGACTGCAATTAAGGCAGAGCAGTAAAACAAATATTTTTTCTAGGCTTGGGCACTCTGTGATCATATTCATTCCCAAGTATGCGTGAGCAGGCAAAAAAATAGAACATATCTTACTTGCAAAACAAGCCTGCATAAGCCTGGAGCATTAACACTACCTGGTCCACTCTGTACCAGAAAGCTGGAAATATTCCAGCCATCTCCAGGAATAGCCCTGCTATAAACTCATTTCTGCAGTATAGGATGATGTGGTTTCTGATAGAAAAGGAGAGCGGGTCTCTTACTGAAAGAGGAAACGTGACAGTAGAAAGCAAAATGATGTTGCATGTATTTGCACAGGTCACTGCATGCTTTTACAGTGGTGTCCTCCAATTCTACTATAGAGTGGCAGTGGAGGCCCTTGAACAGTTTTCTCGTTCTTGCATTAGCACGTTTGCTTGACCCAGGCCTAAATCTAGCACCTGCTCATGGCAGGAGAACCGAGATAATGCATACGTTCCTTTTGCCTTGGCCCTACTGCTTGCACCATTCAATCACTGCAGGGAGTTGTGGTATTCTATCCTTGCAGCTCAGAAGCAGCCTCTTCCAGCTTAAGCTGTATTCTAACCTCCTGGTTCCATTTTTCTTTGCAGTAGCTTTTCACCTTTGGTTTAACACAGACTCTGGTGCTCTGTTGCCATGGAGGAAAAAAAAATGTACAGAGCATGTGATAAGCTTTGCTTTCTTGGCACTGAACTGTGAAGATTCAGTAGTGAGAAAGAGGGCTGCAGCACATCAGAAGGGAGGCTGCAGCAGCTGAATTCCTGGCATTCCTAAATTAATGTTTATTTACTGACAAGGCAGACAGTTATTGAGGCCACAGGTCTTCTTCTGTAACTTGAAAGGAGAGCTTCTGCTTTGTACAGTTCCAGATCATCTTATCAGAGTGATTCCTAATTGTTTTTTGGTTGTTTTTTTTTTTTTTTTTTCAATTTATGTCATCTTTCTTCCCTAAGACTTTGGTAAGAAATAATACTTAGCTGTGAGTACCTCCTATCAGCAGTCCTTTCTTGATTTTAAGGAAGATCCACGTACTTTCATCTACCCAGTGAAAACTTCGATGGAATGCACACAGGTATCCATTTAACTCTGGCTGCGAATGGAAGATTGCTGATATTAATTGTAAGGCTCCGTGATCTCAGCTGCAAGAACCCCGTGTTAAAGGAAGTGGATGGTATCTGATTTTTCAGGCAGCACTACAAAGGGACGTTAGCAAAGCTTCCAAAGCAAAACGTACCTGGACTAAACAAAAACCTAAGGAGGAACAAGTAAGTGACTGACTTGCCAACGACTCCAAATTTTGATTATTTTGAACATATTTACTTCCTTTTTCAGATTTTTCTGCAAGGAACAGAAGCAAATCCCTCAAATCTAGCGTGAATGCGTTGGTCTTCTATTACTGCAAGTTTCTCTTTTTGAATTGAAGAGAGAAAGAGTGGGAAATGTTTTCCACTTCTTCCTAACATTGCCATGGTGGGAATGCCACATCTGACAGCACTGCCTCAGCAGAACAAGCCCCGAAAACAAAGGACTCAGCAACCAGTGAGGAACCAGAGAGGGTCGCTTTTTTCTCCATCAGATTTTCAGTATCTCTGAAAGCCGTGCTGGTCAATTTACATTCTGTGCATACTTCAAGAACGGTACATTGAGAGAAATGAACAAGTTGCCATGCCTTCCAGTGTTACAGTGGGTGACAGGCAAGCTTAGAGCTCCACGTATGCTTTGCAGAACAGTACAGCCATTTAAATAAACTCATATAAAAGTAACTCAAAGGTGAGACACAATTTTAAACAGCTAAAATGAATAAGCTGTGGAAATACTGCAGCTTCCATCAAACACTCTGTGGTTCCACCACCTCGTGGCCAACGCAACACATTGCAGTTCTGCTTCATCTGCACGCTGACAGCCTTACTATGAGCAATGGAAAGGTGGAATCAAGGCGAGCAGTTGGCATCAGCAAATACAGTCAGTGCACAGCTGTACTTTGCCCTTAGCTGATATACAAAAAAATAGCAGCGTTAGAAGCCTGCAATAGCTTGGCTGCACCTCAACTTGCTTAAAGTTGTGCAAGGATAAAGAACACCAGCAGCATTTCAATGGATGTGTTTCAGTTTAATTTCAACACCCTCCCACGAAAAGCACACACAAAACAAAGCTCAGAATGATGTAGCACTATTTTCTTCTTGCCCATCATTAAAACCTTTTCCCTTATTTTGCTTTACTTTTTAATTAAAAAAAAACAACAAAAACTGATCACTGTTTTTTTTTTTTTTTGTAAAGAGAATTTTAGAATAGTTTCTAACTGCCAAGAAACCTATGCTTCTTTCTCAAACTGGAGGCACAGTCTGTCCTAACGACCTGCAGTATTTCTGCTGAAGCTGTTGATGTTTCAGCTGCACGTAGCTGAAAGCTGCTTCTTTAGAAATTTCTTTCCAATGCAATAGAAACAGAAAGAACACAAACTCAGTGCAGTTTTAAAGGGTAATTTGCTCTTACGTTGTTTATATTGTACATTGTATATTTTCTTACGGGAAATGCAGAAGTTAGGTTTTCTGACACAGCTCTTAAATCAGAAGACCCTCTGTAAAGCCATGTTTTTACAAGCCCCTTTATGTTGTAAGTGTGATAAGGCTTATTAAAAACACAACAAAGTTTAAAAAAAACCCAGGCCCACAGCATCCCTTGGAAAAGAATACAAAAGCCTTTTGGAAACGCTTCATTTCTGAACACAAATGTCTATCTGAAGAAAAACTTCAATTGCAAAATTAACAGAAATTCAAAAAAAATCAATTCTCATATTTCAAATCAGTCCATGATTTCATCATTAGCAGAAACATCCGCTGTTTTTTCCAGCCCAAAATTACCAGCTTTGGGGAAAACATACTCAACAGAAATAATTAATGGGTTACGTTAAATTACCTTTTTTTCCCTGATCCACATGCCTGCATGTTAGATTACGTTACATTAGAACTGAGCATCGTAATTGAGAGACTAAAGCAACAACCTGTAACAGTAACCAAGCAAAAGCCATTTCTCATAGTTACACGCCGTACATCAGTAACTTAATATTAATATTAATTTCCTATATAAATAAAAATAAAAAACGGGGTAAAAGTAAATTGGCACAGTCATTATGGTATTGCTTTCCAGTTTCAACACTGCAAAGGGCAGCCACAGATTCTGAACACGGAAAGGAAGGGGCTCTGGCACCCGACCGTCTCCTGCGCTTTGCTCCTGCTGTTGGTCTGTGGGCCTTTTTTCCTTCCAGTGCAGTCAGCAGCAGCGCCACTGCCTCAGATGCACCACACAGCAGCTTGGAATGGGCAGCTGTGCAGCCAGCAGGAAAAGGATTGGTATGGATCTGCTAGGTGGAAATGAGAACAAATACATAAAACCAAAACCACGGTGTGGTTTACTGGTCTGCCTGACTTAAGTCGAAAGTTGTCAAGATTGTGACTAATTTTTACCTTCAAAAAAGACAGAAATAAATATAAAAAATGCTAAGCCTTCAAGTTTTCTTGCCTTCATCCCCTCCCTCCCCCCAAAAGCACCTCCTACTATAAACATGTTTTCTGTTTTCCAGATTCAGAAGTCGGAATGTAATGGAAATACATATAAGAGAGAAGGAATTTCTAGTTGTACATTACATTACAAAGAGGTTTGCTCCCAGACCTAAGAAGGGAGGGATACTAAGCAATATTAAATTCCTATAAGGATCCTTACATAGCATGCAAAATGTTGATATACTCACAAAATCAGAATTTCTATTTTTTTCCTTTTTGAATTTGTAACTTCACAGTACAATATTTTCTAATATTATGCAGCAGTCAAAATTACATTGACTACAAAATCATTTCCCTTCCATTATTTCTTTCTCTCCATTTGTTTGAAAGACTCCTTTGTTGGTGGTTTTTTATATGTATTTTTGTAACTGAGACACTGCAGGTCACTCATCAGAAAACATAAAATTCAGCATCACGGGGGTTGCTTTCTCTGTGGCGTTTCTCCTCAAGTGATGTTGGCAACCCAACTACACCAATCAAGATCTGTCCTTCCCTCCCTTTCTCCATGCTGATTCCTCCCCTTGTCTTCATGCTGCACTCTTCTTCTTGCCTGGATGGTTGCCACCAAACGGATGCTGCATAACTGGGTATGAAGCAACGGGGGCTGGAGTTGTTAATGACAATGGAGTGATTCCCACCTCTCCCAGGACGTTTGGCACAGCTGCTTCATAGCCAGAACACTTTGCTCTGGATGCCAGCAATGAGATTTTGCTTTCAGTTCCCTAGACAAACACTGCTGTCCTTTACACCTGTGTAACCCCCGTGGCTCTGACCAAGTTAGGCAGGAAGACACCAGCCCAGTATTTAGTGAGACCTGCTGTACAGCTCCGTGTGGTTCCACAGAAATCCCTTCACTGCTCTTACTTAACACAGGCTTGACATTTCTGAAGAGGACACATACATGCTACTGGCTAGGCTGTCCATAAAGTACATTCTGACATATTTATCAAAGCAGCTATCAGAAGATGACTCGCGTAGAAGCAATGCATGTACAAAGCCTCCAAAATTCAAGTATATATCTATATATTAAAAAATATGTTCTGATAGGAGTAAGCAGCCAGGCAACCTGATAACCACTAATAATTTGTTTTGTCCACGAATGCTTCAATTATTTTTGCAGTGTTAACATCTTTTCTTTGGAGTGTTGGGAATTAACAGCCTTCCCAATTAATTTTCATTAAGTTTGGCAGAGTCTAAGGAATTCAGCAATCCTCTCTGGATAATATTGCTCCTGCTTTTATATGCAAACAACCAACGAATCACAAAGCACTGACTCAAACTGTCCCTGCCTCTCTTTAATTTGCTGTATTTATTTGTAGTGAAAAATCATTGAGTCTGGGCCCTTCAACACCCCCACCCCCCAAAAAATCCACTCCATCAGAAGTGCAACACAGGCAAGAGCACAGCATCTCCTTGTATAAACATCTGCAGGAGAAGGGGTGGGCAAGACAAATAAAAAAGTTTGAGTTGTATGCAAAACTGTTTCACTTCTTTAGAACCCTGTTCAGGTCAGGACTTCAATTTCAGAGGAGGGTGTCTTAGATCCCAGACCCTTCCCTTCTTTCCTCTTCTTGCAAAGCAATGCTATTTTTGTAGCCTAGAACAGTACTTTAAAAACAGCAGTTATTAAAGACACAGTTGTGATAGATCCTTTAACTCCCTCTCACCCAAAAAAGGGTGTCCTATCAAGTGGTCCATTAGAAATCTTGACGTTTCTTTATGACAAATCCATAAAATGAGGAATACCTTCCATCACATTCCCAACAAGAGTAACAGCCACACTCCGTGGTGCATCTGTTCAAGTGTCTATTGCTCCTTCTAGTGGAGGTTCTGCACAGCTCTATCTCCACTTCGATTCTCATTCTCCTGATCAAAAGCAGGTATTTTTCTACCTTCTCTTCAGCTTGCCACTGGTTAACAAACAGCAGAAGCACTGAGGGCCGTAATTCCCCAGAACAGGAACAGGCCAGAAATGTCTGAAGAAACACCAGTCTTCCTTTTTTCAAGAGTGGCAGATCCATGCCAAGAACAGGTTGGGTTTGTGGTGTGGTTTGTTTTGGAGTCCTGTCGGCATCACAGACATCTACACCTCGGTGGAAAAGAGAATACTTTGCCTCTTGCTGTCTGGGGTAGGGATGGTCTCTAGCTGCAGGAAGTACAGAAGAACTTGAACCTGGAAAGAGAAGGGAATAGGTAAAAATAAAGCCTTGTTAATTCATTGCCATGCTGGCAGATGTGATTGCATGGCTCTGCACAGGAATTGCTTTGCACTTACTAGTTTAATACTGTGCTTAATAATATCGGGAGGAATATTAAAAACTCCAATGCTTTGGAGGCACTTTTCAGCTTCAAGGATAGCAAGTGTTGATGTTCCACTTTGTTGAAAAAATTTGATCTACGATTTGCTGTCACTCAATAAAGGAAGTACAAAACAGCATGATGAGCTAACACAGCCTCCAGGTTCCTCTAGCTGTCTGCACTGCTTTAAGAAGGCTGCAAGGGCAAAAGAAACCTGAATCTAGCAAGGACTATTGAGCATTGTGGAAGAACAGTCCTTTTATCCTAGGCTTGTAACACAGCACTCAAAAAGCCTTGAGACTGCTCTCCAAAACCTTACTGTGCACAAAGAAAGAATGCAGGATGTGTGCATATCAACTTTTTTCAAGCTCTATTAGTACAGATACAAACTGAACTGCCTGAAGAAATACAGTTCTGTAAACATAGTCAAAAACGTCTGCACTGGGAGGTGAAAGTTGTTTATGTTTCTCAAAACTGCTATGAAAACAAAGGAGGAAAGCTGAATAAGGCATTGCTAGATGACTACAGCTTACTTTAACCCAGCTACTGCCTTTAAATGATTCAGGAGCACATTTTGAATTTTACCTGGGACATGACTTCTAGTGACCAGCTATCAGTCATTGTTATAGGCTGGGTTGGGTTGGCAGGGATTTTACTGTCCTTCTCTGAAGGTCTGAGCAGCGTTGGTCCAAAGACAGTTGCAAGATTATGCAGGGACATCTTGTTAATGCTCTCCCTCTCAGCAACCCTGTGAGAAGAAATGACAAGTTGGATCTTTGTAAATATCTGAGTTTGGAAATCAGCAAGAAACCATAATTAATCCTTTTATACAAAATTTAGGTACAGACATTGAAGCAAGCACTCTCTCATACATCCTCAAATTGACTGCATACATAAACAATACCTTGACCTGACAGCTACAATCTTAGGCACTCTACAAACCCTTGTTTAAGAAAGGGCCTGCTGATTGTTTGGTCAGGGAGAAGTGAGGCAGAAATAAAGGAATGTTTTCATCTCAGTTTCAGAAATGAGAAACTGAGGCATGCAGGTTAAAACATTTACCCAAGGGCACAAGAGTCTGTAACAAAAACAAGCCCAGATTTCCTGGATTTTAATCCAGAACCTCAGTCACAAGATCATCTTTGATGTCTACACTGACAGTCTCTGGATGTACATATGAAATTGAAATACTGTGCATGTATTAAACAAGTTTATCGTATCAAACACATGGAAATATTTTTTCACAGTTGCAACCATATTGCAAAGACAGACAAGATCAGAAAGACCAGTCTAAACAGGGAGCTGACAACTCCAGTTAGAAGTGCAAAACTGGAATTTTTAAAGATGTGTTATGTTAGATTGCAACACCTTTTGAGACAGTACTGACGAGTCCTTAAGCACAGTTTCACAATTAATACTGAAACTTTTCCTGATGCAGGTGCAGTTTTGTGGAGATATCGCAGCAGCAATTTGCATTTGCACTAGATAAGTCCTCAGAGTTTTGCTACCCCCCTCCTTCAGTTCTAATCCTCTCAGTTTCAGTGAGAACGCAGTGCTTCACTAAACGAGCATGAAGCAATAGTGATCTGATGAGCATCCACATCAAATCAGCAAATGCTTCTTCATTTGCCTGATTCAGCATGTGCTCAGGAGAAGGCGGCTCCTTTTTTCAAAATAACGATACCTTACACGTTGAGTAAGTATCTGAAGGATTCAAACATTACCTTTTTAAGTGGTCCAAAAGGAAAAGGAATGTGACAAGGTTGGGTTCTGGAAGTGATAACAATAGATTCAACATACAGCTTTCCTTTGCAACGGGATCTGAAAGTGCTGCAAGACAAAAAAAAATAATAAAACATCACCACAGGCAGTAAATTAGAAATTGACTGAACTGTATAATGTCCCAAACCACCAAATCTGGTTGGTGCTGAATGGACTGTAATTGCATCACAGTTCTATACTGCTTTAGGAGCAGCCTCCTAAAGAAGAGCATCTTTAACACAGATCCAGGTCATCAAGAGTTATTTTTGCTACTACCTACCAATGCCCTCTGCAAAGTTGGGGTACAGCTCATCTGTAAAGAGAGGTTCAGGCAGCTCTCGGAAGTACAGCTTCAATGTGCCTGCAATAGCATTAACATCCATCTCGCTCATCATCACTGACACATCTTTGTTATCTGAAAGAGGGAAGAAGGGTTAATAAATTGCTGGCCTTGCATTCACTTTTTGATTGCTTTGATTCCTTGTTTACCTCCTGTCTTTGCCCAAATAGCTGAGAGTTTTCCTGTTTTCATTTCTCTCAGTTAAATGACAACTGAGAAATGCTGCACAAATGGCTGCAGTTTCCAGCTTTAAATCAACTAGAAGGAAGTTCACACTATCCATGGTTCCTTCTGCTCTGCCAGCAATGCAGGCCTGATCTGGAAAAAGCCCTGCATGACTGCATTTATATGCATTTCAACTTTTTCTTAATGACCACATTGGTTATTCCAGTTCCCTGCCTCAAACAGCTTAGAATAAGAGACTCTGAGGCTGTCCAGCTCCCCACTGAGTGCTAAAGTACACAGGCAATTCAGGGCTCGCATTTCAGTCTTGTTACTTTTAAGTACAACAGGACCACCTCCTTCCCTGAAAACAAACATCAACCAGCAGAGCCATTGCTGGCTTAGCAGAAAATGGCATTTAATGTAAACGAAAAAAACTTGTTCTTCAAAATATGAAACACTTTTACTTGCACTACTGAGGACTCACAAATCAATGGTTTTGGTAGTTCAGGGGGACAGAAAGGAAAATAGAAGAATGAAGAAAAGCCACACACACAGAAAAAAAAGAGCTCAAGAGGTCCTTTGGTTGTCAGGTGGATGCTGAAAGTATGGCAGAAATTTCATTTTCCACAGCACAGCAGTCTGGAGATGTTTAATCTGCTGAGTTTGGATGCCTTTGGGGACATGTATGTCATTCCATTAAATGCAGCAGTGCTAAGGAACACTGTTCTATACAAGATCAAAGAAGGCTTTAAAATATTGGTCAAAATTAACTGAATTTACAATCTGCACACAGCAGTATAACCACAGAGTCAAGAAAAGAGCCCTGACCATCCATCTTCTGATTGGTGAATCACCTCTTCTTCCTAATCAACCACTGAATTGCTTCATTTATTTTCTGCTTGCTTCCTTTCACAAAACATTCTCAAACAATTCCAAGGACTTCTAATAATTTGGAGGCAGCAATGAGGAAAACTGCAGCTTCTGGTTGCTGCTTCCCCTGAGGAAGCTTCCTGCTATGCACAGAGTCTTGGCAAGGCCTGCAAACCAGCCGTGTCATGTCTGCTGGGAGGAACAACAGACGTATTTGGTACAGGGATCTATTCCATTGTAGGTCTTGGGTCGCATCTGTGGCTGAGGAACATGAATAAAACATGCAGCCAGTTTAAAACGATTCTCCTTGAATGAGAATCTCTCCCTCTTAATGCTTCTAGGGGAATGTAAATTAAAAATAGCACAGCCAATCTGACAGGGAGCTCACACAGGTTCTCACAGGTAGGAGGAAAGCAGGCACAAATACTTACTGACATCAAAGGCCGCTTTCAAAGCCTGGATGTCGGTTGCGACCCCCGAGACGCGGTAGATGCCCACCTCCTCCATTCCGCGGCGCTCTATCTCCTCCACGCACTGGCGCACAATGTAAGGCACCTTTGATCTCTCCCTCCTTAACAAAGGAAGACAGAAGAGTTCAGTACAGCTCATGCCCTCAATTCTTGCTACCCCAGCCAGACAGGCGGGCTAAAATCACCCTGTCATTCTGCAGCAGCCTTGAGCACTAGGGCTTCCAGCCAGCTCCTCCTACTGCCCCCTGTGTCTGCAGCCCTGCAGAGGTAATGGGAGCATTCCCAAACTACCCCTGGATACATAGCAACACTGCTGCCTTCAAATTAATGCATTTCCAAAATGAGGAAACACTACACTTCCCAATGCATGTAACAGAACAAACAGGTTTCTTCGGGTAAACAATTCATGACAAAAGATCAGGGGTTCAAAAATAATACAACAGGATCCAAAGAACTTGAACATTTCTGGTTATGGAAAGGAAATAACACTCTTTAATGGCTCTGGAACTTTGTGCCAAGCCAGCTAACAGCAAAGTAAAAGGGCAAGGGGCGTTTCCGGAATTCTGAGAAGTGACATGATGGAAGTGAACACCCCAGGTTTCCAAGCCTGTATGCATGTTGTTTTTTTTTCCCATGCAAAAATGAAGCTCACAAAATGTACACCACCTTTCTGCAGCAACAGCCATCTGCACTGCTACCCAAGTGGAGCAGACTGTACTAAGAAATCCCTCAGTGGCATTAAGACAGGTGCAACCCTCTGGCTAATTGGCTTTCTCAAAAACCAATAGGGAGAAATTCAACCCATCCACTCACTTGGTGACAATAGCAATCTTGACCCCAAAGACCCCCGTCTGTTTCCGTGATGGCATCCTCTTCAGGCTGAACTCTCGACTGGTAAACTTCACTGACAGCTTCACTTCAACCTGATCAGAAGAGAGCAGCTGTTATATTTCAAACATTTTTTTTCCCCTTTTTTTATTCTGCAGTGAACAGCAAAGATGCAAACCACATCAGAGGTGTGGAAGCAGTGCTGTTTGCTGTACTTACTCCATTCATTGAGATGACTGTGCGTTGCCAGTCCTTGTCCTGCAGTGTCTGTGGGTCCAGCTGAAAAACATGGAAATGACCCTTGAGCCAAGAACAGACTTGGGAGAAGTCAACTAGTCTGAAAGGCTTCTGTGAGCAAGCAAAGCTCCTCCGCTTTCAATGCATTAATTCATTCCCATAGGAAAACACACATCCCAAGGTTTCCCAAATTTTGGGTAACACGACACATACTGTGCATTCTCCAAGCTGGGATGATGATGACATCTCACTCACGCAGACAATCCTGCAACACACGTGCAGTGTCTGCTCAACAGCAAAGCCTCGACAAGAAGCCTCAACAAGGAAAATCAGTATTCGAAAGCTAAGAGCCTCACATTCCATGGAAAGGGAAACTGCAGTCATTGCTGCAGAACATCAGGCACAAGAACAGCAGGCCAAATTTGCCCTGTCCCGCAGGGCCATGAGTCCAAAAAGGGGAGGAAAAATTTCTGAAAATAGACTGATTTGAAACAGATCTCTCTCAAAGAGCTGCAAGTTCCAAGCCAGAGAAAGTCTCCTTTGTTCTCTAATTTCTTGCCTAAAAGAGGCACTGAAATTAATTTTCAAAATTCAGAAATAAGATCAAGAATTGGGAATCTCTGCGTATGTGTACACAGGAAATCTCTTGTCTGAAGACACGTGCCTGCCTGCATGCTCTACTTCAGTTTGGGAAGCCTCGTGATAGCTTCAATAGTCAAAAAAGTTAATTAAATGTAAGTGCTGAAACATTAAAAGCTGGATTATCAAGGCTATGGGTTTTTCTATCAGTTCTCTTGTACTGCACAACAGAACTTTTATGTAATTTCTGTAAGATCAAAGTAAGCACAAAATCCATCCGTAACATCTGCTCTAAAAACCAAAGCAACTGCAGAGTTTTGTTTCCTTTTAAAAAAAAAAAACAACACTGCTTTTCGTTTTTGTTTTTCCTGCCCCACTAAGTGCAATTCTACCTGATCTGCCCAGGCTCACAGTATGGTGATCACAGCAATGTCAGACAGACACACGTTCAAAAAGCCACACCTGACAGTGGACAAAGACAGACCCCTTATTAAGCTCTTATTTTTCCATTCTGGAGTAATTTGTAAGCTTCAGGCATTTACAAACGTTGAATAAGTTATTATTAATTCATCACAGGGAAAGAATCACTTTGCTGCTTCTGCACAAGCGTGAAGGAACGCTAAGTCTGCTACATCACAAGAAGGAGACAGCAAAACTCATCAGCAACATGGGAGGGAGAGAAAATGGCTGTTGAAGTGCAGTTCCTGCAAGAGCTGTTCCTCCCACAGTACCATAAAACCTTCCAAATGCATGGCAGAAAACAGATGCTGCAATCTGGTCTCAGCTGGAGAAAGTGGACTGCAGTTTGCCACAGACTGCTGTGGTAACACCTGCCTCTGCTATTGCAAGGCTTCACTAAACAAAATCACAAAATCTGAAGCAAAGCCCCAAGTTCCATTTTCAGCTTTGCTTGATTTCTTTTGAGTGAACAGTTGTGAAGCTGGGAGCAGCTGACTCAAGTACTTAAACATCACCCGGCAACTCCAATGCTAACCAAAAGAGTTCAAAACCAGCTGATTTTGCTGACACTTAGCTCAAACTACACTGATAAAACGCAGAAAAGACCTTCCTGCACGAGGACTTCCATCAGCAATCTGCACCAGCAAAAGCTAACAGACTTCAGTGCCTCCTGAGGCAGCTTTGTGGCACTTGGCTCTTGAACACCTGAGATACTGTATGCTCACATGGAGGCAGCCTCACCACACTCTGTGTTTTGAATTCACTGTTGTCTGCAAAGAAAAAGACACCAGGGCTATTTCTGCAGTACAGTTCCTCCCTCTCACAAAACTCCATGCAAAAGCAAACTTCTCTGCCTGGCAGAAGTAAATGTTGAAACAGTGGCACCTGCTGTATGCTCTGGGAGCTCTCACACACCATCATGCTCACGCTCCAAACCATCAGTAAATTAACCTAGAACTGCTGTCAGGCACACACATGGCACTTCCCCCGACCCCCTGCCACGCTCCCTGCGAAAGACAAGCAGAAAGAAGTTTCTCCCTGCTTACTCACACTGTGGAGACCCCAAGAAGGAGCAGATGAGCAAGTCAGGCCAACCTTGTCTCTGCGCACTTTGTTACAGATGTGATCCCACAGCGGGGTGCTGCCTGCACACACGCGCCTTCCTGCTGAATCGGACCGGCTCCTGAAGGTGCAATTGTGGCAGAAATTCCTGAAGATCCCTTGTAAGGAATAGTCAGTAACTAACAGCTCCCACATTTTGGGACTGCAGAAAGGATCAAGAGGCTGATGGGCAGAAGTTCTTTGCTGCAGCACTTCAGCAAACCCGAATAACAGACTGTTTGCCAAGAGGGTTTGCTTTTAACTCTGGCGGAACAGATCCGCCCCCGCCTGTGTGCCTGGCCAAGGTCCCTACAAGCTGGCCAGAACCTGAGCTGTTCTCCCCTGAATTTCCGTGATGGAAGTTTGGTTTCTAGCGAACTGCATTCTTTCCCAGAATCAAGAGGAAACCATTTCTGAAGTGTTTGGTTTCCTATGAACGAGCAACCATGCTCGGTGTTCCTGAAAACTTGACCTTCAGCTGTCTACAAAGCTGCCGGCAGGGCTCTGCTGGTAGAGGCTGCCACAGCGAACCCAACTGTTAGAAAACAGTTTTCTATCTCCTTGTAGAATGGAGTTACTGAGAGTGTTATTTGCAGAGAGTATTTACAATTGCAGGGAAAAGAGGGTTTGAAATATGTGCAAAACAGTTGAAGGAGAACTCTAGCATGGCCCAGTTCATTTAAGCTAGCAGGTATTACCAGTTCTGCTTAGGTTATGGCTACAAAACTTCTACCACTGTGCAAAACAAAAGCAAGTAAATAGACATTAAAAAGCGTGGGTCCAAGTCCTACTCCATCTCCTCAGTGATTGCCATATAGGGAGAACCAGCAAAAGCAGTGCTCTGGAGTTGGGAGCTCACAAAGACTCTTCTTTTGCTGGGTAAAAATGGGGACTGAGCAAGGACTGTTGGTGCACAAATTGCTGCCCATGCTCCTCTGTCTCTGAGCTCTGTTGCAGGGCTGGAGGGACCCTCTGTGCTCCCCACCTGCTGTTTGATTGTTGGTAGAGAACAGCTTGTACTGAATGGAGGGTGGAGGGGGGTGAGGCTGACCTGAGCCAACCCTGCACAAATCAATGGCTACAACAACAAAAAATGAATCCAAGGTGCTTTTTAAGTAACTGAGTTGAGTAGATGAAAACTAATAAAAGAGCAAAGGCTTGAATAAGTTCTCAACAGTACTGAATGAAGCAGGAAGCTAGGTTTAACAGTCTGACAAAATCACAATAGGAAATAACAGTGTCAGTGGGAAGCAGAAAACATCATTTACACCCTGAGCAAGCTTTTAGTCCCAGATCCTGCAGTGGACCAACCTTGTGAGACCAGCAAGAGCAACACAGAAAAAGGGCAACAGGAGCAGGCAGGTTACAAAGCAGACTGATGACAAAGAGTCAGTGAGTGCGATGCTCCAGCACAGAGAGCGGCCTGTGACAAATGGGGTCATGCTGTCTTTTGGCCTGATTTGGAGATCAGTGACCTGGAAGAAGGAGCACTGAGTAGAAGAATGTAATCTACAGAGAGCCAAAAGGGGGCTGCTCCAAGTGAGCACAGAGCCCTCGTGTCACCAGCCCAAGGAACACTGAGGCACTGTGAAATGGCCGCCTCTGCATTAATGCGACAGTGAAATGCACCTCTCAACATTTCCTTCAACTGGTTACTGGGTTTGAGTGACAAAAGGACCCATCTCATCCCCACCGAAAGCATGACAGATTGTGCTGTGTCTGTGCAAACAGGACAGACCTGCTAAGAGCCTTATGGGCTTGTTTGCACAGCCCCCACTGGAAGCACGTGCCGCATAGGAAAACATAAACTGGGCTGTGCTTCCCCAGCACCTCCAGGCCTCTTGTGACCCACTTTTTTGGCATTGGCGGTGGCAAGCTACATCCCTAAATTCACTAATGAATCAAGCAAATGGTTCTCTGTATCCTGCACAAAACACAAGAGAACAAAGCAGCTTGGCACCGCGGGATTTCTGAGTGCAAGGTTCTAGTGCTCATAGCAAATTAGCAATGAATTAAGGCACACAATTAGGTACAGAAGTAAGCAGAGGCTGAGCGTGCAGAACACAAAGTGGCAGGGACCAGGAGAAAGGCAAACTGAGGACACTGGTCAGTAGCAAATGCAAGGCAGGCACTAAGCTGTCTGTGTTTTGTCTTAAGAAATCACCACGGAGAGTTTGCTGATTTTTGTCCCCCAGAAGAGAAAAGAAAACATACAGAAATAGGAAAAAACAAAGAAGTGTCAGCAGAAGTGAAATGTCTGGGAGCAATGACTGAGGCAGCCTTAGTGTTAGTGTGCTTTATGTTATTTATTTGCATTACTTCCTCCCTTTATTAAATCTCCCTGGCAACTTCACACTCCATCAGTTTTTAAGTGTAACTGATGTGTCATACATGTTGTCAGAGTCTCACTGCTGCTGGAAACTCCCAGTCCAGCCATAACCCCATTCTTCTCCTGCCGCTGCTGACATGTTAATCTTTGCCACCATCACCCCTTAGACATGACCCGCTGCCTTCTTCACTTCCACCCTGTTTTCATTGCTGGGGTACTGTTCTACATGAGCAAACCGTTTAAAGGAACTCAAGCGTGAAAAGGTTTTCTGAGTTGACACTTGGGAAGCACTGCATGTGACAATCTGTTTTACATGAAAAACAAACCTTGATGTCTGTGAAATAGCCATGTGCAATGCTCTGAGATATCCCAGATAATTAAGCAGATAAGAGTGATCGTTCTGCATGGCAACAGAGGAATGATGGTGCATTGCTACCACTGAATGACCGCTTAAAGTCACATCCTCCCTGACTTTCCAGCGCTGCTGTGAGGGAGAACAGTTTGCCTCAGCTGATCATGCAGTAAAAAGAAAAAATAATAACAAAGGAAGTGGTGTACCTAGGAGGCACCTACTGGAGGAGATGGATCACAGGATGAAGCATCAGTTTGCTCAGGCAGCCTGTTCCCAAGGCTGAAGCCAGTATTGCTGATATATGCGCTCGCTTGCATGCACAGTCTCATGACCAAACAAAAGGCAGCTACAATCAAAATGTGGGGAAATGCTTGCCACACTTAGTGTAAACCTCAAAGAGCGAAAGTGCCATCCAAGTGCCAAAGACAGATTGCAAGGTAACAACAGAAAGAAAAAAAAACAGTTCAAAATGAGAGACAAACTGAGCCTAAAACTGAGCTCAGCCTCATACTCCCTGCTGCAAAATATATCTGGCCATTTCCTCCCTTCCCAAACTCCTCACCAACCTCAGATTCACAGTGGCACCTTCTCCCTGCATTTCTCAATGCCTAAGGTGTAACAGAAGCCTCCCCCCATGTGTACAATCCAGTGCTGTTGCTCTCAGGTCTCGTGAGGATTTCAATTTCTACCTGTGCAGGAGCTTCTCCCATTCAAAACTTTGCAGTTTTACTTTTAGGGAGAAAATCTGCAGATTGGCAAGCTGCAAATCTCTTGCTCATGGCTAAAAAACAGGGAAATAAAATATTCCATAGGAAGAGAAAACATGAGCAATGGGAGCTATTAAAGTCACTGCCCATTCCTGGAAGCTTGTGACCACATGGACCAATTTCCAGTCTTCCTTCCTCCTGTGCCGTTATGCAATGGAGAGATTTAATAAACATTTCACAGCCTGCTCTCCCTGATTCATTGTCTTCCTCTCTGCAGCACCGAGAATGTGGTGAGTCAGGAATCCCAGCAGGAAGAAGCTGCAGATTTACAATAATACATACAGGGCTTGAGAACACATTACTATTTAACCAACACAGATTTTTCCCTGTTTTTATCAACTAGAGGATGCAGACACGACTCCTGACATTCCCAGACTTCTTAACTATGGGGAATTTTGGAAAAACTCACCCAACTTCACAGGCATTGCCTTTAGACAAGGCAGATTTTGGCTGAATAACAACAACAACAACAAGACCTGCACAGGCTAGAAACTCCACAGTAAACAAAACTTCTGAAAGAGAAATGAATGTAAAACCAATGATAGGAAAAACAAGCTAACCTACAGGCACTGATTTTATTTTGATATTATAATCTCTTAATAGAGAGAAATCTTCGGAGGTTGGATTTAAAATTAGAACAAGACAGAACCCTTCAGTAATTCTTATCAACCCCAAATCTCACCAGACCCTCCTATGACTTAGGTTTGTTGTTACTCAGTGGTGTCAACAAGCTGTGTGATGCAACAGAAATCACTGAGAATTGAGGATGTTCAGAAAGGTCAGAAAGAGTCCTTAAAAACTGCCATGGGGATTTACCGAAAATGAGAGCTTTTGTGTTTGCTTTTGTCATAAAACACAGCACAAATTCATGGATTAGCCAAAACATTTCTGTTGATTTTTTTTTAAGCTTTCCAAGCTGCTTAGATTTCTCTAAAAGAATCAAGTGATTGAATTCAAGTGCCACCAACAAGTATTTATACTTATTACCTTCATGTAAGATGTTTTAATACAACATACACATCCTGTGCATAAAAACACCTACTCCTGTGGGGAAAAAAATGTCAAAAAAATTTAAATCTTATACATTTTTTTTTAACTATGTAAGACATTGAAGACTTTAGAAGGTCACTGATTCCACGGTTCTCCAATGAGAGCACACAAATCTCCAGGGCATTTCAAGGCTGAAAGCTTGCTCTTTTGTACTTGCTCAGATCCACAGAAAATCAGCCTTTGTCAGCAGGAGGGACACACAGATCTCTGCTTGGCCTGAGAGTCACGTTCTACTAGCATTTATTGATTTGTATGTACATTATCTTCCAAACACCCAGCGTGCATTTGGTGACAAAGCTTTCCCTGAAAATAGTTATGAGAGCTTCAGGGCTGTGAGCTGGGGGGGAGAATGGGCCTCATCAGCCTCATTTAGACAGCAAACCCCTTTAGAGTAACAGTGAGATGTGATCCTGCAAGCTGCCCACAATCAGAGCTGCCTCTGAAATGCCACCGATGGTCTTGGCCTGTGTGATTATCACTCACATCCTGGAAAAAGAGGTCATCCAAGAAGTGGCAAAGACCTAAAGGTAAATGAAGGTGAACCAGTACTGTTTTTCTGCACACAAGAAAGGAAAAGCTACCTGGGCAGGGTACAACAGTCCAATGTAAAGAATGCGTCCTCAGAGCAAACACTTAAACAGCTCCCTAAAGCTGTGCACAGACAATGCAACAATCTGGAGGAAGCGTAGGAACACGTGTTCACTATGACAGCACCCACTGAGGAGCCTGATTTCCTCTGCACGGACCTTTAGTCCTTTATCACACAGCAGCTCCTGGAGAGCAGCACCCGCCTGCAGTCATCCCCTTCCTTGCTATATTTGCTACACAGACAAAGCGCACACAGATTCACAGTGGTGGAATAGTTCAAAAAACCCATTTATCTCAGATGCAGTCTGTTGTCATGGGCACTAAACTTTGGACATGGCAGTTATCAGGACAATAACCCTGTCCTCCAAGGCCTTGCAAGCACATCAATCAACTTCCAGCACACAGGGAAGGAGGGAAGGTAGTGTTCTTCTGCATAGTATTTTCACTGCTTCCTCTTTTGTCTCAACAGTACCCAGGGTTCACTGCAGCTTCTGTATCCTCTGCTGGAAGTGTTGAAGTTAACAGGGAAATCAAGAGATCAGAACCTATTTTTTCTGAAAAAGCATCTTTTATAATAAGGGCAGTGAAGTAAGCAAGGGGGACAAGGCAAGAGGGAAGAGGCTGCTGACTTACCACTTGTGAATCTCACTGTATTTCTCACTGTCTGGAGGAAAACTCCCAGTGTGGAGACAATCAGAAGGCAGAAAAAAAGCTCTCTGGGATGCTCCAGGATTAAAAAAAACCTGTCATGTTTTGCAGTAATCAGGAACAAGTTAAGTGCAGTCTTACCTGGATCTGTCCTTTTCCCATTATGCGATCTGTGCTCTCTCCATCCTCTTTGGTGAGCTTCATTTTGTTGTAGCACTTTTCATAGCACAAAATCCGCAGAGTCTGTGAGCCTTCCAACTCAATCTCAAACTCCTGCAGGGCACCAGAAAAGGACAGAGCAATGAGTGCACCACAGCAAGATGTTCAGTCTCTTCATAGTCAGGATATTATCCTTAAGACTCTTCAGGAAGGAGCACTTCAGGTCTGGCAAAGATCTCCTTCCTCATGAAAATGGTCTGAAAATAAACTGAAGCTGTAATTTGTACATATGAGGTGGCCAAATTAGAGACTAAGGCAGTTGGCTCCTTAGCCAGGTTTCACTGACATGCAGCGAAGCATCATTTAAAGAAACAAACTCGCCTACGTTCGTCTAATTTTGCTCTCCTGCAGGTTTGCAAGTTGGCTGTAAGCAGGCATACGTCTAATTCTTTCTCCTCACAACAAATAAAAGCACCTCCAAAAAAATCCTCCTTCAGTATATTGTCACTGATGTCTTATTAAAAAAAAAAAAAATAATCAAGTATATCTGTTTAAATGATGAGATGCTGGAAAACGCAGGACTCATTTTGTACTGAAAAATTTATTTAACTCCATCCAGATCAAGAGGAAATCTGTGAGAAGGAATTAGAGCCAGGTGGATCTGCCATCAATGTGATTGCTGAAAGGCAGCACATGCTGCACAAATCCAAAGCACGCAGCCTGGGCTTCAGACAAAATGTTCTTTCATTTGCAGTTTTTCTACCCATCACGCACTGATGTCACATGGAAAACAGCACATCAAGAACAACCCAACCTACCTCATTCCAGTTGGGCTCCGTGGTGTCTCTGTACACCCTGGTTTTGGCCTTGTTCACAAAATACCCAAAAGAATCAACCTCTAACGTGCAATACAAATCTGAGAAAGGGGAGAGAAAAACTTCATAAATATTTCTAGAACCTCCTATCTTAAATTAATCACCTTTAGGGTGTTTCTTCATTTATATCTTCTCTGTAATAGTACCAGTAACACTGCCCAATGCAAATTTTGTCATCTGGACCAGCAGAGTTGCTTTTATGAAGCTGAATTACCAGCACACTGGTATAAATAACCTCAGCACAGACAAGCCTTTCACTTATGAGTCTGGTGTGTGCTATTAACTAGTATTTCCCAATCAAGCCACGATGAGCAGAAGGTTTACACCTATGAGAAATGAAAGTCCCCTAGGTAGATACCGGATCCCATGAGCACATTGGAGCTGATTTCACCGGCAACAGCATCTGCATAACATCCCTCAGAGGCTAGGTTAGGGCCGAGTCATCAAAACCTCATTATCTCCACACTGTTTAATTATGCGGTATCTCATGTTTTTAAAAATAGTGATGAACTGCAGACGTTGCCCCTTCTTTCATGCTTTTAGCTATGTTAGCCAGTACCATTGCACTCCTCTAAATTCATACCAATGTCCCAATTTCACTTCCAGTTCCCCAGATCACCACTCCTCTTCCTCATCATCATCCCAGTTACTGCAGTCCTAAATGAATCCACACCCAGCTGTCAACAGCACCATCACCTCCCTCCTGCTATCTAACATCCCCCAAAACCTCTGTGTTACAGAACTACAACTCACTTGAACTTTGCTTGAATCCTGTGGCAGAGTGGACAATGACATTCAGGAATCCATAGAGACCTGGAGATTCATCATCTATACAACAAGGCAAAGGAACGCTGTTAAATTCACAGAGAAGCCAAGAGCGAAAGACAGAGCGATGAGTTAATTTTGCAGAAGTTTATGTCCCTAAAACGGATGTAGCAGGAACATGTATTCTAGCCATTTATAACTTCTGGCAATTTGGGGCTTTTACAATGCCACTGCTAGGGTCAGCAAGACAGCGTGGAAGAAAAACAAAGGACAAAAGTAAAATATAGACACAAAGCCTATACCAGCAGGATAAAAAGCAACACAGGATGGTCTCTGACGCAGTGTCCTACATTTGGAAATCATCACCAGATTGAAGCTGTAGCAGAAAGAAATATTAAGAGTAGCTCTAGGGGAAATGCACAAAGGCAGGCAGAGACAGGCTTTCACTGCAGCTACACCATATGAAAGCATAAACTGTGCGTCTTACCTTCCTTATTGATAGTGAGGGGAATGTTGTGAACTGTCTGGAGTTTCACACAGGAATTTGTCAGCATCTGGAGCTCCACTGATGTGAGTGAGAAGCTTTTAAAGCCTGCCACGGAAATTCAAAGGGAGAGCAATTAAATTCAAAGCAAAAGCTGAATGCATGCTCTCTCATTCTGGGCATGCACAGGACAGCTGCTCCCTGGGCAACACTCAGCAACAGTACCATAGCACTTAGGTCTGTACTACTGCTGCAGCCTATCTCTGTTTAGGGCATGTTCAATTATTCCAAATTTAGAGTAAAATGTCCCCAAATGGTTCACAGGAATAAAGGGGCATCTACATTCTTGCAAAGCCAAAAAACACCCACACCAAAATAAAAGTCTCTTTGGTCAAAAGGTGCAGTTGTTTCCTCTGCCCGGAACTACACATCTCTACCTGGAGGGTAATTGAGAGAAACCCCTCCCACACATTCCCTACGTGGTATGGGAAGCAAAATTCCCACAGACAGGCTCAGATGTGCAGTGACAGAAGACTTTCAGATTCCACTCTGAATGCCCCACACCATATCCTCTGGATTCAATATCACAGCATTTGAACCAATAGCCAGCTGAGGGTCACTCACATTTCTTCTGCTGCTCCCGGATGTTCTCCCTCCACTCTGCCCTTTCATAGTCCGATGAAATGAGGAACGTGTAACTCTACCCAAAAAACAGAAGAACATGGGGTATGCATTAATCTGATCCACCACTGAGAGCTGGTCTGCCTCCAATATTTTCTCCAGCAGAAATTCTTGGATATACTGCTCTTCTGGTACTCTTCCCATTGCCCTACATCACGGTTTTGTCAATGACAGGCAGGACTCTGGCACTGTGCCATGTCAGCAATGTGTCAGCAGCACCAACAAACAGACTCCTGCAGTCAGAGCCTTCACAGGGCTCTGCCCTGCAAACAGCAGCTGTGGCCCTGGCAGCATGATGTCCCACGACAGCTCTGCACAATTCCTTACAGCAGCTGCACCACAAAACTTAAAAGCTTCCATGACAGGCCAAGACACTGATGCAAGCTGAAGAAGCAGTTACCAGCTTCTGAATTTTGACTGGTTTGTAACAGGATCTTGTGACAGTCTTTTGCCTTGTGTGTGCTAAGGCCATGGAGATAGGTTCCAGTACTGTCAGAGCAGGTGATACCTCTGGCACACTGAGAGTCCTGCAAAGCTAAAAGGAGATCGTTCTCAGCATCCCTGTGCCGAGTGATTCTGTGAAGGGCAGCACACAGCTCTGAGAAGGCAGCCCTGAATGCACTAAGCCTTGAACTGAAGGGGAGGCCAAAAGGGAGTAGCTGCAGAGCTTTTTCTTAGGTGAAGAGGGCAGTTCCTATTGCTCTGACAGGACTTGTCTTGTCCCAGACAGGTGTTCAGCTAATACATTCATTTATATTTTTTATGCCAATGTCACATTCAAATTAGTCACGGCCTCCCGAGACATTATCATAACACCTTAGTTATGTTTAGGTGTCTGCTCCTTGGAAAGTGCTTTCAGACCAGACAGAAGAAAATAGGATCTCCTTATACAATGCATGTGCAAGCACACAGAGCCCTTTAGCATTTTTCTATTACACAAAGCCTGAGACAGACCAAAACAGCCACTCACCTTGCCATTGCGATTGTGCACCCGGAAAGCCATGTTGGGAGACATCAGCAGCAGGAGTGATTCCTGTTCTGAGAGCTTCTTTTTCAACCTCTCAATGACCTTGCTGCCCTTATTGGCCCTCTGAATGGTGGGGGGAGAGAAGACAAAAGGACACGCACATCATTCTCCTACACTTGCTCTCATTTACACCAACACACATTTTCAAACCCACAGTTCCTTTTCTCTAAAGGAAATGAGGATATACTCTGACAGATGCCAGACGTTCCACATATTGGTATGCTATACTCCCAGCCTTTCTCATGTCTACAGCATGAGAGCTCCGTTTTCAACATAAATGCCTGGAAATAATCACAGGCAGATCCATGTAAGCAGAGGAGCAATACGGCATCTTTTGTTGTTTCTGCCTCCAACTGAGGAGGCCATCATACAAGCAGTGCACCAGAATGAGAACAATGGGCTGTGCAGCAGTCTAGATGTCACTGATAACTGAGCTGTACCACAAATCTCTGCTGAACAGCCTGTTTTAGCAGGATTCTCCATGCTTCTATCAGCATCTCATCTCAGCAGAGATATTGAGTCTGTTCTGTATGTGGGATGGAACCGGCTTTTTTTGTTGTTTTTTTTTGTTTTGTTTTGTTTTGATTTTTTGTCTTTTACCTTTTCACGCTGGATATCATTCTTGATCTGGGATATCTTGATTTTCATGGCATCCAGTTCCTCATCAGGTACCAGTGGGATGTTGGGAACTGCCTCGGACTCATCCACCATTTGGAAACTAAGGTCAGTGAGTGGGATGTACCATTTGCAGTCATACTGCTGGCTTTTTCTGAAAGACAGAAGGTCCAAACCTTTGCTCCTTACTGGTGCTTGGCAAATACTCACTTCCTCTTCCTACAGGTCATTCCTCATTATAGCTCATAAGATACAGAAGTAGGGACAGCTTCTTTATGACTTCCACATCAGAAAAAAATCTGGTAAAATGCTGTTTTCCAGTAAGAAAGCCAAGGAGGGCCAATTGCCAGTACAGTGCAAAATGAAGCAAATTGTTTTGTTACCTAGTTTATTCTGTCCTAAAAAACCCACAAAAACCTTTTGCATACCCTTTTAGTCCTCTTCTCTGCCTCTTCAAAGCCCCTGTAGAGGCAGAGTTTGAAAGCAAAGCCACATGTGTGAATGGATGGCTGCCTGTGGTCTAAAGCTCAGGTCTCTCCTGCCTGAGCTGGGATGGCTGAGTGGGGGGTAGAAGTGTCAGCATACAAAGTTCCATGTAACCAAATCAGAAGAAACTACACCTTGTGACTGCCATTCTGTGGTGCTCTCACCAGAACAGCCTGCCAACGGTTTTTTTTAATGTTTTGTGCTATTTACTCCCTTCTTCACCCCTCCTGCCAATATCAGACATTCTTGGGAAAGTCCCACTCTCTTCAAAATTACTTCCCTGGAAGTATGTGCTTCAAAAAGGGCACGAGCAACTTGTTTGAGGAGAACAAGCAGAGGAGTTTCTCAGAGCGAAGGTCTCCTATGACGGCCAGCACTTCCTTGCTGATCACTCTCTGTCCAACTACATTTTATAGATTCTGGTTACCCAGGACTGGAGTATTCATATTCAGCTGGTGTTGCTGGCTGAACCCAGGACTCTGCTGAAGCTGAGATGCAAAACACATAGACCAGAAGGGAAACCTCACCCTCCAATCTGCTTTTTGAGCTTGGCACACAGGAACAGATCAGTAAAAAGAAAGACGTGACGTAGTTTGCGAGCCCCCTCAACGAGCTCCACCATGAAACTGTCCTTCAGGAGCTGCCGGTGCTGGGGAAAAACAGAAAATGTTTCAGTTAGTGAAGAAAGAGCCCAGATAAAGCACTGCGCCTCCCTCAGTGACGCACTCCTGATGCCTGACTCCTACCAGAGCCAATTTAATAAACTGTTCCAATTCAGCAAAAAAACCAGGCTGTTATGTGCTCCTTGCTGTGAGCTCTGCTCCCCGCTGCTGCCTTCTCTCTCAAGGGCAAAAATGGCCTTATTCATCAGGTGCCAGGTCAGAGCTGAGGTTTATTTCCATCACCTGTCTCTGAGACCAAGTGTTACTTATGGTGAGTCATCGCCTGGCTTTAAGTGCCCAAGGGCCACCATCACAGCATCCCTCTTACAAGCCAGCAGAGAGCAGCAAACACCACTTTTCTGTCCAGACTTCCCCCATCATCCAGCTACTGAATTCAGCTCAAGCTACCCCCACTCTGCATTAGCTAGATACAAAATGTGTACCTTGCAAAGTTCTCTGTAGTCCCTTACCTGCTTGTGTTTAAACAGGATCATCTGGATGATCCCCACACCTATTCAAAGCTTTAAAAGCTTTTTTTTTCCTCCTAAATAATTAATAAAATGAATCAAATGTTCCCCAAACCTAGATGATAATTTGCATTACCCTGATACCTTTATTCCTATTTCTAGTTCCCAGAAGACTTAAAAACTCCTAATTAGCAGGCATACATTGGAGGGCAAAAGCATCTTTTCCCTTCTTTCCCTACAGGGACTCCATAGCTGACAGACAAAAAGGCCGGAGCACTGGCACTGAGACAGATGGGTCTGTGCTGTCACCAGTGACCAACACAGGAGTTTCAAGCCTTCCTCTATGCCCAGACCTTCTGTTCTGATGTCAGGATCAATATGAGTCCGAGTGCACATCATGCAGAATAGAAATTTCCCCTCATTTTCAAAAGCAAGCCAAGGGTATGTCACTTTGGCAAAAATTATTCCCACAAATATGTCTGTCAGTGTTAGTTTGCTTCACAGCCAGTACAAGCAGCCACCATCAGCTTCTGCACACAGGTTTCCTAAGATGCTTTTTCCTCATCCTCATAGTACTTCTACTTGTTACTCCAGCTAGGAAGACGGCCTGCTGACACCAATGAATGACACTACACACACTGTACACGCCAAGACAGCATCATGGTTGGAGATAGGAGAGATGAGCTCACATTGCTCAGTGCTAACCAACAACACCCCCTTCTGCTCTGTCACTGTCAGCCTTCTCCAGGCCCACGCACGACTTGTCAGTAGGACAAGCATCTCCGCAGGAAACTCATATGCAAAATCTGTCCTTTGCCAAGAGGCAGCCCTGCTCAGCTGCGCAGCAGTGTGCAATAGGAAAGCAGTTAACCTCAACAAGGTCAAGACATCCAAACCAGAACTCATGCCTCAGTTTCTCAGGGTTATGCCTCACGGGTTTTACTTGCTGCATGACTTAACAAGCCTTGAGCACGTTTACTGCAGAGGGTGTGGGAGTGCAAACCTCCGCTCTCCTTCTCCTTCCTCCTACCATCCGTCCCACCCTGGCTCTCCAAAACGAAAACAAACCACATCAGCCCCAGCAGGCAGCATGGCAAGAAACACAGGAGATAAATGTCCTTGCAGTCACAGTTCTTGTTTCTAGTCTGTTCTAGAATGCCCTAAACTTCCTGACACAGACTAAGGGTCTGCATTTTCCTGTCTGCAGCTTGCAGCCACAAGCTGCTGAAGTACAGATAGCATGTCAGCATCTCACCTTGGGTCTGCCTGCCACCACACAAAAGCCCCAGAAGTCAGTGAGCAGCAGTAAAAGCTGCACCTTTCCCATAGTACCATCAGTACTTCTTCCTAGCAGACTGTTGCACCATCTCTGGGCACAAGTCTGTGAAGATGCAGCATCCAGCAGTGATTCAGGCTCTGGAAGGCCCATATATACATTAATATTTAATTTTTAGGCATGATCTTCCTGGTTTCTCCTCAGTGGTTTTGGAGGGAAGGCCTGCCTGCATTGGTGTGCACTTGCACACAGCTCCCCACTCCTGCCTGATGAATCCTAGGTAGGCAGGAAACTAGAAAACAGCTTTGAAAACAAATAAATAAAAAGGAGGTGGCATGTTGGCAGTAACAAAAGCACTCCACAGCTGCAAAGAATTTCTTTTGGGAGCAATAATGAAGCAGGGAAAGAGATTTTGTGAACAAGCCCAAAACCTGATCTTGGGCTGCTAAATCTGATGCATATTAATTATGCTGCAACTCAGCTCAGCTCCTCTGGGGCAATGAGAATAGCTTCTTGTTGCCTGCCCAACCTCTGCTTATTGTTCACCCTAACCACAGTAATTTGAAGGTAAGCATTTCCTCCAGTGAAGGGAAGCCTATGCAGAGGGAACAGTAACTGAGGTCTTAGTGTCAAGCCTCCAAAAAGTAAGAAGAGTCCATCAGCAATCCCTGCAGCAAGCCTCCACACAGCCTTCCTGGTCCACATAGGTGACCCCTCTTTCTGCCTCCTAAATTTGCACAGTCTTTGGCTGCCATCATCCAGGCAGACTTTTTCCAAGCAGTCATGCTCTCTGTCCCACATCTCCCTAAAACCCAAGCAGAAAGCTCAGCAATCAGGGGTGTGATTTACAGCCTTTGTACTTCCCATCTGGGACTAAGGTACCACTTGTTTGCACTGAGCTTCTTTTGGCTGGCACTCTGGGGTATGAATATCCAGATCAACAGGACACAGTGCTTCTATGAGGCAGCAGAAGTCTTTGGCAGCAAGTTCTCTCAGAAATAGAGTTGGGTGGAAAGAAGACAAGGGTATATTTCCTAAGTTTGCTTGGATCAGAAGTAAAGAGGTGAAAGGGATGTATGCTAGTCAGCCGCTCAGGAAAACACTAAGCTTCCCAGAGCTGTCATTCATTTCTTCTCACTGAGGAGCTAGTTTAGAAAGCTTCCCCTTTGGAGCAAAGGTATACTACCACAATGAGCAACCAAGGATCTAGGGAGGAGAGGAGAGGAAAAAGAGTTTGGGGGTCAAGACAGGAAATGTATCCTCATAAGGGTGTGAGCTTGATATTAGGTCTAACTACCAGCTTCTCTGGGAAAACAGGACTTTCATTAGGGCTGGCCACAACAAGAGTGCACCAAGCTGCTCAGCATCAGTGGAGCCGAGGAGGAGCACTTCCAGCACAGGGCCACATCCTTTGTTGCAAATGAGTCAACTTGCCAGGAGGGCTCAGCAGGTCAGCGGGAAACAATAAAAGGATTTCCCAACTGGCTTACCAGATCCCTGCCAAACCCCACAGCCAGGGAGCACAAGGCACCTTTCTGACCTCCTGCATGAGTCAGCCCATCCTACCCCACACCCTGGGGAAGCCAGGGGTCCCCATAGGCAGCACGTCTGCCTGTCAGGTACCCATACCACCTCAGTTCCATAGGTCATACTAGCATTTTGGGAACCAAAGTCTATAAAGGTTAACTCTCTCCTGAGGGCACCAAGAGCTGTTCCTTTGCTAGCCTTTGGTTAAACAGACTCCCAAAACATGAGGTCTTTTATCTGAATGAATGGTCCTATGATACTGTATGTCACATACAACATGTGTTGGGAGACCATTTCTCTCAACTTTGTTTCTGAAGTTACACTGTTTGCTAAGATTACAAAAGGTGTTAAAGGTTTTCCTAAAATTCACTATAGGTTACAGAAACACCAAAGACACATCCAACAAAGCACAGGCTTAGTATCAGAGTGGCTGTGCGGAGGCGGAGGGACTCCATGTGTCCTACAAACAGCCCCAAGACTAACAGGTGTTCAGCTCAGGAGCTCAGCTCAGATGCTGAAAGATTTTCGAGGACATCTAGAGGAAAGCTTCTTATTTCGTATCATTATAGAGTGATTTAGTACAGCCTTTACCTCTCAAACAGGGCCTGGGCAAACTGTCACCAACCAGAGGCTTTTGCTATGCTACCACATTGGTTCAGTACAAGCCCCAAGTCTCCTTTCTAGACCCTGCTTTCGTTTTCATGTTTTTAGCTGCTGCTTCTCTTCACCCCTATCTCTGTGTTCCAGACAGAAGAGCTCTCCCTTTATGTCCTTCAGTGCTTGGATATCCTCTTTGGACTGCCTATTGCTGTCCTCTGCCAGTGAGCACCTTCTCTGCTACCAACGTGCTCATCTATTCATTCTACAGTGTTTTTGTGCTATTTATAAAGGATAAATCCTTCTGCTGTCGTGTACTGCTTAACTCCAAGAAGCGTGGCAGAAGATCAGCCTGAGACACGTTACAAGAAGTGAAATTTAAAAATATATTCATCCAAAACCACAGCTGTGCAAAGGGCCATCTCCCCACGTGACAGCCAAGCAAAGAGCTCATCCGACGTGGTGACAGCAGCAGCGTGCGTGGGTGAGAGCCCCCGGAAGGACTGGAACATGTGTGATGCAGGAGGAGAAGGGTAAAAGCAGAAGATGGGTATTGGCACATGTCAGTGAGGAAGAGTGGCTTGGCTTTCTGCAGAGCGTAGGAAGAAAATGATTCCTTGTGTGTGCGCATGTTTCAAGACCAGCACTGGAGAATTAAGGGATTCTATGCTTGGAGAGATAAATTGGCTGCTTTTTGCATATTTAGTTGGTTTTTTTCTTTATTTTTTTCCTCCCAAGCTTCTGTCACCAGAAGCTCTCTGACTCCAGCTGTATTTTTTAAATATTCTACTGTCAACACCTGTCCAAAGGCTCCAGGAGTAGTAGGCACCAGGCTTTGAGTTGTGCATGCCTGCCTGCATCTAGGCTTAGTCCTCAACTTTCCAAAGGCATTACTTTGCACTTCTGCTCCCTTGCAAACCTCCTCTCCTACTCTAAGTCAAACAGAAGCCTAAAGCAGTGCTATCTAGTTTATTGCCTGCAGCTACAAGCCTTGTTTAGGTACGTGTTAGAGCAGTCTGCCAACAACCTCTTCTCTCAAGGGCAGGAGGGGAAGGTCCACAGCAGCATAAGCAGATACAAAATGTGATTTGGGGGGTCTTATTTCCAGAAGGAACAGCCTGTCTGCTCTCTTTGCATAAAGACTGGTGCTGAGGATAACAGACACTAAGCTACTCAGCCAGTAGAGTGACCCAGAACTAAAAAAATGGCTTAGTTTTCAGGTAGCTCCATCCCTCCATACCACTCTGTGATCACAATGCTAGCACTTCAAAGAGAGTAGGAGTGTGCAACCATGGGTGAGACAGAATGGCAGCCACCACCACTCTGATTAGCTTGAACTATTCTGAAACAACACCCTGCAAAGAGTAGAGATGAGCTGAAGCCTAGGAAGGAACACACATCAAATGAACTCTGCAGCTTTGTTAACCTCTGCTTTACAAGAATGGGCCGAATTAGCTGGAAGCACAAATCTTGGCAGGGAAAGATGACACACGCTCCAACAGTCATTTGCATCCAGGTTCAGCTGAGAAGAAACATGCAATCTGCAGAGCTCATTTGCTAATAAGTCTGGGAGGGCTATAACTCCCTCCCTTCTGGCATATATTTGTACATACTTCATCTCAAAGCACTTTTTTTCCTGCTTGTCTAAGGGACCAACCCCTGTAAAACCTTAAATAGGTTTCCTATTAAAGATGAAAGAACAGAGGAGAAGAAGGGTCAGCAGTGAGCACATAAGAGGCCTGCTCCATGGTCTTAAGGGGTGCAAGATTCTCCATATTCCCCTTCTGAGTCAAAGGGTGCTGTGCTACGCAGACCCTCTTCCCTCCTTTTGTGAAACTGATTTTTTGAGTTGGTGAAGTGGATATCTGCAGATAAAACATCAAAAATACAAAGAAGTAAAATTACAGAAGTAGTAAGCTGGGAAGGAGCAGCGAGAAAATGGCACAGATCAGGTTGAAGGGAGACAGAGTCAAAAGTCTGGAAAAAGCCTTCAGTAAATCCCTCCTGGCTCCCTTGTGCTGCCAGCTACAAAAGGCCCAAACCATTCCTGAGAGGTACAGACTGAGCTGGACCTGAAATTCTCCAGGCAAGACCAGAAAAGCCATCAAAAATTGCCAAGTCTTTACTCCTCCCCACACTTCTGCCTTTCCTTTGGAATCTTACTATGAGGACATATTCAAACCCTTCTGCAGATCATGGAGGAACACAGTGCATCCTTCTCCTCAGCACAGACTCCAATGCTCTGCTAGTTAAATTCAGCCTCAGGGCCACTGCTGCCTTCCCAAACACCAAACAAATGCATTGAGTGAACCACTCACAAACCAAACAGGACAGGGCTGGTGCTATCCTGGATCCTCTGTACCAGCAGTCCCTAGCTAACTACAGAACAAAGAACTGTGGCTATTGTTAGCCTGACCAGCAGCAAGGGCCAAACTATGTGCAGTATTCCCTCCATCCTGGCTTGTAGGCTTAGCCCAATGGATCCTCCCTTTCCTGTTACAGCCCCTTCTGTCTCTGCAGTGAATGGTTTTACTCCCTTTGCATTCATCTCCTCACACTAACTGAAATATTCATTCAGCCCCAGCAGATTAAATCTTGTTCGTGCATCACAGAAAACTTTCAGTTCACATACATAAACCCAGAACTAGCAAAAAAGCCTGCCATGCAAAACAGGACTTGGATACTCCTGTGCAGGAGCAATATCTGATGTCATTCAGGAAGGCAGCAAGCAGGTCAATGTGAGCCAACGCTCACAGAGCAGGAACCACCTTTTGTAAAAGAGATCAAGACTGTTCGTGAGCTTGTTCTATGTTTTGACCTGCACTCTTCTTAGCAGCCTGTCACTAGGGAGATTAGCCACTCGCTGCTTTCCTCAGTTCAAAGAGATCCTGAAAAAAAGAGCTGGAGAAAAGGAGATTTGACTCCTCCCCATGATGCACCCCAAGGAGGAAACACACTCTGCATAAAAGGCAAGGACTGGGGAAAAAAGACAACTGAGATCAGCACCTAAGCAAATCATGAGGGGAAAATGCTGTTTTCCCTCCTTCCTTTTCACCAAGGAAATTTCAAAGGGGAGTAAGACAAATAATAATAATAATAATAAAAAAAAGCTATCAAAGCAAGCTGGTGACTCATTAAAATAAAAAAATGCATTATGTATTGAGGGTAGTCAATTAGGAAATGTGAACTGCACACTGTCCTGTCACCCCAGGGGAAGCATAAGCAAGGGGAATGGGAGGAGAAAAGGAAAAATGTACAGGCATAAACAAAACCCAGCTATGACCCCAAGGTGAGTAGCCTGTAGGAAGCAACACCTGTCACTAACCCACACAAAGCAGTTGGAAGCCTGCTTCTGCCTCTGGATTATTATGCAAAGAATGAACGTAGCTACTCCCCAGACAGACAGATACTGATTCGAAAGAATGTGGAATACAACTGGAGAAAGTACCCACATTCAGCCTCTCAAAGTGGAAGACAAACAGGGAAGCACCAGAAGCAAGTTCTTTTCTTCCCTAGGCTCAGTACAAGGAGCGTGCAGTGAGGTAGAGCACAAAGGGTTCCAGTTTCCTCCAGCACACCTACAGCCCTATCCTTCAATATGCACTCTCCCTCCATCACACACAAAAGCACTAGAGGACCACTGAGCTTGTGAACAGGCCTGCTGAGCACAATTCCAACAGGCCTCCTCCTTCCTGCTTTGTAAGATCTGACAAACATATTGCTCCAAAAAGAGATCATCAGGATTATCCTCCCAAGACAGCCCCGCTGCCTATGCACTGGCACTTCATTAGGATTCTGCATGACACTTTCCAAAGCCTGCATCCCTCATTGAGATGCTGACAGACAACCGGAGAACACAAAGTGCTCCCTCCCCTGCACAGGGACATTCCAGCCTGCAATTTCTGCAGTGACTCAATCAGCATCCACTTTAATGAGGCTATCTGCTATCTCCAGGCCCTGGTGACTGACGTTTGAGCTTCCATCTCAGCCTTCAATTGCTCATTCTCCCCTCTTCTCAGCAGCAGCATTCCTCAGTTAACAAAATGAGAATAGGAGCAAGAGTCACAGGTGAACAGTACACCTAATTTCCAGTACTGCAGCTTCAAGCTGATTTTTGTCAGCTGATAATCAGTTTAACAGCTAAAAGCAAGCATGTTTAGCTGACAAGATTTGGGAATACATCTTGAAGGTTTGTGGTATGTTAACAATCTTCTGGGATTTGTAGGAGATGTTTTTGTACAGGGTAATTTGGGTCACTTTTGATCAGCCAGTGTCTTCAGCATGCTGCCACAATTCCTCTTACAAACTTATTATTTGAGCTGCACCTCCCTTTTGTCCAATATCCTACATCCTCCTGTCTCTTTGTACTTCTGTCAGTCCTGGTGTGCCCTCATTAGGAAGGACTGAACTGTCATCTAATGAAATCACAAGGTGTATGAATCGAGCCCATTCAGGCACGCAGAAGTTTACTGCTGTGTAGGTTTATGCTTTCCTTGCACAGCATGACATGCAGGTAAGGGAACCCCACATCTTGGAGCTTCTTGGGCATATTCAAACTCATAGCAGAGCTGAGAAGAACTGTACCACACCTATAGGATTTTAACATCTCCCTCAGCTTTCCCAGCCCATTTCATTTGTTTTGCTCCCCTGTCCCATTCACAATATTGTTCTTTAGAAATGAGGATGTAAAAAAAATGAGTTTATGGCATGAATTAATATTTAGGCCATAACATTTCCTAACCTGTTATGATTTCTGATAATTCCTCATCTTTTTCTCTTCCTAGGCTTCCTGTGTGTTTTCAGGTAAAATACATTTACTGCATAACTATGCATTGTAGAAATGATGTATGACAAATCATTATAAAAGTGCTAAGGACAAAACTCTAATCATTCTTTTCCTCCTGGTTTCCAAACTGTTTTCCGTACAACATCCTTTAGAAAACAAGGACACTGTATAAACTGTTTCTTAGCAACAAACAAATTAATAGCTCAGGTTCCCAGTCTGCTCCACAAAGGTACAACCAGTATTTAGGAACTGAGAAAATAATGGAAGCAGGAAGACTCACCTCCCCCTTCTTTACAGTCATGGACTGCCGACGAGGAGTGATCTCCTCATTGATGCTGGAAAGGAAGTTCTGCGAGATCCGCAGGGCGTCCTGCAGGAGTGGATGATCAGGGTGGCTCACTGGAGTGTGCTTGAGCAAATCCTGCCACCAAGAACACAAGCGAAGAACAGAATCATGAGCAGCACTGGAAAGCAGTGCCCCCAGAGCTAAGTCCCCAACTGAAGCCATCGGAGAAGATACTCCATGGCTTCTTACAGGCTAAAGTAAGGCTGTAACTACACAGGAAGAGAAGTGACAACTTTGCAGTTCGTAACATCACTGGAGAGCTACCAGGGTACCATGGGCTCCCTCTCCTCAGTGTAAACAGAAGAGGCTCCTATGCTGCACAGCAGCTTATTTTTTGCAGTCCTGCAGCTCAGTGGGAAACATGAGAGGAAAAGAAAATAGGAAATGGGAGAAAAGTTGGAAAGCTACCCTTCAGATACTTACATGCAGTACAAGTGTGCTGCGAGTCACTCGATCCACTGGCTTGTATAGCAGAGCTGTGAAAAAAACGCAGCAGGAACATAAAAAAGAGGTACCTAAATGCAGCCCTTAGAGAACAACTTGTCCAATGCCACTGAGCATACAGGCACAGGTTTATTAACTGATGAGGTACTAGAAACTCTTCTCCAAGGTTAACGTGCTACATAGCCAGTAAAATACACATGAATGCACAGAGGAAATAAACATGCTCTACAGCAAACAAATACCCACTTGTGAGCATATTCTGTCACACAGTGGGTGAGGAGCACACAAGGTGGTACAAAACAACTGCAAACAGCATGGCACACTTGCAACAATTTCCTGGCAACCTGCCTGGTCCCACAGGTCAGAATCGGGCCTTGCACTCTTAAAGTTGCCAAGGAGGTCCCTGAAAGGTTGGCAGTGCATCCCTCCTTCTGGAGTTCAGCACGACACTGTTGAGTGCTTCCAAACCCTGATAACAGGCCAAAAAAGGAAGGGGATTGGCTTTTACATTAATCATTATGGAAGCTTCATATAACATAGCTTATCTTCTACTATGTATACATGTAAAGGCAAGCACAATGAGAACTGAGCTTGACCAAGCTCTCTAGAGAAGGCAAAAAAAATAGAGCAATTACTTCTAGGCTGATGTTTGTGCTAACACTGGGTAGTAGGTGTTTGCTTAAGAACACAGCAGTCCTTTGGTTAGCCTGGTTATGCCCAAAGGGACTCATCAGGTTTAAGTTGGGCAGGAGCTCACCCATGCATGCATGCAATTTACTATGCAGAAGCTCTACTACGTAGCAAAAGGGAACTGATTTCCCATGGAAAGCCAACAGAGACTCCACAACCTTCCAACATTTAAAAAGAAGAAGCGAGTGGAGGCTTGGCAACAGCCCCCACGCAGTCCTGACAAACCAGTATCCTCTGCATGGATCACTCACTTTCCAAGGAATTTTTCGTCGTCTGATCTTTAGATTCCTTTGTGCTTCTAGCCTTTAGATTCTAAAAGAAAAAGAAAACCCACGTAGCAGACGGTCAATCACCTTGAAATATCACATGGGAATGTAAGAGACTATCTGCTCCTCCAGAGAAGGGCCAAAGAATGACTGGAGGACAGCCCTGCCACAGTTCAAATCAATGAAGGAAAAAATATGCTTGTTTTCTTGATAATTTCACCATTGCTGTGACAAAGGCACCTACACATCTCAAATAATAATCAGATTTCTTAGGAGTTCGCATCAATAGAGAAGCAACAAAAGAGGGAACCACCTACAGCAACGTAGGGATGGTAGAAATTTTAATCACCTGCAAGAGAAAGGCATGTCCACAACAATGCAGCCATTGTCATAGCATGTACACACCACCAATAAACAGAGCACAGGATTGGGATTTAGCACCCCCTGATTATACTTATCTATGCCCAGAGCTAGGTGACCTTGGAGAAGTCAGCTGCCTTTCACAACAGAAAAGGAACAATGCCTGTGACTTTTCTTTTTTGCTACTGTTAATAAATGGGAAACTCTGTGGAAGGCATTTCAGTACTGAGAGAAAAGGAAGCGCAGAGGAAGCTACTCTGCTAATAAGTTGACACCACAGGAGCAAAGAAGTGGTAGACAAAGGATCAGAACCCAATGGAAACCCTCAGTAAAGGAGAAAATAGAAGAACCTGCGCTCTGTTGAGTAGTACATCAGATCCCAACAATGTTGAATGTACTCAATAGCTTTTTCAGAGCAATAAACACCCTAGTATTATTCAGCTCTGATTATTTATTTGCTTGTTTTTAAGGATACAGATATGAAGTTCACATTGTCTTGGCAACTGAGTTTTTCAAGACATGATCACTGCAATGCAAACAGTTAAGAAGCACTGCAGGCAAAGCTGGTGGCCTGGGATGTTCTTTAAAGCATTTTGACACAAAGTACTCCCCTTTGAGGAAATCAGAGCAGCTGGTAAATAACCTACATTACACTTAATACACTCGCCATTTTAAACAGAATTTTCTGTCCTCTTCTCCAAACCAGGGAAGCCTGCAATTCCATGGTAGACATAATGCAAGCCATTAAAGATGGCTTTTTTTACATGCAGTCAGCATAATCATTGGGAAGAGCAATATTTGGGAAGCTCAAATAACAACTTTCCCTCTAGAAATGCATGCAGGTGGCACAGAGCTGAAAAGCTCACAGGAATCAGTTGTTACAAGATTTCCTGGGTAGGGACAGCACATAAAGGCAGTCTATAGGATAACCTCTACTAGCCCCAAATATAAATCATTGTAAGAATCCAAGCTGAAGCAATGAGTCTAAGGGAGCTCATAACTCCTCCAGAAGTCAGGGCTGCAAAGAGTGTTGGAGAATAGATAAGTGACACTGCAGGGTATTAGTCAGATTCAGATGGCTCATGTGTCTGAATACCGTGACATTACCTCAGAGATTTCAGCAAACTGAGCATTGGCTTGGCAGCATTTCTCTGCTGTCTCCATGGCAACTTCATAGTTATCCACAAAGGCCCGGTACACTCCCAGCTGGCTGGCCTGCAGGAAGCAAAACAAAATCAAATAAATGCTGAGGAAGACGAGTTTGGGATGGCCAGACTGAGCATCTAACGATCAGGTCATGTTCCTTCACAACAAAGAATCACAGGGAATACTGAGCAGGCCCAGAAAGACATCTCTAACCTGTTAAAAGCTTAACCAGGGCAGGTCTTCCATACACCTAACTCCAAATATCCTGAACAGATTCGCTTACTGGCCTGTGAGGATGACACATCTTTATTACTGCCATCTATTTTTCCCTTCTGAACTGCCAGATTAGTATCTATTAATATTTTAGCTCATTGATGTAACTGGAACTGCTGGATGGTTGCCACAAAATATGAATCAGACAGGAATGATTCAGCCAAACAGCACAAATGTGACCCCAGTAAGCTACTAGCTGGAGCTTTTGCACACACGCTGGTCACACTAAAACAAGCCCAGATATTAAACTATATATGCATCAGAAAACAGTGTAATAAGGACAGAAGAAGCTGAAAATGTAGCAGAAATCCAGCACAATCTGTCTGTGAAGGCAGTGACTGCAGCACTTAGGTCCAGGTGAAGATGGAGCAGAGTCCAGTAATGAGCCACTATCATCACTGAGCCCTAGCACTGATCCCATTTTCTGACTTATTAAGTGCAGCCATATTTGTGCCAGAGAACAAAAGATCCAGCTCAGGAAATCCCTGGGTAGCTTCCAAGCTTGTCTGGATCGCAGAGCAGTCTTTATGTTGCGGAGCAGCACAGGCTGTGCTGTAAACACCTCACAGTTTGAACGTGTTCTCAAATGCATGGTCAGCAGTGAGCCAATAGGTGGGGTGCTGTAAAAGACTCAATTTGAAAGAAGCCTGTTACCAGAAAAGCTTGCATTTACCCTATCACTTCTACAGCTCCCCTTTGCCCGAGAGGTACAACAGGCAGAGCAGTGAACTTTCACACAGACAGTGCTCTTTTCCTCTCCGGCTCTCCCATAACCACTGTTCTCCATTCTCTCTGGAGCTTTATGCAAGAGATAACAGACGAGAAAAAAGGCACTGCATGGAGAGCATTTGCTGCAGCAAACGTTAGTGTTAGCTAACAGAGACTGTTCTCTACGGCAGATTTTACTGAAAGACTGGGTACTGGTCACAGAATCACAGAATGGCCAGGGTTGGAACGGACCTCAAGGATCATGAATCTCCAACCCCCCCTGCCACATGCAGGGCCACCAACCTCCCCATTTCATACCAGACCAGGCTGCCCAAGTCTAAACTCTCATACCATAAAACATGCTTATGACTGAAGCTGAAAGAGACTGTGCCCATTTTGCCAGAAGTGACTCAGTCCCAGCTGCCAGTGGGGCACGAATCCCTGAAGAAGTAGCTGTCAGAATTACTGCTCATTTGCAGCTTATGACACTCAGGTTTGGATGATGCCAGACGACAAGGCAGAGCTTTAGAGTTTCTCCATTATAGTGTGGCTCTTTTATTTCCTGCTACTCCTGAACAGGCTCTATAAGCTTTGTTTTTCTTCCCTACAGATGCTGCCATTAAAACATCGTTTCCAGTAAAAAATGATCTTCCAATAATGCTCCCCGAGTTTTTATGCTAGTTTGAGTTTTTCCTTTTTTAATTAAAAAGAGCATAATGAAAACTAAATAAACTTTGGCAAAACTAACTGTTTTTTGGTGAAAAGTTTTCCATTCTTGAAAACTATTAGAGACAATATTTGCTAAATATTTATTTCTAAAAACTGTATAAAATATTCCACAAACATGAGAAGCCCATTTCAATCCCACATTCTTGATGGTTTTCATAGTTGATGTTGGTTTTTTTCCCCTCTCTTTTCCTTAGTTTCAACAGGAAAACTCATCCAATGACAGACCAAGAGGCAATGGGCACTAACTGGAACACAGGAGGTTCTGCATGAATATCAGGAAGCCCTTCTTTACTGTGCAGGTGACTGAGCATCAGAACAAGATGCACACAGAGGTTGTTCAGCCTCCATCCTTGGAGATATTCCAAAGCCTCTTGGACACAGTCCTTGGCAGTCTGCTCTGGGAGGCTTTGCTGGCCTTCCTTGAGTAGGGAGGCTGGAACAGATGACCTCCAGAGGTCCCTTCTGACCTCTGTATCCATTCTGTAATTCTGTGAAAAAGGTGGAATAACAGCCACTGGCACTGCAAATGGATGATCGTTTGTGCCAGACCACATGAAATTCTGGAACTTGTGACATGCACTAACTTCAACCCACATTGCTTTATTTTATAAGAGGTTCAAGAAGATTTATGTTCACAGAGACCTCAGGATAATAGCAAGGATTCCAGCCTTTATCAACAAATTGCATAACACAACCACAACTAAACAATCTATTCCAGAAGATTTGATGTATATCCTGTAAAGATATCTTCTAATGCCTGCTGATCTTGCTGTCTCTCCCATCTGCCACAAATGATGAGCTTTACTTCATGCAGCAGAGTTCACAGTTCCCACTGAATCTGTACCAAACCATCAGAATCCAAAACCACTAAGCTAGCTCAGTTGCCTGCACCAGATCAATTTGTTTGCTTCCAATACTAATAAATTCTGTTACAAATTCCCAAGAATCAAGGGAAGATAAAAATGAGAATGCCACAGAAGGGCCTGTAACCACCATCAGCAAGAAATGGTCTTAAACAAAGACCTAAATAGCTGCAGAGGTTGAACCTTCCCAACAATATTCTGTTACATCTTGTTGCTGTGCAACAGCCAGAGCAGAGGGGCATTCTGACAGAAAGGCATCTGACATGGGAGTGCATACGAAGCAGAAACTTTCATGGAAATAAACAGGAGGCATTACTTTCAGAACAACCTATGTCTATCTTTGCTTCAGCAACCAGAAGCAATTGGTTTTGTCTTCTTAAACCAGATGCTTAAATTACACATGCAGAGCTACTGGCTAAGATTTCAACTTGACCCCTTCTGGCTAAAACATGCTGGCAGTGGAAAGCAGATTCCCATATTTTCATCTTGAGCTGTCAGCATGCATGGAAAACATCCCCTTCCAGGCCCTTCTACCCCTGCTCCACAGGCAGTGATGCTGGTACTGGGCTACACAGCTGCTAACAATTGAGTGACCCTGGAAAAGAGCGCTCTCCATCCAATAAACCCCTCACTGGAATGTCACTCCTACCCTGAGAATCAGAGGCACCTCAGGAATGCAGAGATTCTTTTCTTTTCTAAAAGGAAAAAGCAGCCCTTTTAATCCCTTTGCTCTCTGTATGCACTAGGGGAGAGGCAAAAGAGGCCAAAGGAATCTCCTAGAATGCAAACAATTTTTCATCGGACTCAGAAAGTTTGCAATTTTAAATCAGCCTTAGGAATATGCTTTACATGACTTCGGCCTGAGAATTTTGTTGAGGCTGCTTGGAGAAGTCTCAGGCTGACTGTATCATCTCAGCTGCAAGGGGAATATCAAAGTCACTACAGTGCTAGAAAAGCAAAGCTAAAGGCAACCACCATAAAAAAATGTAGATGCAAAGCACGATAGAGAAAAGGGAAATACATGTGAGGGAGCTTAGCAATAAGGAGAAATACTTATCTTTTGGTGTTAAAAGACTTAAAAAAAAAAAAAAAAGAGAGAGAGAGAGAACGAACACTGTCTTTCTTCAATCTTCCTGTAAATAGTTTGATGATGCTGCAGACAGCCTGAGATTCAACATTTCTGTAAAACTGTATTTGTATTAATATCGTAGCTTTTTGGAGTCTGTAATTAACGAGAGCCATTTTTTCCACAGTGAGGCAAAGCTAGAAACTTGTCATTCATTCCAGAGACAGGTTTCCATCCCTTTAGTCCATGCAAAGTCACCAGAAGAAGCTGTAGCAGCACACCTGAGAAGAATGAGAGGTAAGAGAAGCTCTGGTGACTGCAGTCAACTCACCAGCTTTTGGAAGAGGTCTCCAACACGTTGCTGGTGACTCCACTGCTGCACTCGGGGAAAGAGTCCATCATAGAATTCTTTGTGGATCTCATAGAGCTCAGGCACTTTGAAAAATATTGTCTCAATCTGCTGACTAGTCAGCACAGGCTGAGAGGTGGTGGCAGCTGCTTTCAAAGGCTTCATAGGCTGAAACAAGAGATGAAGGAAACCATTACCACGCAAACCAAGTACATTCACCCTTGCCACATGACAAAACATACTTCCAAAGAGTTGTTTTACAGCCTGTTAGTAAGTGATATTTGCATTCACACAACTGCTGAAAGCTAGGCATTAGCAAATTCTCTCATGGAGATCAGCCACCTCTGGTATGTGGATCTTCCCAGGATATTAATAGTGTGATTAAAATCACTTCGCACTCAGTTTCCTCAATCTCTGTCCAACAGTAGAGAAGTGTGTCTAATAATTAGTACTGAATACAGACAGCGTTCCTGCATGCTATCAGATTAATATCTCCTGGGTTGTGCCATACCCAGTCCTTTCCTTTGGCTTCTTTCTCTTGACCAGAGAAGTGGCCAACAGGTACCTTTTGCACTGAGCAACTGACAATCAAGGTGTGTGAAGTTCTGGGCAATTCTGGATGGAAGTAGCAGCAAACAGTAGCAGTACTGGTGGTGGAAATGTAGCAGTGCTTACCAGCAGCAGAGCCTCCAAGTGGCTCAGATAGGTTTCCTCACTGGCCAGGATTCCTGACAAGACCCATTTTCTCATCTCCAGGCCTTTCTCCAGATCTGGCTCACTCTATAAAGAAGTTAAGCGAGGAGAAGAAGTAAAAAAAAAAGAGAATGAGAATGGAGGGGATGAGGAGAAGGATTTTATTTACTTACAGGCTGATAAAAAACAACTTGTGTTTAGCGTCAAGATTCTAGAAGCAGACATAGAAACACCAAATTAAAATTTTTATTCACCAGAAACTGATGGCACTCATTTATAGATGTTAGTTTTTAGTCATCTATCTTTGGTGCCAGGGTTTATTCACATAAATCAGAACTTAAAACTTTAAGATTCAAAAATCTATTATTCTAAACAAATTGTAGGGGCCTTTGGTTACGTGCAGTTCATTCTCTCCACCCATGAGAATTCTCTACGATTTTGCTCCAAAGCCATGTGTTTCCCTACACAGACAGGATCACTTTCCCTCTTTCTACACAGATGCCCATGAATATAGAGCAGAAACAGCCTGCCATTGCTGTTAAGATGGCTGTTCTTTCTCCCACTCTTTACTATTCACCAAGTTATTTTCACTGCCAGCTTGCACAAGGTCTATTTTTAGTTAAAAGTCTGAATAATCAGCACTGCTTGGATTGCACATGCTGGTTTTCTTATTGGAATTCCATAAAGCAGTTCTTAACCAAAACAACTGGGGAAAAAGAGAGAGAAGAATAAATACATTCATGGGCAAACACCGATGTTAGCCATCAAGTTTTAAGAGAAGTGACATTCTCTTTTCTACATTGCAGTTATCACTGAAAAACGTTTAACCTGACAAAATGGAGCATCCCCATAAATTCTGAAGAAAAAAAAAAAGGAAAGCCAAACATTGGAGGTTATAAATAATGACACACCACCAGCATCACTTTTTGCAGAATGTCATTTTCAACTTTTATTTCTGTGAATGACTGCCTAAAAAACAAACAAACAAAATTCCTATTTTTGCACCCTTGTATTGTTGTTAAAAGACTCTAAGAGCAGAGACAATCGTTAGATCTAAAAAAGTAAATAGGTAAATACTTCTAAGGGCTTTGGGCAGACTGTTAGGGACTCCATCCTACTCCTGTTAATACCTACAGGAATCTTTGGCTATTGATTTCAGCAGGAGGAGGATTAGGAAACATTAACAGTATGTTCCACTCTATTGACTGAACATAAAGCCCGTCTGCAGCTGATTTTAAATAGCTCTACTTGGAGTCCTAAGCTCTGAACCCTGCAAATGTAGATAGGAGGTTCATTATGAGAGATGTACCTTGGTTACAGGTAAGCCTACAGCAGCTATCGCATTAAGTGCAGCTTGGAGCCCACGCACCATGCTAAGAAAGAAATGGATCCTCACGCTCCCAGGTATTTTTGGACTCAGTGTCATCAATAACAACCCTGATTTTTGAATGCTTTCGTTCTATTTCATAAGCTATTTTCCAGGCTAAAAGGCTTTGCAGCAATACTTTATAAAAATTTTGTGAGGTGTCAAATACTGCTAACACCTCTTAAAGGAAGGTGACAGACAGAAGCAGTTCTAAGCATAAGAGTAAAATGTACGTGCACATCGTGTACGACATGGAAAACATTGGTCTTTACAGCCCACCTTTCAGCAAGGTTCATTAAGAACCACAGTGCCTTTTAAAACCTTGAAAGGGCATCTCAGAGAAACCAGGAACTCGGAGTTCAGCATTCAGACGCAGAAGATTTAAGAAAAACACCAGTGACGAAGTAACTACGTGGGGACAGGAACAAAGAAACACTGCAACACATTTCTGTGCATCTCTGTGACGTTTCTTACAGCTCAAACAGAAATCTTTAACACAATCACTGATCCTTAAAGTTTCTGTAGTGGTAGCACCTGGATAGCTGCTCAGACACCACTGTTAGGCATGGCACATGCATGTAACCCAGAAAGACAGCACCAAGATGTTTGGCGAAGATTTCTTTCACTTAAAGAGGCATCTAGCTGCCTCCTGGGAGCCTTAATGCAAGATGAACAGTAATCTTTGGGTTTCCAAAGGTTTCTTAGCACATTTACAAGAGAAAAATGCAGTAGAGAAGCATCGAAAAACAACTGACAGTGTTCCAAAGTCCCCACTCCTGAGGATGAAGTAACTGGTCAATGTTGACACACACTATAATTATGTCTAGCAGGTTCTCTTAGAGGAGGTGGGTGCTTAAAAACCAGCTGGGTATGTTTGTAACATCTGTGAGGAGCACCACACGATGACAAGTAGCTTAAATGATTCAAACTTCCCCATCGCAACTGTGACACAACAGTTTTCATTATAGCACTGAAAACAGCTTTCCTCTTCACAAATAAAAGCTTTAATTTATAAGCCTGTTCTTGCTGGGCATCAGCTGACAGAGACAGCACTTTCTGCCTGAATGTTAATTTCCTCTCAAAGAGATTTGCTTTCAGAGAGACAAACATCTCCCAGGACACACTACAGACTCTCCTTCCTGGCCATTAACACAAGGTCACATTGAGAAGCCCACAGTATTGTCCTAACTCTTTATAGGAGCATTTTCCAAGTATGATGCTTACAAAACGACAGCCTCAGATCCAGCCAGCCTGAACAGGGCCTAGCTGCTTTAAGCTACAGTGCAGCACTTGCTGAGGAAACTCACGAGGGATTTTATCCAACAATCGCAGAGCACACCGCAAGGTTGCCAATGCAATACCTTCAATTTACACAAAGATTCCTCAAATGTGAAGAAATGATCTCCTGCTGCTGTCAGGGATCAATAGGACACCACGCTGCTGTCTCCATTGTGCTGCCACTCTGTATTTCTCCCTGAGAAGCAGAGCCCAACATGAGCCTCCTGCTGGGCATGGCCTCTTCTGACAACATCATCTGATGCACCAAGGAGCTGCTCTTGCTGCTAGAACTTCTGGAAAGCAGCCTCAGGGTGCTTTTAAGTTATTCTTGTCATGAAACTTGCACAATGATCAAGAAATTCACTAGGAGCTAGTGCCAAAATCAGGGAGAAACAAGTTTATTATTTGGTATCGCAATATTTCTTGCTTACAGAATTGGAAACAAGCTCACCTGCACACTCAAATCAGAGCAATTAGCAAGCAAAGATACTGCAATGCTGTCCTGCTCTCGTCTTAGAGCACACAACAGCATGATGCATGCAGCACCACGGGCAATTTCTGCTTTGGCCATATTTGAAGGAAGGGGAACCAAGAGCACCCTTGTAACCACAAAGTCTCACTGACTGCTCTGTTTCTGTGCTCCAGGGAGAAGAGCAGTTAAGAGAGGGAATATCCAGGGCCTAAGAGGCATCACCCAGATGTACACCAGATCAGGGAGATCTGCCAATGCTGGGTACTCACTTCCCTTACTCAGACAGGAAGCAGTCTGAAATCTCCAAGCAGTCTGTGGCAAAGCAGGGAGCTGATACTACATCCAGAAGATCACATTAGCTGGGGAAAATACACCTATTAATTCACCTATGTGAAGACGGGATGTTCTCAGCAGGATGTGGGAGCAGCCCATGCTGGCAAACTCTAACCACCAAGCAGAGAATTCCAGGTGGTCAGCAGTGCATCCCAGGCTTCCTACCTGCCCAGGTTAGCCTGTTCTTGACTAGTACAAGCCTAGCTAGTATTTCATGTTCTGATTTTATCCCTACCTTTTTGACTCAAGCATCCATTTCTAGCCTTTCCCCCTTGGCCTTCCACCTTTTGATTGTCTCTCTACCCACAGGTTTAGGAATAAATCTGTTTTATAAAACTCTACTAGGGGAGCAGCCACAGCATTCCTGTCTGTGTTCTGTAGGAGCTGTGAGCATCAAGAAGCAGCCAGCTCTCAACAAAGCAAGCTAGAAATCAGTGCTGTGTTCCCACCCTCAATGAACTACTAATATATATATAATACAGAGAGGGAAGATGGAAGACAACGTAAAGGAAGTTTCATGGGTATTTCACACTTACAAGGTTTTGCTGTTTTATTCTCAACTGGGTGGTGCATCTTGCTATTCCAATGATTTAAAAACCAAACACAATCATAAATAAAATTTTGCAACCTGAATCAAGGCCAGTCAGAGTGGATAACAGCATTAAAGACACAAGAGAGCGTGCATACGCTGGCCTGAAGCCATGGCTGTTTTGAATGTGTTTACAGCTTGTCAGCCTAAGTACTCTAGTTTACTAAGCAGGTTGGCACTGCTTGTTGTATTCAATTACAGCAAACCTGAGATTCACCAGCTCCAAGGATTAGACAAGTTCAGCTCTTCGACTCTTTTTAAAGAGCTCAGAGGTTTGTGGTTGTTATTTAAATTAACAGCAATAATTGCTTTATTGCAAATGTTAAAAGAATAGAGATTAAGAATCTAGAAACCACCACGTGTAAGATTTGGCCAAGTGGTTGCTGCCAGAACAGCTTTGTAAAGAAAACCAGTGCTTCAAAGTGGGCGTATGAAAGGCACTTTAACTCTCCAGACCTTCCTTTGGTACAGTGTGTTCATGTTGTGCAATAAACGTGTTCAAAGGAGAGGTTTCCCGTAAGGGCAGCTCAGAATCTCACAGACAAGCTAACACCCTATGAAGGAGAAAAAAACATTCATTTTAATCTTTAAAGTTTAAATATCTCTGAAAGCATCTGCCAAGCAGCCTGGAGGTGTCCTATTGTCTAGGTGATACTAGGCAGGGAAAATTCTGCAATCAATCCAATCATGCTCCTTGCAGGGGAAGGAGCAGGGACAGGAGCCAACATTCTTTATAACATCAGTATTGATGTGCCAGCTCTCCTCAGGAAGGGCTGTACATCCAGGCAGAGCCCTCCAGCAACACAGAATTGGAAAAGAAAGAGTTGCATCTGCTGGAGATAGTGAGAAAAATGCAGCATTAAATCAAAATAAATAAGTAAATAACAAATATCAAGAGGGAGAAAGGAGAAGGATTTGGAAATGTTGGAGAGCACAGGAAAAGCTGACAACAGAAGTACTAAGCAGAGCTGCAAGACAAGTGATCTCATTTATTAATGTACATTCAGAGGTCAATTTTTCTGCCCCTCATCCTCCTGTGCTTTCCCAGTTTGTCAGAACTCAACTTCAGGAGGATAAACAGTACACATCCCTTGTATTTCACAAATAAAAAATTCAGATGAAGCAAAATTTGACTGTTCTGCTCCAGACAGGTCCTGACAGGAAGCTTACATAGACATGCCAGTTTTCATTCCCCTCCATGGTCTGGGGAGCCAGAGCCTGGAACTGTTGTTTTCAACTGGAAAACAACAGAGCAAACAACAAAAGATAGACTCTACATATTTGTATTATTATCTTTTCATTAAAGAACAATTTAACATCTCACAGTATTCAGAGGAGCAGCATTTTAATTTTGTTGAAGCACTTTAAATTTTGATTAAAAAATCAAGGTGCTAAGCATGTTCTTACTAGGAACTAGCTGCTCAGCTTCAGCACTCCTGCTCTCAGGGAGCGATGCATACAAAAATTGGAAAACCATTTTGGTAAAAAATATATTCAATTTAAAAAAAAAATCATCTCTTAATCTCTAGAAGAGTGACTGCTATCATTTTCAGGTGGGAGACTGTCCTGCTCCCATCTCCAGAGCCCAATAATATTAAGTCCAACCATGTCTTAGAGCCTGTCTTTGTTGGCAAGCTGATCTTTGAAAGGCCTTCTCACCTTTACCCTCTCCATTGCTCTAATCTCTTCCCACACGAGTAGTAGCAATGGGATCCTCAGGACTGAAGCTTCCTATACTCTCTCCATGCTTTTATCCTCAAACTACCAACCCCAAGCTCTAAGCAATAAACTCTCCTCTAGAGAAGGGTGCTATCGTCTTCCTCTGTCCTACCCTACATAGCTATCCACCTCTTACTTTGACTTTATGCATAGAACAGAAGCATTCTTGCTCTTTGTACTCTAAGAGTCTGAATTAATACTACCCATTAAACCCTCTGACACCTTCTGGACTTGCCAGTTGTGTCTCGTTTGGCAAACATTTGTCTTGATGTTTTCCAAAAGCTTCCAGAATTTTTGGAAAGTTCAATAATAATTAACTGTTTGGAAAAAATTACATAGCTTTCAACTTAAATAAACAACTTGTATTTATTTTTCCCTTCTCTTCCCTTTTCATCTTTCCCTTGTAGGTTTGCTTCAGAGCAACAAAGTCTGGCAAAAACGCTGGCTTTATGCCAAGACATGCTTCCACATCTCAGCATGAGATTCTGGAAGAGCCAGAAGAGGGGTACAACCTGGACTGCTCAATGCAAACATCTTTCAAGGCTTCCTTACTACAAAAATGATGAGTTGGGATGTTGAGATGCACATCAAAAATGCCCTCATTTACATCCTCCTTAAATGAAAGATAAAACTAAGGATGGCATCCCTCATCACCCTCTTTGGATAGGAGCATATATTTGAGTGATGGACACAAAGCAAGTGAAATAGAAATACATAAAATGCAGTTGAATTTGTACAATTTGAATGCAGAGCAGTCAACATCTTTTAGTCTACTTAGATGATGTAAGCAGAAGAGGGAATTGAGAAACAGATCCAAAGCGACAAAGATTGAGAAGAACAGCAGCCTTCTGGAAGTCAGCTTGTGGCCCTCGCTTCCTGGAACAAAGGACATGAGGTGCTGGGAGTCTGTCACCTCCCAGGCTGAGGAACATAAAGCCCCTCCACATGTAGTCCACGAGGTATCCTCTTGGTTTCTTTTGGAACAAGACACTGCTTTGTCCCTCTGCATCTTCTCTACGTTGGCTAGGTAACCAAATGGAGGCCAGCCTGCCACGCCACCCAACCGAACACTACAGCCTCTGTCAGAAGACAGAAGCATTTAGTCAGTCGGTAAAAATATATATATATATAAATCCCTTTGACATAAAAATATGTCAAAGAACAATGCCCTCAATGTTCAGATATCAATGATCTGATCTCCAAAAGAAAGACTGTTCTGACGAATAAGGCCAATGAACAACATCAGAATGCTGCCGAGTCTGTGATGCTAAATGAATTGGTCATGATCACATTAAAAAAATACATCATTGTTTGCATGCTTTTCATCTGGGTGTCTGACTGAAGTGCTGTTAGCCCTTGGTTGCAAGTGAAATTAAAGGAATTTCTCTTTGAACACGAAGAACACATTAAAAGTTAGAAGCTGGTTTTGTATAACATCAGACATCTCACATTAAGGACTCAAAATGAGCAGATGCACTTCCTATAATCTCTCTGCCTTCATTACCTGTGATAAGTGGACATGGTATCTTCTTATCTCACAGGACACTGCAGGGATAATTAAGGCCTGCATAGCATTCCAATAGTATTTGGAATTAATGGTCATGCCCAAAGGAAATGAGTACTTGTGTACTCAGAACTCAGTTTAAAACGTCCCACATATACAGAGCAATAAAACACTGAATCCAGTGAGTATTACTTGTTACATGCACTAAAAAACACAGAAAAAAACTATACAAAAAATAGGACAATTGTGTAATTGAAATTAATTATAAAGACTCAAGGCTATCTGCACAAGGCAGGACTGCATAGTCAGTAATTCTTTAACCTTTAAACAACCTTACAAATGTAATATTTTGAGAAAGCAGTATGTATACAACAACTGTCATGTTGCTATATACAGTAACTGTTGATTTCTAGACTCTGGCCATGATAATCTAAATAACTGCAGGCACGTAAGAAGCCAGAAGAAGGGACTACTATACAAGCATGCACACAGACATGTTTTCAGCTAATGAGGGGTAGTGAGGGGAAAAAAAAAACAACAGACTTGCATCCTGGTATTTCAGGGTTCTGATCCAACATGGTTTAAATACACTGCAACGAGCAAAGTACATGACACTTAATTTTGTTACTGATGTCTTTTCCACTACAGCTGAAAACATAATTATAGTAAAACTCATCTAACAACTTGTGTCAAAGTTTAACTTGCTTACGAAATAGCATAACCATTTATAAACTAATTTCTTCCTCCCTGTTGTGGACCTCCATTCATAGATAGCATTGTCAGTTGTGGACTAACTGCAGCCACGATCAGCTGAAGCAGTTGAAGTTCATTATTGTAATTTTAGTCTGTCTCAGTATCCCTGCATTTTTTGGAAACAATAAAAAATCTTTTTATAGTCAGAGAGAAGAAAGCAGCTGGTTATAAGTATTATCCTTTTTAAAAGGCAGTCTTGTAGTATAGTTAGGACAACACTAAATTATCTACTTTTAAATGGTTATGAGGTGATATTCAAAAAAAATCAAGACTAAGATGAAACATTTGGCTGTTTCTCTTCCAGGCCTCCAGCTACAAACAAGGTGACAGTGGGTTCTTTAACTCAGCCATATGATGTCAAATTGCATTTTCCTTTTAACCTAAGAAACATAACCTGAAAATCTCAAGCCAATATCAAAATATTCTTGGAGCTTTTGAAATTATTAATGAACATTTCTCCATTCAAAAGGCTCTTGGATATCACAGGAGTTCTCATCCCGAGCAATTAGGAAAAAAAGCATCTCAGAGTTAATAGGCTAAAGCAGAAGCAGCTAGCTAGATTCCATACACTATATTCAAATAAAATACAACAATCAACAGTAAATGAACTTGATAATGCTTTAAGAGACCTTGAGGAGAAGAACAAGAACACTTTCAAGTAGTCTTCATAATCTAACATTCATCCTGGAAGAAGTAAGGAAACGCATGATGTGACACTAACCAAGAAAGAATGATAGAAGGATGGATAAAATCAATGCTAAAAGCAATGGTTTGTGGAACTTGTCAAACTTTGGAAATCGTTTTGATATAAAATAAATAAAACTGTCTGATAAAGGTGTTGATTTACATGTATACTGATACCTGTAAAATACCCCTCATCTTCTCCCATGACACTTTGATTAACAGGACAGAACAATACAAAGTCAACACAAATTAAACAACTTAAATGACAGATTTCAAAGTGTCATTTGCAAATTGAGAATTCAAGGCTGGTTGGCTACACTGTCTTAGAAATAGAGTAGGAAGAAACTAAGAGCTGTTTTTGTGCTACTAAGTATTTTTATGAATGAACTGGGGAAACCAAAAATCTGCAGATGACAAAGATTTCCAAAGAAACACCAGTTTGGCATGGAAGTGCTCTGCAATTTTGAAAGCAAAAGGATAAAAACGGCAAACTACAGTTCAAAGGCAAACAGATCAAGTTAAATGTAAGAGATTTGACTAAAGAGAGCAGTTGATGGCTATTTACCAAAGCAAGTGGAAGATTCTCTATAAGATAAAAAATGCAATACACAACAAAAAAAAATCATCAAGTTCTAAACAATAGCCATGCCCCTGAAGCAAAAATAATGCAAAATAGCCTGAATGGCCACACAGAAAACACAAATCAAGCTACTCAGTCAATTCTGATAAGATAAAAAGCTCAGAAGAGATTATATGGATATGCATTTAGTAAACAGTAAAAGTCTTTATGAACATCCATCTCCCACACAAGTCACTCCAGTTTAGAGCTGACAGTGTTAATTCTCCTTATTCCACTTCCATAGAGCAAAATAAATGGTTTGTATATTCCAGATACCTTATCAAAGCCTTCACAGTACCCAAAAATAATTAATTTTCCTTGTGTAAGGCAATGACAACCCACATAAACAGACGCACATAATGAACACAGGCCCCCAAATGCACCTATACTTTAGGAAGCTCTGGTCCAGTATCCCCTCTTCCAAAACATCTGGTATTTAGAGACTTCTTAGCAGCATTTAAGCATCCCTTTTCTTCAATACATTCAAAGTGTGAAAAAATGAGTTAAAAATGAGTAAAAAAAAAAAATACACAGAACACTTATTTCTGAAATTTAGCTTGAACATCAGTCAGAAGTCTCAATTTAACATCAAATATACAATATAGTAGCACATGACTGATAGTGTATCAACTAACCTGTCTTACCATTCTGGCAGCCCCCCTCCCCCTTAAAGCAGTCTACTCCTTCCAACTTCACAAGGTGTGATTGACCCCAAAAAGGCAGGAAAGAACTCACTGATTTTGTAGATTCCAGAGACCCTGAAGACAGGGTGTCTCTGCTGCCTCGACTCTTGGAACTGAGATGGGGGGAAGACGATGGCGAGTCATCGATGTAGGGCATCATATCATGATGTCGCCTCTGTTCTTCAGCACGGTCTGCATCATACGCATAGCTGGGTGGTGTGCCACTGAATGAAGCATCTGCAAAACACGGGAGAAAAATCTGTCTGGTCAGAGCCAAACTGGATATGAAACAGGCTGGTCAACCACAGCACTGTTGATGTCCCAGCTATTTAGTTTACTGATAAGTAACCACAGAATCAGTGATAGTTAAATACAGATCAAGTGGAAGCATGAATTTAATTAAGCTCATGTCACCCAACATTTATTTTGATCATTTTAAGTCCTAAAAGGCAAAGTCCTTTCTAATATCTAACATCGGTGTTCATGAAATTGCAGCTCTTTCCTCCAAGTTTTGCTTCAGAAGTATTAGCATTAAGATAAATACTCGTACAGGCTCCATACAAGTCACACAGTCTGAGTCTGTCAATGCAGTGGGTTGGGGTAGCAGCCTCTGTTGTTTTTATTTTTCTGTGGAAATGAACAGATGACGCCCCTGAAGGTTTAGCAATCATCAATAACACATAGCTCAGAAAATGAACAGTTGGACTCGGTGATCTTGAAGGCCTTTTTCAATCTAAAAGATTCAGTGGTTCTGTAATTCTCTTCAGACTAGGAACAAGAGGACTAGGAAAGAAAGGTCGTACATGTCAAGTGAACGGGCCTGCTGCCAAAACAAAACTCTAAGAGTCCGTCTTCTATTGGCTGCCTTCCTCCTCAATTCTAATTCCCTAAGCAAATAAACAATCACCCTCCTTCTCTCCAGTACCCCACAAAAATAAAAATAAAATGGTTAACTTAATTCTTTACACCACATTTGAATTTTTATGAGGTATCAATGAATTTCTGCAGGAAAAATGAGTAGTAAAATTGATTCTGGTATCTTTTCTACTGTTTCTGCAAAAAACCTGTACTGAGGACGCACACTGAACAGAACAGCTCCCTGTGCTGTAAATTAAAAGGTCTTTTACCTCTCTGCACAAATACACACAGAGGATGAACATTTGCTTTCTGCACAGTGCCAAGGAATCACATCTATCATGCCCAAAGGAGGACGGAAGCAACTCTGCATGTTGCTCATACTTCACATGTGAAGCATTTTCACCTGTCAGCGTACAGAAGTGTGAGCAGTGATAGCCATGCCCAGGCCATGGCAGAAATCTGCTGCTTTCAGTTACAAGTCATCCATTTTCACTCTTCTCCCCAAACTGAGGAATAACTCAAGGCAGACAAGCTAGATCCACTTCTACTGTAGCAGGCAAGCCTTACGGAAGACAAAGCCATAAACAAGGATTTTGTTTGTTTGTTTTTGGTCTTAAAAAGTTCAAAAATTTGCATTAAATTCACACTGGAACTCAACCTTCACTTGTAGAACTAGTTTCTACTTGTTTTCACATATCTAGGTTCTGTAAAAATAATAAGCAGCAGCTGCCAAGCATACTAATAATCCTGTTATACATCACCAAGGCAGGGTGGAGGAGTAACATTTTAAAGCCCACTTTCCTCCTTCACAGTAAACTCAGTTAAAGCATGACTCATGCCAGCAAAGGATGTGAACTTTGTGTGAAACAGAATAAAACTTGATCCATGCGGTTTATTCAGGAGGGAGAGCCAGTCCAGGGAATTTATGCAAACAATATACCGAAAACCTAACAATAAACTCACTGTAGAAGTGAGCCTCTGTCTCAATTTGTAGCAAATACCACCCCGCTAAATAACTGCTGTGTATGTGGCCTTCAGGCTGCTGAGTGACCATGGCAATATTATTTTAACAAGCTCAGTGAGTTTTATGTCACCCACTCTCTCATGGTATTACCTTGCGCTCAAGCCCTCAGTTTCTCAAAGGACTTTTAGATTGTGCAAGACCACAGGAATGGGAATGGGAGAGGAAGGGAAAAAAAGAAAAGAAACAGTATGTATTTGCTGGGGTGGACTTTTATTGAGATGTCAGAGACTTTCCAGATTTTCTTAGTTGTTTAGAACTCATCCTATTAAGTTAATTTGGTAAATGGAGGCTTGAAATAGAGGTGCTAAAGTAAGGATGATCAGGCACAAACAAAAGAGATTTCAGATAAGTTGGATAATGCCCACATATCAGCAAGCCGAACAAATCACAGATCTCATGCTTGAATTGTCAGGAGCCCTTTAGCTAAAAGAATGCAGAAGAGAAGATATCATGGCCTTTGCGTTCCAATTCTCAAACAGGCAAGGAAAGAAATCAACAGGAATAACCTCCACCATGCGCAAGATGACTGGTCTTCTATGTGGTCACAAGGCATGATTAGGGACCATGCTGACTCCAGAAATTAGAATTTTATGTGGAAGACAATCCTTATTCCTCCCACCTCTACAATATTTATGTCATTAAAAAAATAAAAATAAAAATGTAACACCAGGCAAATTCACTGGAGGAATGCAAATACCTGATTTCCATTGAATTATCCCTCCTGCAGCTTTCTAACCCAAGAAGCCTGAAAAACACTGCTGACAATTTAACACTTGCTTTATCCACAGAGGAACATCAGTACAGGGTGCTTATGTCAGCTTCATGTCTTTGATCAAGGAAGAATTTCTTCAAACTCCTATTCAAACCAGTTTCTCCTGCACACATGCAGTAACAAGACTCATTTGCCGTGTAGAAATGAAAGCAGGAATATTTCTTTACTCCCAGTGCTCGCTTTCTAACTGTATGGTTTGCTCCCTTTCTGTTAATGGAGAAGTAAACTCCATATAGTATATATCAGCAGAAAGGCTTGCAGGGAATCACAGTATTTTCACTTTCCTCACTTTCTCCTACTAAGAAGTAGGCTTTGTATTTCTGATTTCCACAACACATTTTGTCTCCTACTACACAGGGAAATCATCATTCGAAAGGAAAGGAAGATGGAAGACTTAGGTTAGAAAGAAGAGATTTATTCCCAGCACTGCATAAAGATTCCATTTACCTTTGCATCATTCACTTTGTCTTTCCATGCATGAAAATGAAAATAAGACCTCTCAGCTAGGAATGAAGAGCCAGCCCATCAGTGTCACAGACTGCCACAAGATACGTGCAGAGAAAGCCCCACGCAGAATTTAAAGCTTTGATACTGTATCTGTAGTATCTGTAACACATTCAAAAAGCTTAGAAACAGTTATAATCCCTCTTCTTCCTATTATTGTTTCATACAGCACTGAAATCCACCCATGGAGATTTTTAATTATCTCTGAGGCAGACAGACCTTCTTGCTTTTATTCCGCCATTTATTCCAACAGAAGCAAAGTATTACTCTAGCGAGATACACTAAGCAAGCCCTAACACTAATAACAGAGGTAGGCTCGCATCTCTGTGATTAAAGAGACCACTGTTGCTAGGGAAACTAGGTTATTTGGATCTCCTACAGGCAGGCACAACTCTGCACAGGCTGTTCAGGCTCTACCTGGCAGCAGAACGACTACAGCAAAGGGATTGGAGCCAGGAGCTCAGTGGACATCCCTAGCTGCTCTGGGTGATCCTCCTGTAGATGTAAGCAATCTCAGGGAGCAAAGCACCAGTGTTGCTTTGGGCACAGGGACCTGGCTTAGCCATGTGGCCATTTAACCCCACAGAGGCTTGTCCTCTGCATGAGGACAATGAGCAACAAAATGCTCAAGCTACCCTCACCAGCAGCAGCTTTTCTCTTTTGGCAGCTTGTAAAAGTCCCTGTCCCCTACCCTCGTAAGAAAGTCTGGCAGCTGGGACTGACCAAAATGTGCCCTCTCACCACTAAACAGCAGCTATTTCTGCCACTCACCCTCCAATATTCCCTTACAGTACTCCACTCTGCACCAGCACATCATCATCTGCAATCAACTACTTGGGGGCTACAAAGGTTTTTCAGCAGTTTTGCACGCACTCAAACGGTTACTTCCACCTTTTGGTTCTGATGACAGTAACCTTCCTGGCCTTGCTTTGTTCCCATCTTTAGGAACCTGCCCCACATCCTCTTCTTCAGTTATTGCTTCCATCCCCTCACCTCCCCACGCTTTCATTTCAGTTTGCCGTGCTCAAACTCAACATTCTTTTCTTTTGTTTTTCTGTTCCTTACCTCTTCTAAACTACTCCCTCTTCCTCACAGCATCAAATTTCTCCTGTCTGGGAGAAAAGAGCAATCTAACAAACCTGCAGTTAGCTACAAACTTCCTTGTACTCAGTGACTGCACAGCAGCCTTGTCCTGCTGCCTACCCCCCTCCTGCTGTGTGTCACATGCATTCTTTGAGAGTGTGAGACCAAAACAGAGAACTACCATGTCAGCACGAAGGGAAAAAGAAACTAACTTCAAAAATAAAAAGACTAGTTGCATCTAATCGTTTGGGCCACACAGTGACTCGAGTGTCATACGTTCACAGCATCACAACATCCATAGCTGCTTGAGAGGCTTAACAGCAGCATGCAGAGAAGCTTCCAAGCTAGCTGTGCCCCAGCTAATCCCACTAAAAGAGCGGCGAAGCCACAGCAGCTCAGACCTGCCTGCCTAAGTAAATACAGAGAATCCTGAAGGGGGCGGGGAAGACAGTTTATGCCAAAGCCCCACATCACTGTGGCTTCATTGTAAACGGTACCAAGGCTAGCACAAGTTTGCAATGTCTATACTCACTCCAAAAACATTCCTGCAGCTGCACAGCAGAAGAGTGTTAAACCAGTCTGCATGTCTGGCCGTGCATTTCTATACCAAAGAATGTGCAAGGCCACAGTTTGATAATGCAAAGTCTTGGCAGCAAGAAGGGTCTAAGGTTTCCACCACCAAACCATAAACCACAGCATGACCCTTTCCCTCTTATCCCCTCAGTTACACACAGCCCCACACGTGGCTGTGGCCCAGATAAAGAACTCAGCTCAAAGAAAAACATCTTCCACAATTCCCTTCTAAGCTGGATCAGCTTTCTGATCCAGTTCATGGCACAGAAATCCCAACTAAAAGGTTACATAGGCATAGTGGTTACAGGATAGGCATACCTAAAGCTTGTACAGCAGCTGAAAACAATGTATTAGCAAAGCACTGATGGAGGCTTCCTTTAAGCAGAAGTTTGGTCAATTCCTGGATTCTAACATGGCTGCTTT